ATATATATATATATTATAAGATTAACCCATTATCAAAGAATTACTGAATGTTAACATAATCTATTTTGAAGTTTTACGCTTGTTTAAACATTTTCATTGATGAGTAGGCTTTTTTGGAAACTCAGTGTTGTGCTGTTGTGCTTAAATTGAATTCTTGTTAAAAAAATATTACTGTTAGCTATTCTTGGTATGAGGTACTATAGTTCTAAACTGCAGCTAGTGAGCAGAGAATGATTTAGGCCCCTACCCTCAAACTTTTTTTTGAAAATTAAAAAGAGAAAGAAAAAGAAAATATTAATCACCCAAAATGCTTCGGAGACCTCTGAGCCTTTAGGGTAGTGTTATCTTAATCGGCTCCACTTTCTCCCTTCCCCCACGCACCAACCTTTTCGGACGTCTCTGAGGTACTGAAAATATAATTCACCTGATTGACTTAATTAGGGCTGGTCGACCTAATCAGGCAGCTTGTTTATACCCCAATAGCAGCTTGATGGTTGTATAAGTCATCGACAATTTGATCATTAAACCTTCAAGTTTGTTTCATTAAAGAAATATTTTAGTGTCAACATGTTATTTTATGTAATGTTGACCATTTATTATTATGGCTGCTGCATATGGTACTGATATCTTAACAAATATACTTTAACTAGACTTTTAATATCGCAAAATAAAGTGTTGATCCTATTATGAATCTCATGTAAATAGTTTTGAATTATTTTTTATAGTACTATGTATATTTGCATTATCTGTTTTTGTTTATCATTTTAGGACCAAAATAGGATAGGTCTGCCCTTTGGTATCTTATGTCTTTATCCTATACTATTCTGTAATATGTAAATGAAAAATAATAGATTAAAAGAATAAATAAACTGTGAAATAAATAAATAGCGTAAGTAAATGTTTTCCAAACATTTATGTTTTGAAAACACAATTTGATCATTACGATTTCGACGAAACCCGGTGTCGGTGAATTTTCTTTCGGTCAACTGTCTGTTGCAAACTGGCATTTGGTGAAATGTCCCAGCACCCATTCCACAAGTGCACATTCAACATACCACACATTTGAAGCTCATTAATACCCTATTAGGAATGAATAACAGTTGAATTATTTTGAAAATCATTAAATTCTATTCTGTGTCTTTTCGCCATAAAGTCTGTGACATTGTTATGTTAAACACCAACCCCCTTAAGATATTTCACCAAGGAAACACATTCGTTTCCCACAATAAGGAATCAATACGAGGAAATTTGACTAACATGAAAAACCCACGCTTGAACAGATCTGAGAGAATACTGATTCAAACTGGCTTACACAATCTGCTTAGGGTTACAGTATAAAAATAACAGGCTTCTAGCTTCCTGATGTTATCACAGAGATTATATTTTAGTACCAACAGTACTAAAACATTATCAGAAAAAAAACCTGTTTACTAAAAGCAACTAAGGAAGCAGGTAATTGTTTATAGAACTACATAAATGAAATTTTAAAATTATTTTTGCAGCTGTGTTTTGATATTATATAAACATTTCCAAATTTCTTCTACTGTCTCACTGGTGTCTATTGTTATTTTTTTTTCAGATGAATCCTAGTTGTGTATACATTATTTTGAATCATAAAATTGGATTTGAAAAGACCTTGTGTACTTAAAAATATATATAAAATGGCCGAAAACACAAGGAAAGTACATCAGATGATAGATGACCTCTCCAATGAATTAATTGGATCCAGAACATCTAATCGACTTGCAAATATAAGTTTTCATAGGATTGAACAGGAGATGATGGACGCCATGTTTTACAAAGGCTTGTTGCCTTTCCGCATGTATACAGTAGGAAGCGTGCACGAAGGCTTGTCTAATGACACTTTAAGTGATCGTGACGTAATGGGGATCGAGCCAACATTTCCAATGGTATTGTGGGAATCACCCAAAGAAGGACAAAATCTCAATGTGGGGTATTTATTGGCTGAGCAAAATCCAAATGAGCCGGCCTATCTGAAGATCAAAGCACCTGAAAAATGTAATTTGCTGAAGGACATAAGAGATATCATTGATAAAGATGGATATCTAAACAGCAACGATTTTAAGAATTTTAACCTTATCAACTTAAAAACTGATACTCATGATGATTTTAAAATACAAGGCCCCTCTTGCATGTTTGATTCTAAAGATAATGGGCAGATGATTCCTTTTGATGTTGTATACTGTTTGAAATGTCAATCTTGGCCACCTATCACCAGTGAATTTTTCACTAGAGAAAGGCCAACCAACTGGCCATCGCAAGAACTGCTGGACAAGGTCTCCAGTCTTGATTGTCTGGTAGTTGCTGTTGGACATCCCAGTACTGGGTTGAAAGATATCGAATGGAGATGGTCTTTTTCAGTGGCCGAGAGAGAGTTAATCCATGAAATGTACGCACCATTTGCTAAATGCATGTATGCCATGAAAATGCTGAAGAAAAAGTACATTGTGTACAGTGATTCTGACAAACCAACTCCTTTCTGTTCTTATTTCATAAAGACCGCTTGCTTTTGGATGTGTGAAACATTTCCACACACAAGTAACATAATGAATTTGATCAGGAAGACTCTTGATTGGCTCATTGATTGCTATCAATGCAGGAATCTGCCACATTACTTTATCCCACAGCAAAATCTGATAGGTCACCTATCAAAGCAAAAATGTGATGGTGTAAGAGGAAAGCTAATGGAGGTTAAAAAAGGTCTTTGGGGTAAAGTTATGTCATCGGAGTTCCCAAGAGATGAACTCCAGCGCGAAGTTGTGAACGGCATATGTGAGAGCCTTAATATTACAACGGTCAATGAAGATGATGAATATACTGTATTGGAGGCACGTCTTTTGGATCACCCAATGACTTCAAGTGTGCTCAAATTGATTCTTCCTGTATTACATTCCCAAATTGAGTTACTTGAATACTATCGTATTAAAGTAAAGTTAGAAAATGATTTTTTTTCTCTGGATATGGCAATAACACAACTTATCGACACAGGAGCACATCCATCTGAGATTCTTAATCTTCCTCAATTAATAGTAAGTCCAATCATAGAGAAGATCGATACCATTATAGTACCGAAGAGATTTGGGGGAGTATTCAAGACTCGTTTGTTTAGATATCTAGGTGATGTGTATACTTATCTTTTTATACACTTGCGAAACAAACTTCCTCATGACGATATGATGTCCTACAAGGATAAACACCTAGAATTCTATGAATTAGGAGCTGAAATGGTATTCACAAGTCAATGGAGTGACCACGGTGTAGGTGGCCTAATTCATGTGTTGAAATACCATTATTTGTTGGGTAATCACAAAGAACTAAAAGAAACGCTCATATCACTTGAACCCAAACTCGCTGATCTTAAAAAGAAATTAACTGATTTTGATCCAATTATCTGTATGGAGGTAAGCACAGGCACAAGCTGGCAGCTGGGTGCCTGGGCCACTGACAAATTGTTGCACCACCTCTTCGGGTGCTTTCATCGAAAAACGTTTCAGCTTCATCCCATTGCTCTTGCTCTTTACATAAATGCTAGAGTATCACTTAATGAAGGGGACATTGAGAATGCATCAAATATTGTAAAAGAGATTAAATGTCTGGAAATTGAAATAGAACTTAAGGAGACTCAAGATATTTTGATAAAAATCATAGAAAGTCTAATAGGCCTATTGATGGTAATGAGAATAATATACTTTTGAAGGACTTTTTAAGTAGTAAGTGCATATTGCATACAATTGCACAAACCAGGGAACAGTGAAATTTCACTGTTCCCTGCACAAATTAACATTGGTAGTTTATGAATGATAGTACAGTACCACAGATTGAAACACCCTTCAAAATAAAAATGATAATAAACTGTCCAGGCATCACATTATAAGGTGAAATGCCTCTCTAGGCCCATTCGCACAAAGATTGTACCACGCTGAAAATGTTAGCGTCACGCTAAAAATGGGCTTTTATTCAAAACGTTGGGCTGCATGCAGTTCCACAATGTTCGCATGGGGAACAGTGTTTGTTGAACACGCGACGAGGCACCGCTTCAATGCAACCCCAACTGCAGAATCGCCTGTGCGTGCAAGTAGGTAAACGTGAACTCATTGAGGTCCCTAGTCGGCTAGAAGATGTGGCTTATTTTTATGGTCAATAAAGTTGTAATGAGATTTCGTACTGGTGAAAAATCTTTACAGAGTATACTTTAATATACTGCACCGTAAAAACTAAAATTCAAATGCATAAATTAAATATATATATAACGAAATCTCGCGTCACTCCGTTCAGTATACCTCCGGCACGGTGCGCTACAATAAATACTGTTACTAAGATATATATGTAGGCCTAATGGCATAAAGTGTGGTAATACATGAAACGGTAGATTCTATACTTCAAAAGGTGATTGACATTGGAAATGTTGCTTGTATTTTATGTGTATGAAGGAGTTAAACAGCGAGGTTATATGCACAACATGACATTCAAAGTTCTACATGGTCATGATGTGATGTCATCATGACCACGTATAAGTATGTCACATATTTTGTCAAATAAAATGTAATACTCTGGAGACAGGATTTTAAGCCCTGTCAGAGATCTTATAAACACAAGATAGCGTTCTCCGCGATTTACGCGTAACAAATAGAAGCGTCGGATTGGCAGCAGAAAGTAATCATTTTTGGAGAGGGCGTCCTAGTTGTTGCCATAGATTTGTGATCAGGCGTTCGCTTTACACTAAAGTTCGTTAAACAAGTACGTTATTGTTCCTTAATTGTTCCTTAATTGTAAATCGAAGCTTCTAATTGTTACTCGTAAAGGTAAATTCGCGTGGTGTACGCCATGGTCAAAGTAGTTAAAGTTCAACTTTTTCATTTTTAAAAGAGGGCGCCGTACACTGCGTTATTACAGAATTTTGCACGCGGATATCGCGGAGAACCCTTGCTTGTGTTTATAAGATTTTTGACCCTGCCCAGTCATGGTCCGGACAATTAAATTTTCTTTGACACAAACAATTTATATAGGTATAGTCATATGATGTGCATATTGACATGGTCATGGTGTGATATGATTTTGATTTAAAAACTTATATCAACATGTATAATTGTTTATATTTAAATTGATTGAAATATAAAAATATTACACTGATACATATTATGTAAGTTATTACGAGTACTGAATTCATACCAATCATCCTGGCGGATCTGTATGATGGCCGGAATCGCTAAAATTTCCCCAATAAATATTTGAATGAATATTGTTTTTTTACCTATTAAGTTTATCTTTTTATCCTACAAACGTTTAGGATCGTGTTTACATTTGTTTTCAACTGAAAAAAAATAATCTGATTTGGATTTTCAAATTTTACTCGTGCACGTACTTGTTAAAAGGTGTTTAGCTGCCATGTTTATTGGATGTGTTTTACATGATCACGATCATACACGTCTAATGATGCCAGGTGTGATCCATTTAACTTTATTCAGCTTAATTACATAAAACTAAGATAATTGACAATAGTGTTCAACTGATCCAATATCATCAAATCATCAATTCCATAGATATCGAATGTGCTTTTTAGAAATGCTTATTATTATGATCAGTCCGGCTAATAGATGGTTCTTCAAAGATGCCATTTGAGAACATCTAAAAATTAAAAATTAATAAAATCGAAAGATTTATTATGAAAGCAGTATACAAAAGTCGGACGGCCCCTGCTCATAAACCAACCCATCGGTGGTACACCTCTTTGTTAACATGGTCAGTCAATTTACATGCGTCAAGGGCCCGGCTGCACTCTTGAACCAGGGCCCCTCGCAACCTTGTTATGACACTTCTTGATCCTGAAATGTTGTAATACAATTTTTAAAAATAAATAAAACAACAAAACCAAAAATATTTAGGATTATAGTTTATTGAGATATTCTCTCAACATTTATTATTAACAAAGGAATTCTCATGACAGACTAATTGTCTGGCAATCAATAGCATTATGGATGCCATATTATTCCATGATTAATAAACTGAAAAATATCTATTATTAAAATGATATTATTTCTCTCTAAAATCACCAATAGTCTGTTAATAAAACAATGTCAAGATGATATACATTCTGGAGAATTAGCAGTTTTATACTTCACTCTAAATTCATCGGGTTTAATTTTCTTTTTCAATATAATTGAAGTGAGGGGGGAAATACCCCTTTATATAGATACTTATTAGTAAAAGCATTGATAAGCATTTTTTTTCCTCTTTTCATGAATTTCTTTTATCTTTATTAAAAGTTGTTTTCTAACATGGATATCAGGAGTCCAAGTCTTTTGGGAAAGTCTGACAAATCGGAAAAGATTTCTGGCTTCTGCTCTTCTCCAACAAGCAAAATCTTTGAGAAATTAACATATCTTAAGAGAAATACAGATGATTTGCATCATTATACTAATGTATTATTCATTTTTGGAGAGGGCGTCCTAGTTGTTGCCATAGATTTGTGATCAGGCGTTCGCTTTACACTAAAGTTCGTTAAACAAGTACGTTATTGTTCCTTAATTGTTCCTTAATTGTAAATCGAAGCTTCTAATTGTTACTCGTAAAGGTAAATTCGCGTGGTGTACGCCATGGTCAAAGCAGTTTTAGTTCAAATTTTTCATTTTTACAAGAGGGCGCCGTACACTGCGTTATTTCAGAATTTTGCACGCGGATATGGCGGAGAACCTTTGCTTGTGTTTATAAGATTTTTGGCCTTTTCCAGTCATGGTCCGGACAATTGAATTTTCTTTGACACAAACAATTTATATAGGTATAGTCATGATGTGCCTATTGACATGGTCATGGTGTGATATGATTTTGATTTAAAAACTTATATCAACATGTATAATTGTTTATATTTAAATTGATTGAAATATAAAAATATTACACTGATACATATTAAGTTATTACGAGTACTGAATTCATACCAATCATCCTGGCGGATCTGTATGGTTGCCGGAATCACTAAAATTTCCACAATAAATATTTGAATGAATATTGTTTTTTACCTATTAAGTTTATTCTTTTTATCCTACAAACGTTTAGGATCGTGTTTACATTTGTTTTCAACTGAAAAAAAAAAATATAATCTGATTTGGATTTTCAAATTTTACTTGTGCATACTTGGTTCTAAGTGAACGATATTTGTTAAAAGGTGTTTGGCAGCCATGTTTATTGGATGTGTTTTACATGATCACGATCATACACGTCTAATGATACCAGGTGTGATCCATTTAACTTTATTTAACTTAATTGTATAAAACTAAGATAATTGACGATAGTGATCAAAGATGCCATCTGAGAACATCTAAAAATTAAAAATTAATAAAATCGGAAGATTTATTATGAAAGCAGTATACAAAAGTCGGACGGCCCCTGCTCATAAACCAACCCATCAGTGCTACACGTCTTTGTTAACATGGTCAGTCAATTTTCATGCGTCAAGGGCCCGGCTGTACTCTTGAACCAGGGCCCTCGCAACCTTGTTACGACACTTCTTGATACTGAAATGTTGTAATATAATTTTTTTTTTAAATAAATAAAACAACAAAACCAAAAATATTTAGGATTATAGTTTATTGAGATATTCTCTCAACATTTATTATCAACAAAGGAATTCTCATGACAGACTAGTTGTCTGTCAATCAATAGCATTATGGATGCCATATTATTCCATGATTAATAAACTGAAAAAAATCTATTATTAAAATGATATTATTTCTCTCTAAAATCACCAATAGTCTGTTATTAAAACAATGTCAAGATGATATACATTCTGGAGAATTAGCAGATTTATACTTCACTCTAAATTCATCGGGTTTAATTTTCTTTTTCGATATAATTGAAGTGAGGGGGGAAATACCCCTTTATAAAGATACTTATTAGTAAAAGCATTTATAAGCATTTTTTTTCCTCTTTTCATGAATTTCTTTATTAAAAGTTGTTTTCTAACATGGATATCAGGAGTCCAAGTCTTTTGGGAAAGTCTGACAAATCGGAAAAGATTTCTGGCTTCTGCTCTTCTCCAACAAGCAAAATCTTTGAGAAATTAACATATCTTAAGAGAAATACAGATGATTTGCATCATTATACTAATGTATTATTCATTCGCTCGTGGTAAGATACAGTGGCGTATCTAGAAGAAGGGGGGGGGGGCAGTGAGTGCACACCTTCACAAAAAGCTTGCAACCTTTTAGTCGCACCTCCACTGAAAAAAAAATTACACTCAATTATTTAAAAATCACCTAATATCACCTGACTTTTCACGCTAGTTTCACCTCACGTAACAATTGAGCCCCCACCCCACATTACAATTGCACCCCCATCATCCCCTCCCCTCTCAATTTCTAGACTCTTAGATACGCCACGGATAAAGCCACATTTACACTAGACACAATTACGATACAACAATGACACGATACAGATGCTCGCAGTGTTGAAGTATACAAACTATGCAATAATATGTCGTTGTCGTGTCGTAATCGTGTCTAGTGTAAATGCGGCTTTAGATGAGTTAAAAATGTCCTTAAAACAGATATTAATAATGTGGCTCAACCAAACCAAACCAAACTTAGGACCAATTATAATGACTGGTAAGTTGTAAAATGTTTGGCATCTTGTTTTCAGACTGGTATTAAGTCGACTAGATTTCCCTTTGGTTGAGACATGTGATCAGGAAAGAAGTTCACTAAGGCATCAAAAAGCTGCAAAAAAAATGATGATGATGTTAGAACAATAATAATAACAATAATAATAATAATAATAATAATAATAATAATAACAATAATAATAATAATAATAATAATAATAATAGGAACAACAATAATAAAAAGAACCATAATAAAAAAAAAAACCAATAACAATAAAACAATAAATTTTACAATAAATATTGAAAATTGATGATAATAAAAAAAACAACAAATATTGGAAGAGAAGCCTCTCTCTGAATCCATAAATGGAATCTTGAATCTTGAATATAAATATATTATATGATAAATTACAATATTTTGAAAATTATACTGGTGTATAGTGCTGTTTTGTGTTTATTACCATAGGTGTGTGCACAACTTTGACTGACAAGACCGAAGGAATCAGTCTTGTCTTTTTTTCTTGTTCATTTAATAAAAATTATTCTGTAATCACTGTTAGTTAAGACTTTTTTTTTATTACCTTGTTTAGCAAACCCTCTGACTACAGAAAATGGAAATTTCAGAAAGAATAACACCCCGGTATGATTCATTGCAGAAGCCTGGGGTTCAACATTGGGATCCCAATATAATAGGGTTGCGAGTCAAGGGGTCAATCACAAAAAAAAGTACTGAGCATTTATATTCTCATCATTTCTTCTTAATACCTGTGTTCTACTTGTATAATGTGGGTGACCTTTAACCTCTTGCACCGCTAGAAGATGATCAGGTACATCTTCATTTTTCCGGAACAATGATGCAGCTAACAACTGGAACTGTGGGTAAATTTACATATCAACTGACTGACTGGCATTCAGAAATAAGCAAGGGCAAGTTTTATGACATAATAATGTTTATGTTATGCAACTATTTTCAAGTTATTTTAAATACTATAGTAAAATAATTTTGAAGGAGCCGTTATTGGATAGAAACATTGCCTATCAGTCTCTCTGTTTTATATGTATAAGTTCAATCAAACTGTCACTTGCTGGTTGTAGCAGTGACTGGTTGCTCAGTGATAAAATCAATACATTAACTGTGAGTGTGCATTAGCTGCACATTAAGAACGATTTGCATGTACGCGAACTGACACTCTTCGATGCGATGAAAAAGTTAATCGTGGTTGATGAATTTGAGTTTACTATGTAGGTCTAACATCCTGGTAGACATTTGTCTAATGAAATTGTTGTAACATTATGATCAATTATTCAGCGTTGCTTTGTGTTTTCAGTTCTTTTATGAGTAATACAGTAACCTTGGTCACTCATAAACATGCCTATTCTAAGCCTAACCTAGGCCTAGGTAGACTAGTAAGCTTCATATGTGTTCAACAACACCGTAGAGCGAGATTTGTTAACAGCTTTGAAATTTTTGCACACAATACGTAAACAATATGAGACACTTTATTGAGTTATTGTCTGCTCGCAGATAAGAAAGTTACGTGGAAATAAAACTGCAGGTTTAATAAATTACTACAACGTGTAGGATCTATAACAGTCTGTAGTAGCACTGAATGAGGTGAAACTGTTCGTTGATTGTCAGAGGATTGTTATTTAGAAAGATCGGTTGTACGCGTGTTATTGGCATTCCATTCTCCATAGAATCGCGTCAAATGCAAAATGCACAAAAACATATGATCTTTTTAGAAACCAATTATTTTACTTGGCCAATGTACTAAATTGGTCAGACTAAAGGTATGTTCACACCAAAGCCCAGATCCGGTCCGGTGCTCGGAAAAAACATCATGAAAAATGGGTTCGGTGGTTAAGAATAGGACCGTTCACATCAAATTCGCACGATTTCCGGATCCGAAGCAATGACCTGAGAGCCACTTGTATTGTGAAATCATACATGTTCTTCATTAGACCAATCAGCAACGAGCATGAATGACCTGTCTAGATGCTTTTCATGTGTTTAAAAAAACATAACAACTTATGATTTTGGTGCAGTCTCCGGCCTCAGTTTAATGCAGTCTAATTAATTTCCCTGAGAAAAATAACGTAAATAAACTCACTTCTCTTGTTTCTTCATTGTCTTTATGGTCGACTGTTTCAGCAAGTTCTGTCTGAAGGTACCGAAGCGCATCCACTTGGTTTTCACTAGCAACCTCATGGAATTTATGTTTACGAATTAAGTACTGACATCGCCGAAGAATACTATCTTTGGAAGGCCGACACAACTAGTAAAAAAAAAAATTTTTTAAATATTAATGTAACTAAAAACATATAATTTTATTTCAGTTGGTTATAATTGGTATAAATATATGTGGCAAAGGCAAGCCAAACCTCCTTGCAAATAATATTTTGGAGATAATAGCCAAAACATGTTGGAATGTCAAAATTTTCAAAATTTATTTTATTTCACAAACTAAACTTCATGTATCAATATATCATGGGTATGTGTGTATATATACATATATGTTGTATATGTATAGATATTTATGTGTATATATGTGTGTGGTGTGCGTATGAATTAATTTTCAACTCAAAATTGAATTTTCCTTTTAGTTTTGGAGTAAAAGTAAAATGTCAAATAAATAATATATTAATATTACCATGCTATGTTGTTTTTTGACATTAAACCCACATTTTTGGAACAATTTGATGATGATCTCTCCCTGAGAAATCCCCATTACAATCCCCATTACAAACTTTAAAGGCTGAGTTCTTAAATACTGTTCCTTCAACACTGTAGGTTTAAACTTCTTTAACTTCATAATAAAAGGTCGCATTCCTTTACGATTTTATAGCTTTCATTTTACTGTTGAACAGCTGTATAATTAACTAAAAATATTTTTTTTTTTTTTTTTGCAAGTAGTGGCTGGTTTTGCTTGTCTTTCTTACATTGGTGTGGCTATATTTAGGTAAATTTTCTTTAAATTGTAGATTAAGAAAAAAATAATTTGTTTTGTTTTAATAAATCAATTTATTTTGAAGGAATATTACAATTATTAACTTTTTGCCACTAATATAAGTGTAATATAGTTAATTCTTTTTTAGTAACCCATCTGATAATAACGGTAGATGTACACTGTACTGTCTGACTGTTACATAATAGGAAGCTTCCATTACACGACAACGGTCGGACATAGGACGTAATGAATGTCACCTACACATGCGAGAACGTTTAGTTCTCCTCGTCGCATGGATTCTGGGACACAATTTGGAAAAATCTACGAATGCAGTATACCGGTCGGATGGTCACGCATGACGTTCTAGCATCATGTCGTCGTGCAAATCGAAATTTCCTAATGAAAAATCAATTAAAAACCAATTTTGCACATGAATTACATTACGACTTTTATTATTTTATTTAACTGATGTGTTTTTTCTTCAATATGATTCGTCGTCTGAATACTGAGATTTTTGAGAAAAAGCCTAGTAAATCCTTACATTGGGTCCAGTAAACTGTGTACTTATACAAAGGAACAACCTACCTTTAAAGACCAAAAATCGTCGAGTCGTAACTTTGGTGACAAAGCGTTCAGTTTTCCAGGATTACCTCCAAATAAATAATGTATCTTGTGAACGTGGTCGTAGACCAACTGGTGGGCGTACCGGGGGCAAGGTTCCATACTCTGTTTATTTGATTTTCCAGGAAAAAGTTTGTTGTCGTTTTTATACACACATGACCTGTAAAAGTAATCTAATTATTATTCACTTTTACTTTTACTGTTTTTTTTTCTTTTCACTAGTATTAGTTGAAATAAAATAAATAAAATATTTTACTATGCTACGAAAACTTATTTACTTACCATCTGTTTTGTTCTATATAATACACCCAGAACGAATTCTTGACGTCCTCTTCCCTTTTATCCTTATCTTTGCTTAACCCCTAAAAATTTCAAAAAAAAAAACAAAAAAAAAAATATGATCAAATATTACATGTCTCAATAAATTTCCTTTGTTCATAATTGTGGCAAAGACAAATCCTATTTCAGAGATATTGGCCAAAACGTGCTGGAATGTCAAATTTGTTGAAATCTATTTTATTGCGCTAACTAACCTTTATATATCTATGCTGTTATTTTCGCCATTTTCAATGTTAAAACAACAATTTTGTGATGGTTTCTGCCTGAAAAAAGCCCAAAATCATAAACTTTGAAGGCTGAATTCTCAAATGTTGTTCTTTAAACAGACTATGTTTAAATGCGTAAATGTGTATAATTTTTCTGTTTTCTTTCCAAATTTTCATTAAATATTTAATTTACTGGGTGGCTGTCATGCTTCCGACTTCTGGTCTTAATGAGATACTCCTAAATCCTACAATTTCGATTTTCTTTTATACTTTTTTGTAACATTATATGTTTTATAATTTTTGTTAACATTATTATAGGATTGAATAAATTGATTTGTGTGATTTTGATTGTAAAGATATAAGTTTTTGGTGAGATCAAAATATGGTATGGAACGGCTAGTGCAGTGGTTGAGTTTGGATCTCTCAAAATTGAGGTCGGAAGTACAAAATTGCTGTGCATTTTGCTTGTGTCGTCAGGCAAGGCACTATACCTATGTTTGTCTCTCTCCACCCAGGAGTATGAATAGGTGCCTGGTAGGATAATGTGGCATTGAATGTATTGGTCTGTATCTGCATTAAATTTCCAGCACGACTAGAAATACTCCCTAGGCAATGGCGGTTGCACTTTGGGCTGGTTTGATCATGGATCCAGGGGCAGTATTAAAACATCGGCAGCACCTTCTACCCCTTGGCAAAAGGCCGAATAAATCACTATATTATTTCCAACAATTTATGTATGAAAATTAAAAGTGGGTGGGGTGGGTGGACAGGTGCTGAATAGGAATATTACATCTACTGAACTATAAAGACACAGTATACCACTGGCGTGTCTATACTTACTGAAAGTACATGAAGTTCATTTAGTTCTGGATCGATGGTAGCCCTCTGAGTAAAGCCAGCAGCAGGCACTGAAGGGATAAAATCGCATCAAAAATGTCTGGGTCAGTTGTGTTTTAGAAAGCCTGACACAAACTTTGTTGGTATGTCAAACAATGGACTTTTTTCTGGAGTGTCAATCAAACTTAATAACTAACCAATCAGAAGAGTGTGACCTTAGTAACAATAACCAAGGGGCGGGGCTTAGCGAAAAGATCCATTCCATGAGATGCTGACACAACAAAATTGTATCAATACTTCATTAAAAATCTGCTCAAACCGCCACTGTCAGTCTGCGGATTGGTGTTGCATCGGGCAATAGCTCACATAGTTTTTCAAGAAACCTTCCAGAGACGTACTTTGCTTGTCTTTCGCAAGATGTGCCAACGCAAAGGGTAAAACTCATAATGAAAAGTTTACACTTCTTCTCAAGGTAAGATGCTTAAGCCTACAAACACATACTGTATTGAATATAATTAATGTAGGAGTCTTCATATATAAAATATATTGATAAAGATAGTCAACATGGTCATAAATTTTCTTTCTCACTACATATTATAAGGAATGGGCTGCATCATTATTTGAATTATATATTCTAAACTTTATTTCTGACATATTTATATTTAGTAGAGGTATTGATAATTGAAGAGGGACACTTTTTGGTAAACAGCAGAATCTTGTTCATATTATCCATCTGTTCAGTTTCTCTGTTTATTATACTTATGCTGGAAGGAATCAAATAAAATAAAAATAAGACTAACGATTAAAGCTCTCAGTATATGAATAAGAATGTTAACTTTTAATTTATCATTACGATTGAATGAACAAAAAGAAAATATAATTTCAATTTAATTATCTTACTTTGCGTGCCATCTTTCTTAGTACCATCTGATATGATTTCTATCTCATCTGTCACGACATCATACGTGAAGAAGTCGCTGAGGTAATCCTTTGACCGCTGTCCGGCTACAATATACAATTTTCGATTTTTCTTCACGAAAAAAAAAAATGTGTAAATGTTGGAAGACATTGTTTTTACATTTATTCAAAAATTTTGCAATATGTATTTGTTTTTCTGCCATAAATATAAAAAGCAAAACATTTGTCTACAAAGCTAATTGTGAAGTAAAATTACGCACTTTGCATGCAGTTCACAAGCAGAAGTATGGTAGTTGATTTCAGGTAGTACACACACTTTTTTCCGTACGTATAAATGTGGCATCCCCAGGTAAGGAGAAATTCTACCACACACCTTACCAGGTGGAATTGACCAATGAAATGTTGTTATTCTTACCTAACTAATATTTATGAGGTAAAGTAACATGGAATATCCTATTTTCTGAATGATATTATTCTGAATATACTTGATTATCAGTATATTTAATTTGAATGTTTCCATTCACCAAATAGAAAAGTATGAAATGGACTTATATGTAATCATATGTATAACAAAACAATTTGCATGTATAAACTCATCGAATGGAAGTGCATGCAATCCCTACGGAGCGTATTGGCATAAGCATTTGGCAGCAGTTGGGAAGATGTATGGAATGTCTTTTAAATGATGTGTATGCATAATTAGTAACAATTTGAATGTGTAATCTCCACGAATGGAAGAGCATTAGATGCTCTATTCACAGTTGATTATTTAAGAGTTTTGAAATNTTTTGAAATGGGAGATTATGGGGGGGGGGGGGTTCGAGGGTGAAGTGGGGAACTCATGATTAAGCGAAGGGCGCTAACTCGCAAAATAAGGTGATATGGAGTCATTATTTCATCTACTAAGCATGATTTTTTTGCAAACAGTTTAAATGGGGGCAGATTGTGGGAGCGAGTTTTACCCCCCCCACCCCTAGATACATCACTGACTATTCAGCATATCATCATATGTATTTTACAGCAATTTTTAAATTCAACTCAATCAATATGAATTTATTTCCAATTCCAGCAACAAATATGACAATACATGATTCAAATATAACAATTATAGTAAATAAAATTATCAAACTCTCCATGGAGCATGGAATTTTGAATTCTGAATTTTATTGTACGCAAATTTGATAGCATGTTTGTACTCACTGAATGGAAGAGCATTGAATGTCCTATCCTTGATTTCATTTCATTGGGTGGCGTGCCAGTAGAATCATCGCGTAGCTTCTTCCAAGTATTTGTGGGTATATGGTACGAGAACAGACCACTGAACGAAGCCTCACTCTGCCGCTCTTCTGTGCTTGCCGTACTAATTCATCAAAACCAACGAAACAAGAAAAATTCAATATGAGTAAAGAGCAAACAGTAAAAGAATATAAATAATAATAATAATAATAATGTAGGGATTTGCGCGCTATTTGCCAAGGAATATAAGGTGCGGGTGATGTTGTTATTATTACGCCTGAGTCGACCGATCCATTATCAAACCAGCACAAAGTGCAACCTTCTCTTTTTCATGCTCGCAATTTAATACTGATACAGACTAATACATTCAATGCCACATTATCCTACCAGGTACCCATTATAATTTTCGGTGGCGAGAGACAAACGTAGGTACAGTGCCTTGTCAAATGACACAAAGAAGATTCACAGCAAATGTTCGAAACTCTGACCTTTAAGTTGAAAAACCAAAACACAACAGTTGTGCTGAAGTACATATTTCAGCTGTTTGGTGCACTAGTAGAAATTTTGGGATGTCAATCATGAGGTCATGAACTGCCAGGAGAACCACCCCCAGTTCACTCAAGTTCTACAAGGTTCTACCTAACATAGCTTACCTAGTGAGTATCCTTCCTCCAAACACATATATAGTCGACTTCTCAATGTCCATACACATTTGATGGTCAAATATAAGCTTTGGACCACCCTCTGACCCTGTGTCATCGCATATTAATGTCCATGTATTTGATTCAATATCATACAGGTAAAAGTCACTCTAAAAGAAATAGAAATTTCATTATAAAAAATACCTGAAAGCAAAGAATATAAAACTGCAAAAGGTCCAACACTCAGGGTTTTGTTGGAATGCAATTCTTATCAAAAAAAAAGTAATATCATTAACGAGTCTTTCAAAAGAATGTAAAAGGCGTTCATAAATAGGGCGCCACCAATCTCATAGTAGTACATATATAATGTTTCATTTTGTGCATACAAAATCAGGGCAGTCCGACCTCTTGCAATCCTAAACTCTCAGCTTAAAGATACGACATCTGCTCATTTAAATAGTTCAAATTATTAACTTCTTTTTGGAAACAGATCTAAAAAGAAGTAGTTTCGCTTATTTTACTGACATTTTACTACAAAAATCATTTATTGATTTCATGAAGGGCAAGTATTTTGTTTTTTTTATCAGTGACATATATTGAATGACCACAGACTACGAGTTAACCACTTGATTGATGAAGCAGTGCCTATAGTGGAAGACACGCTAACGGTAAATAGCAATAAAATAATGTGCTAACTTACTTTGAGCGGTGAGATATTTCTGACTATTGATTCAAGGTATCTGCCAAGAATGAAGATTTGACGTCGGTCTGGATCTAAACACATCTTATGGCAAGAACGAGCACTCGGACCTCCCTTGGATAGAAAAATAAATCATCACAATTAGTTAATTTTATTTCTATTTAATTCCTTTACGCAAATGACCATGGATAACCAATAGCACATAATCAATGTACTATTTAGCCTGCTTTCCACTTGCGAATTTATTCGTGGGAGTCGAATGCATCGGTTCTTGCGCATGCGTATTCACATTTCTATAGGAGTTTTCGCTTCAGCAAAATTGGTAGTTCGAACTATTTCTACCTTCTGCAAAGCGACTGTTCGCAACTGATCGGAGCTCAGGAACCGAACCAACACCTTCGATTCGCGCTAATGAAATTCGCCTAGTGGAAAACAAGCTTTATATAGGTGGCAACCCCTTTAGATATACACACGGTGCTTTACGTAAAATAAGCCTCTTACCGAGGCTAATGGAGTGGAGTTGTTTTGTCGTGAGAAAAAATGTGAGGTCTCACCACGAAATGAGATGCATCGTTGGTGAAATCATATCGAGATATTCACCAAAATAGGTCAAAGGCAACATTTTTACAAAATTTTGATTTTAATGTTTTTGAATAACTTGATACTTATATTTTATGACTGTTCACTTTTGAAGTGAATTTTCTTACTAAAACAGTGTTCTCTTCGCATATTCTGTAATTCTAGTCCTATTATTTGTACAGGTTAGTTTATCTTTGAGGCCGAATTTCTCAAAACCTGGTTATCATACACCTAAACTTTAAATGCTAACATCTCTGGATCTATTTATCCTAGGGAAGCCATTCAAAGACCAAATTAAAGCTTATAATGTGATCTACCAAAATGTAATAAAAACTCATTTTTTGATTTTCTAACGATGAGACTCATTTTGTAGTGCAAATGCTGAATTCTGACAGGATTTGAACCCAAGACCCTAGAATTGGAAGGTGAGCATCTTTATTTAGTGTTGGTTCCAGAATTTGGTAGATGCGTTAGAGTGCACGGACAGGGGCACTAGCCCATACCTCCATTTTAAATATTTATTTTCTTAGTCTTATTACCTTTTTACTTTTTTTTGTTCATGTCTTTTCTTCCCTTTATCTTTATTTTCTTTCATACTCTTTTTTTTTATTTTCTGTCTCTCTTTTCCTTTACTTCCCTGCAATTTCTTTCTTTACCTTTTCTTCCACTACCCCCTTTCCCTCCATTAAAAATTCTACCTCTTTTCATGTTTTCATTTTCCTTTTCATTTTCTTTCCTTTCCACAATTCTTTATTCTTTCCTTTATCTTTCTTTATCATTTCTTTTTCTTTTCCATTTTCCTTATCCTTCTATATCCATCAATTTCTTGCTTTCCCCCCCCCGCTTTTCTTTGCAAATCTCTTTTTCTTTCTTAATCTTTCCGTTTACTTTCTTCTTCTTTTCCTTTCTTAGATACCTTGTTTTCTTTCTTTTTCTTTTCTCTCTTTCCCTTTCGTATTCTTTCTTTTTCTACTACTCACCTCTTCTGCTGTATTTCTTGATAAACATTGCCATCGTCCGCTAGATACCTTGTATGCCCAAAAATCAGCAAGATCCTGTGACCCATCCCAGCCTCCATACAAATAAATAGTTTCTAAGAAATAAAAAAAAATAGTTTGAATATAATTAATTATTCAAAATAAATGTACAGGCCTAAATTGTCCTAGTTTTTACATTACATATTTAGGAGTAATCAGCATTTTTTGGTTCTAACAAATCAATAAGTTCCTGTAGACTAAAGTTCGGCTAATAGTGGGTGGTGACCCACCTGTGGGTCATAAAAATATTGTAGTGGGTCATGCAGCCTTGAGAGAAACCACCAAAATTAGCTGGTTGAATTCTGTCATTAAGTATTATAGATGATAATTTGAAACATGTTATTTTGTAAAGTAATGGTTCAGCTTAGGGCGGCCTTACGCCCTGCAGTGGGCCGACAACTGCTGAAATGATGCTGAAAGGATAATTATGATGATGATGATGATGATAACTTTAAACAAACCTGTGACAACATCGATGCACATTTGATGTCCACCCCTCATTCCCGGTCGCTGGTCATCTTCCACATTAGAGAGCAGAGAAATTGGACTCCACTCAGGCGTGTACTCCTGCTTGCTTATGTAGTACCCAAAGAGATTTGATCTAGAAGCCTCTTGCATTATAGTCTCACATGTATCAAAATCACCTTGTAGCACCTGTTGATAAAATTATAAGTGAAAGTCAAGTCATGAAGAGAGCAGCTTAGCTCAGTCGACTAAACTGGTTGTAGCCACTGTGTGTGCACTGAACTGCGCAGATCTCTAGGTCCCTGGTTCTATTCCCAAATGCTTCTCTGCTTGTGTTTAGCAAGAAGTTCAATATTGACTTAGTAATACTTTGACCTCTGACTTACCAATCTAGTATGTAGTTCTGTTAGCATAGGATGTTCTAAAGAGATTTTGGTTTTCTTTTGTAAAGTCTCAAATGCTTCTCTGCTTGTGTTTAGCAAAAAGGTCAACATTGATCTAGTAATACTTTGACCTCTGACTTACCAATCTAGTATGTAGTTCTGTTAGCATAGGATGTTCTAAAGAGATCTTGGTTTTCTTTTGTAAAATCTCAAATGCTTCACTGCTTGTGTTTAGCAAAAAGGTCAACATTGACCTAGTAATACTTTGACCTCTGACTTACCAATCTAGTATGTAGTTCTGTTAGCATAGGATGTTCTAAAGAGATCTTGGTTTTCTTTTGTAAAGTCTCAAATGCTTCGCTGTAGTTGTGTTGACGAAAATGCTTCAGACATAGACGAATAGCTTCTTTTTCCCGATACTTTATGTAAGAAAAAAATGTATCAATAATGAATTAAAATCGGAGAAATATATCTAAGAATACAGAACAGAAAAAATCTTCATCTAGACAAACTGTTCTCAATTATTTCATAGCCCTGTCCAGAACATCAAATTTCATTTGACAAAAACCATTGTCTATGTTGCCCTTAAGGTAGGTTTTAGTAACATAATAATAATAATAATAATAATAATAATAACAATAGTGTAAATTTATAATGCACAAGTATCCATCATAGATGCCCATGGCGATCATTAAAGCTAAGTAAAATATATGATTTATGTTAAACACTTCTTACCTCATTGTATTTAAGTAGACAAGGATTCACAATATCTGGGTCATCGTAACCACGTATTTCAACATACCAAATACTGAAGTTAAAATTTGTTCCCCATGACATCAATGGAACTGAATATACAATAATAAAACAGAAAAACTTTAACCAAACAATCAATCAGCTAATTGAGCAAATCAAACAATAAATCATCCAATCAATCGACAAGCTGATTAATCATGCAATCAATTAACAAATCAATAGAGGGATTTGGCGATGGGCGTCACTTGATGACCTAACTTGGGTGTTGGATGTAAAAAATGGACTGGCACAGAGGAGGTAGCTATGGCGGCTGTCCCCAAGTTATTGAGCAGTGCAAAGATTGCTGTATTTATTACTTTGAATGTAATTTGAAAATGCTTCAGACATAGACGAATAGCTTCTTTTTCCCGATACTTTATGTAAGAAAAAAATGTATCAATAATGAATTAAAATCGAAGAAATATATCTAAGAATACAAAACAGAAAAAAATCTTCATCTAGACAAACTGTTCTCAATTATTTCATAGCCCTGTCCAGAATATCAAATTTCATTTGACAATAACCATTGTCTATGTTGCCCTTAAGGTAGGTTTTAGTAACATAATAATAATAATAATAATAATAATAATAATAATAATAGTGTAAATTTATAATGCACAAGTATCCATCACAGATGCCCATGGTGATCATTAAAGCTAACTAAAATATATGATTTATGTTAAACACTTCTTACCTCATTGTATTTAAGTAGACAAGGATTCACAATATCTGGGTCATCGTAACCACGTATTTCAACATACCAAATACTGAAGTTAAAATTTGTTCCCCATGACATCAATGGAACTGAATATACAATAATAAAACAGAAAAACTTTAACCAAACAATCAATCAGCTAATTGAGCAAATCAAACAATAAATCATCCAATCAATCGACGAGCTGATTAATCATGCAATCAATTAACAAATCAATAGAGGGATTTGGCGATGGGCGTCACTTGATGACCTAACTTGGGTGTTGGATGTAAAAAATGGACTGGCACAGAGGAGGTAGCTATGGCGGCTGTCCCCAAGTTATTGAGCAGTGCAAAGATTGCTGTATTTATTACTTTGAATGTAATTTAAGTTACTCTAAGTCGATTGTTGATGTCCACAAATTCACCACACAAACTTTGTGTGACTTGTCCCGAAAGGGAATATGTGATGTTTCGACAAATGTTATCTACGGCCTGTTTAGGTATGCACAAGCGTCTTTGACCAGCAGACTACGCTACGATTTCTAAGCTAGCTAAGGTTTACAAAGGATCACATAAATTTTAAGGAATACAATGCAAGGAGAATGCCAAAAGTAAATAAACACTATTTGAACAATTGTATTGCCTTTCCTTGCCATTTATTTCCCACGTTAACAATGGGTGGTTGTATTCGAAACAATTTACCATTTCCTATACTTTCACACTGATCGCACTGTAATGTTTTCCATGGTATACCCACAGCAGGTCACATGACCGGCTGTAAACAAACATCGGTGAATCACTCATTAACAATTCATTCAATCAATTAAATCAGGCTCACTTATAGGAAGCTGGATGTTTTTTGTCTCACACAGTGTTAACATGTTTGGTGTCAATTATCTCAAGGAATATATTACTTATTATTTTCTACTGAAACCAGGCACCACAAACACAATTATTAGAGGTTGGTTTTTATAATTACCAACCCATTTTGCAAGCCTTAAGGCAAAAAAAAAAAAAACTCACCAATTTTGATGTATCTGCATGGCAATGGGGATTTCCCTACTTTATGAGTAATTTGAAATACTTCAGGCTGATTATCATTCTTCAAACCACTGCAAAAATATAAAATATTAAAACAACATCGAATCTATTTGAAACATATTACAGTTAAAATAAAAATTAACGAAAATAAAATTGAAACAAAACTGATAAATCGGCTGCCTTGCTATATTTTCAAGGCTTTTTTTAACGGGGTATGGTGTATCTCATTCTTATTCAATGCATTTCCATTATAATTTCAAATATAAACATCAACTTTGTTTGGTTTATTGTGCTATAGTTTAGGTGAAAATTGGATAAAATATTCATTATGGAATTGCGAAAAAGATTCTATTCGTTTTAAAAACAATAAATTAGTAAAATTTGGGTTTGTTTTATATTCATATTCATATATATTTATATAGCGCCTTTCTTTGCAGATACGAAGCACTTCTGTCCCTGGTCATTGAATCCACATGCTTAAGTGTTGCTGCTGTTTTCAGCGCAGGAGCAAGCAACCCCACCAGGTACCCATTTATACTCCTGGGTGGAGAGAAGCAATGCAGATAAAGTGCCTTGCTCAAAGACACAAGCAAAATGCACAGCGAGGGATTGAACCCCCGACCTCGAGGTTGGGAAACCAAACCGTTCACGCTGCGCCAAACCGCTTATTTATGCAAGGTATATAATTATACCAGATGAAATACTTTGATCATTGAATATTTTATTATTACTTGTTATTAATATTTAACTTGTGGTTCTAAAGGTAAATATTTAGCTTATTTAAAGAGAGAAAGTAATCTCAACTATAACATTAATGAAAACAGTCAGCTATGAACAATAAACAAAGTTTCTAAATTGATTACACTAGTTCAATTATGAAATATAAATATCTCCATCAATGTTTGGTTTAGCAAGAAGAAAATTTGCAAATTATCAATTGTTTCCCTGAAGTCAGCTTAAAATGGGCATCACCATGCATACCAAAATAAATATAGGGCTTCTTTCTGCTGAGCAAAAAAAAACGTGTTTTTAAACGGTTATTAAAAAACAAGTTTTTTTCCAGCAGAAACGAATACAAAAAATAAAACATAATTAGGAATGCATTTGGAGTGGAGTCGAATAGCTCAGTTGTTTTTTCATACTTTCACGGTGTGTTATTTACTTCTTTCGCAGCAACTTCCATATGTGATCGCCATTATAATCTCTGCCCCCACCAATGCTCAAGCTAACATGTATTTTTTAGTTGCACTTTTCACTAGAAACACGTTCCGAAGGAATTTAACCATTTAAAAAAACACATGTTTTTGGCGTTAGATGTGTAATTAAACTTATTTAATGAGATTTCAAGGAAGCGGATTTTTCCAAATTGGAGCCCCTGATTAAATATGGTCAAACAATAAACAAGAATCGAAAAAAGAACACAAAAACGCATTCTCTTACCTGCTTAATAATTCAAGCATATTCTCTTCGCATAATCCTCCATATACCTTGAACATACGCAGGTTGCATACGTGGGTCCTCTCGTATTTACCGAATGTGATACTCTCAACTATTGAACAAGGCTCAAGTCGAAGTGTCAGAAACTATAGAACACAATATAAAGAAAACCTCTCTAATAAATGATAATTACAGCACACAAATTAATGATGACTTACCAATTGGGCAATGGCAACTCACCGGTCCCCCATGGCTACGGTAATTGTATTTTCAGAAAACTGTACCGTAGATATGTGAGAAGAAGTACCTTTTTATGAGAGTGGGTGGGATTGAATTTCGGTGGGATCTTTCTAGGGAGGCAGGCCTAGTTGATTACTTTGATCCACCAGCCAAGAGTTGACTCTGTATCTGTCCTCTACGCTTTTTTTAACCCATATTATAAAAGGTCTGACTGATATTCAGGGACCCTCTTAAATAAATGAAATAATGTGATTCTTTATCAGCGAATTCTCATTACAAAGTTTAGGAAGTGGAGATGTTTTTTAGTGAGAAAAAAAAATTCAGTACAATTAAAGGATTTGAACCCAGGACCCTGAGATTAGAAGGCAAGCACCAAAATACGTCTCCACTATGAATCCTGGAATGAGTGGTGGTTTCAGACAGCCTTGGCTCTCCGTTCTTCTTTATAATTTATCCCGAACTGAGTTTGATACAAGTTGGATTTAAGTGGGGTTTCGTCCAAAGGAATTGGTAGAGCTAAATTGGTCTAGTGCAAAGGTGGGCAAAGTGCGGCCCGACCGCAATTTTTGTGCAGCCCGCGAATATGAAATGAAAACCCTATGTGTGCGGCCCGCCAAGCAACATTAGCTAGAAAACACCTTGTTTTTTACGGCCTGACACCAATCATATGTAAAAAGTAATATTAAAACTGGGAATAAAGTGGTGTAAAAGAAAGCAGTGCTTGGAGGTTTTTAGAAAGCGCACTGGAAAGATCAAAATTTGGGTGCGGCCTCGGTTTTAAATCAGAAATTCACTTTGGCCCTCCGACCGATTTTTATGCCCACCCCTGGTCTAGTGGTTTGGTTTGAAGTGACAAGATACCATAAACACATTATCCAGTATTTTATAGTAGACTTTACCTGTGTTGGACAATTGCTGTCAGAAGACCATCTTGAGGATAGCACCTTTGGACAATTCATTTGAATGTTCCTGTAAATAAAATTTTTTTTTTTTTCAAAATGGGTAACACTTCAGACTTACTCTTACATCCAATTCAGACTAGACTTTTAAGGTTTCCCCTCCCACTCCCCCTCCACCCCCACCACATGTGATATTCATTTCAATTCATATGATATTAAAGAAATATTACAAAGCATGAAGTACGAAATTTGTTTCTTAGTAGGCCTACTCCACACTGTAATACCCTATTCAGACTACTCTGCAATGTAATCAGTGGTAATCCAAAACTGATTACAGTACTCCCAATCGCAAACAACGAGCGCATTCAGACCAACACAAAGAAAGAAACTTTGGGCCTACTGAAACTCCGCCATACAATGCCCGTGGAATTTGTTGTGATTTGAAGTGATTGGAGTCCGTGGTAATCGGGAGTAATAAAGATTGTAGCACACAATCGCAACGAGTAAACAATTGCGATATTACTTATTGACTATTATTGGTAAGCTTTCACACATGATTTTACTTTGTGATTGGGTGTCGCAATTGCTGCATTACAATCGATCGCAATGTGATGCTAGTCTGAATGGGGTGTTGGTGTAAAATATTTCATTTGTTCGGAAAATCCAGTAAATAGGTGGTGGTGTGAAGAATGCTTTAATTAATACATTAGCTGTACACCGAGATGTAAACCAAGCATTTTATTTTGCAAAAATGGCATTGAAATTGGCCCTTCTTATTTCCAATATGGGTGGACCAAATCCTCTGGGCTACTGATAGGCCAAAATTTTGCACAAGGAACATATTCCTATTAAGTCTAATTTTAAAGTCTGGGCATACTACTAGGCTGGCAATCTAGAGTAGTCGTATGTATGTGAGAAAAAAAATCATCGTAGGTCTAGGCCTAGCCTAGCTAAGAAGTTTAAAACTTTTCACTTACTCGGGTAAATAATGCGAAGAATAACTTGACCATTTATGGATCTTGTAATTCAATACATGACTTTTGCCCATATTCGCGTTATTTTGTGAAGCCATTGTAACATATAATTCATAAACACACAACCGTGGTTAAACAAAGTTTTAACACAAGAAGCTTTCAAAGTGACAATCAAACGGGCTATCCTAGGCCCGAATATATGATCGCAATACAGTATTCTCACTATCAATGTTCCGGTTGAGGTAGCCTGTGCCAGTGATGGAAGAAAGATTCCCAACCGGCCAGTCTAGGCCTAGCAGGGCACAACATTCAATGTTGTAAGTCCTCTTCGAAAGAAATTTTCTGGATAAAAGCTGCCAGTTATACTGAAGACTGAATAACTAAATTATATATTTACAACCAACATAAACAGTACTTTTGTTATTTGCCGTTATGATATGCGAATAAATTACTGAGACGGATTTACCTCTAGACGAACAACAACAACACGATATCCACATCGTCTAAACTCGAACGTGTACTAACTCGAGCGAGCAGTAACTCGAGCGAAGAAAAAATAGATCGTAAATCCGTTTTGGCAAGAAAGTAAAAAACGCCCTCTACTGGTAAGTCATATAATTCATTATTGAAAATCAACACGCTCGACTTTTGGGCAATGTATACTTAGTGTCAAAGTACTTTTGGTTATGTGGTTCTCTGCTGTGTGGTCTGACCGAGTACTATTAAATACTGTTTTCGAGTATTTCCATTGTGATGTCAGGAATTGACAATATTGGCCTGCGTTATGTGTTTGCAGGCACAGCCTGTATGACAGCTTCTTTCGGTAAATTTATTTTATTAATACTATAGGGCCTAGTAGAATATAAATAAGGCCTAGGGTAGGGGACTCTAAGCCTAGTAGGCCTAGTAGTAGTAGAGTAGTAGGCTTCCTAGCCTAGGCTAGGCCCTACCTAGCCTACTACTTAGTTTAGTTAGCGGGTTAGGCCTTCTACTATATGAAATATGGGCCCTAGGCCTAGCCTAGGCTTAGTCCCTGGAGGAGAGGCTAGATAGGCCATAGTAGCCTAGCCTCCCAACAAAAATCCAATAATCAGTGTTGTTGGTTTGTTTGTTTTCTCGTCTTTATTTTAGCAGAGCCTGAGTGAGGCATAACATATTTTTTTCACGGAAACGTAATTCGACCCAAAACACAAGTTCATAATGAAATAAGGAGCTTTTGATTGAGAACGTAGAATGTGATCGTAGAAAACAAATTCATTCTTCGTTGACTGTCGTCGCACAGGATCTACGTTCTACTCTAAATCAATTTTGATGTTTTACAAAGCATATGCGAAGATATCACAAACGTAAAGACTGATTTACCAAAGTTTAATAATTATACTCTATACTTTGGCTTGCACAAGAATATTATTTGGTTTTGTTTTTCTTTGCTTTTTGATACCAAATACCAAAATTCTTTATTTGTCAAAAATAGCAAAACAAGTAAAATGACAAAAACCAAAAACAAGAGACAAAAATGAGCCCTTAAGATGCTGGATAATGGGTTTGTTAAAAAATAGAGAGGGGCCTAAGCAAAACGTAAACGTATACGTATACAATAAAGCATTTTAAAATTAATTGAATATAAGTAATAAGAATAAAAAAGATTATCAAGAGTAAATATTCAAGTATTAGTGATATTGCATGCAAATGTACATACTTCAACTCAAACCTATTTTTTTAGCCACTAATCCAATTGATGTTACAAAGATCCGGATGCAACTAGATGGAGAACTCGCAAAGCAGCGTGGTCAGGTAAAAACAACCCTTCAAAATCGCTACTATAAGGGAATTTTTCGTGGTGCGATAAGAATTGCGCAAGATGAGGGAATTTTAGCATTATATAAGGGGTACGTAGATTATTTTCCAATCAAAATATTCTGTAAAGCCATGGTGGTAGTATTAAAACTATGGGTTGTGACCCAAAATAAGGTCACCAAAATATTTTGTATGGTTGCTTGACGTTTGTGTACAGTTTAATATTTCAAGCTTGAATATTTATTCAGTGGCGGATACAGAAAATGTATATATTGGTTGGGGGGGCCCAGGGAAAGACTTTCACAGATAGGGCATCAATAGCACCTCAACCCCACCATGGTTGGGTGGTGAGGTAAGAAAATTTACGATAAATAGCCAGAAATAGCACACACCGACTTAACATTTAATAGGATTTTCTTCTTTTTTTTTTCCCACATATTTTATATAATTTTTTAAAATGCTTTCCAAACTTGAATTCGCCACTGTGAAGGATAAGTCTTCCCGCAGATTTAGCCTACACTTTACTGAAGGAAACATTTCATTTAGAAAATTACTTGTTGGATAAAACTGATTTTAAAGTTTGACGGAGGAGTCTGAACCAAGAGGCGAACACAGTGGCAGATTTAGGAAGTCAAAATGAATGGGGCCCAGGGAGGGACCTTCACAAATGGGGAATCTGGCCCACCTCTAATAGCCCCAGATTGGTTGGGCTAAGGTAAGAAAATTTATGATTAGGACACCTCTTGATGGCAGGAAATGGCACTCTCAGACCTAAATTGGGATTATAATTTTCCTTTTTTTTCTGCATTTTTTTATAATTTTGAAAAATATAGGGGGAACCAGGCCGGCTCATTTTCAAAGTTGTGTTTAATAAACAACAAGAATAAAAATAAGAAGGGAGGTTCAAAAGTCTGCGCGGACCTAAAAATTAGTTGAATGAATGGTGGGTGGTGAAGTTAAGCTGAAATATACTAAATATTGAAGTATATTGAAATATGTAGGGTCGCCATATAACACCAGTGCTTTAAAGCATCGTACTGAATACAATACTCATAATAATATTTTATATTTAGGCATACAGGTTATGGATTAATAATTAACCATATGTTGCAATGTATTTATTATTCCATCATAAACGGATTCCAGCTACTCTGACTGACTAATTGGTATTCATATTTCAAGTGTACTCAAGGAATTCAACATCTGGTTCCATTTACAGGTCTTCCTCCTGTTGATTAAATACCACGTTTGTGACTGGGATATCCGTGGTCTTTAGCATCTCTAATTAGATTTAAATAAAGATGAAAGATATTTGTTAATTTGGGACCACAGTAAAGTAGAGGTGGTCTTAATTGAATTGATCTTTAATTTCAGGGAGACCTGTATTTATACGTAACTACTGTATATTTTGGTAAATTGTGTATCAATTCGTAGACCTATTGTATTGTCAGTTATCATAATTTTTATTATTATCATATCAATTCATAGACTTACCGTATTGTCAATGCTTTGTTATTGTCATATCCAGTACTGGTCATATCAATTCACAGACCTACTGTATTGTCATTTATCATTCTTTAGTATTGTCATATCAATTCATAGACCTCTGTACTGTAAATTGTCATTTATCATTCTTTAGATATTGCCATATCCAGTACTGGCCATATCAATCCATAGACCTACTGTATTGTCATTTATCATGATCTTTATTATTTTTCACTGCGAGTGACCATGGAGGAAATATTTCCTCCATGGAGTGACTAACCTGGAATTCTGTATTCATATTTTTTTCATGAGTATTTATGAGAATTAGCTGTGGTGTTAGGTCTGGGCTTTGAGTCTGAAGCTAGCTATTTTTTTTTTACTTGGGCATCTTACACTTTAGGCTAGTTATTGCCTTCTCTCCAACCAGTAATTTATGATTACATTCCAGAGGCCTGTAGGCCTACCCCCTAAATTTTGAAGAAAGATCAACGTTTCGGGTCCATCATGAAACCATTCTCAAGATCAAGTAAATTGAAAAAAACTGAAAACAGTTACACCTTCAGTCAAAGCCAAATTGTTTATCTGGTTAATCTGCTAAGAAGGAATAATTATTGCTTAGCCCCACACAGTAGGCCCTATTTATATGTTAATTAATTACTTACTTCCTGTCACTGCTTGGTATTTTTGTTTTCAGTTTTTTCAATTTACTTGATCTTGAGGATGGTACCATGATAGACCCGAAACGTCGATCTTTCTTGTCATTAAATTTTTTTTGGAAAAAAAAAAAGGAAATTGTATTAAAAAAGAAATTTACATTCAAAGAGTTCCTGTTTCAGCCACAGGTCCAGTACATTGTACTGTACATAATATTTCTACTGTATTTCTGAACCCTCCATCTATATCTATATTTTTTCCCCTGTCCCCAATTATTTAATTCCTGGCAAATGCATGCTACTGCATTGAATACAGACGCAACTACATTTAGAACCAAGTGTTTCAGGAAATAAGAGACCAAATGACCAGAGGGTAATAATGTAAAGTAGAAATCAATTGAACATCTATCATAATATGGAATCCGCATTTTAAAAACATTATGTTTTATAATTAACATATTTAATTTCTTTTTTATAGTATATATTTTAAAGGTCTTTTACTTTTTTTTTTGTTGGTAGATTAACACCCGCACTGATCAGAGAAGCAGTTTACAGTACAATACGCATTGGCTCGTATGAGCCAATTAAAGTGTTTTTCGGGGCCACAGATCCATCAAAGACTCCACTATATAAGAAGATTTGTGCTGGCGGAACTGCAGGCAAGTCCATCATTATCACCATCCATCATTTCCTTATGAAGTTACAAGCGTTAATAAACATACAGCTGTTTTAAATAACAATATTTCAGAAATCAGCCGTAAAATTTTATGATTTCGAGAATTTCTTAGGCAGAAATCATCACCAAATTGTTAAAAATTTTTGTTTTAACATTGAAAGTGGGGAAAATAACAGAATAGCATGATGTATATATATATATATAAATTAGGTTAGTACAATAAAATAGATTTCAAAATTGTTGACATTCCAGCATGTTTTGGTAATTAGCTCTGAAACACGATTTGCGACGAATGACTGGTTTGACTTGTCTTTGCCACAAATTTGTCGGTCAGTTTAGCAAAAAGTTGTTCCAATATGGAAGATGGTGGTGATTTATTTAATGTTCATGTTAATTTCACTGAGTAATGTAATTGAATTTCAGGGGCAATTGGAAGTAGTATCGCCACACCGACTGATCTAATCCGCGTTCGTTTACAAGCCCAAGGAAGGCCTGGTTTCGATACGACCTACTCTGGCTTCACGGATGCAGTCACAAGTATAGTGAAGAAAGAAGGCCTACGTGGACTGTACCGTGGAATGTCACCCACCGTGCAGCGAGCAATTGTGTTGACAGCTGCTCAGGTGCGTTTAAACATAACATCGAAAATCTTCACGTAATTTTATTACATTGAACAAATTTATCATATTCTTTGATTAATATAAATTTATACAATTAATAAAGGTATAGGTAAGTGTACAGAAGTCCCGTATTCATTAATGAATGTATGAGAATGAGATGTTAGGAGCCAGCCCATCATATTAAGCATCTGCATTGTGTGGTAGGGTGGCCTGTTCCTTTCCACAAAGCTTTCTTTATCCTCTCCAGTATATTTCAACCAGGTTACACTCCTAGGTGGAAAGACAAACATGGGTAAAGTGCTTTTTCCAAGGACACAAGCGAAATGCACAGCAAGGGTTGAAACCCCCAACCGCAAGGTTAAGAACACCAATCGCAACAGTTGGGCCAACCCCGCCCCCCCATCATGTCTCTACTTAGTGAAATACTTTGGTTATTATTTGCTTAATAGTTTTTTATAGGAGAGATTTTTGTTATAATTCTGTCCAGACTATCAAATTTTCTTTGACAAAAAAACTGTTGTATGCCCATATATAGTCATGTTGTGCCTATATATGGTCATGATGTGATGTCATTATGACCATATTTGGGCATGTCACATGTTTTTGTCTAATATAATTCGTCTGAAGAGAGATTTATTATCGTAATTTGTTATACACTTTAAAATTGCATTGAATTAGTGATAATTAATTTTCTTTCTTTTTCAGACCTCGTGCTATGATCACACTAAACACTCAATATTAAATGCGGGTCTTATGACTGAAGGGGGCGCTCTTCATATATTATCTTCCATGATTGCAGGACTCATGGCCGCTGCCGCTTCATCTCCAGTTGATGTTATTAAAACTAGAATTATGAATCAAAAAATTGATGGTAAGGGATGGATTGATGTGTTTGCAATCACATAAATATGCCAAAGTCTTCAGACAATAATTCATAATTAATTCAGATCCTAATAATACATACTCTGGTGCCTAGCGCTTTACACCAAAGTGGTCTCAAAGCACTCGAGGTACAGACAGGCTCTTACAGTAACTTTCTTCTCCCCTAAGGGTCTCTTCTTCTCTAAGCTACCCGGTAAACCAGTACCAGCTACTATCGTCTGTTCACAGCAGGGCCTGAATGGACCGGTACACCAGGGTAACCCACTACTCATCTCAAAAGATGTACTGGGTTCTTTAAAGTGCACATAAGCCAAGTGTGTACACTGGGCCTACGGTTTATAGTCCTTATCCGAGAAGACTTGTTCCACCACCAGAACCATAGGCGAACGTGCAGTTCGGACCAGTGCTGATATTATGACTGTAGGTTGCGATGCCCCTGCCTTAACCGCTCGGCCAGATACAGCTTCAGTTGTTATAGTATTTAATCGTGTGGTTGACTGCTTGTAGTACACTACACCAGTGTTGGATAGCCGAGCCGTTAAGGCACGGGCACAGCAACGTACAGCTAAATATTGGCGCTGGTTGGAGCAGCAGGCTTGCCTATGTTTCTGGTGGTGGTGATAAGCAATATAAACCCAGTGTACAATATATGGTTTGTTTACTCTGGTTTACTGGTCCAGACAAATGTAGCTGGTATCGGTTTACCGGGTAACTCAGACACGAAAGGGACCCTTCGGTGGAGGCAAGTTACTGTAAAAGCCAGTCTATACCGCAAGCGCTTTGAGACGGTTTTGGTGTAAAACACTATATTAATCTAACTACATACATTACCACAAACATCTGTTTCACTTCATAAGTGGCTCCCAAAGGCCAGCGTTACAATAATTTTTTCTTGTTATTTTTGCAGGTGTTCCAAAGGATCAGATTATGTATAAAAACACGCTCGATTGTCTACTGAAGACACTAAGAAGCGAGGGCATGTTTGGTCTCTACAAAGGATTCATTCCAAACTGGCTACGAATCGGTCCGCACACTATCATTAGCTTTTTCTTATTTGAACAATTCAGGCATATGGCTGGGATAAAACCAATTTAATGTGCAATATATTTTTTCAAGGGAAATTTATGAAGTCATTTTATATATCGCTGTTGAATCAATACTGTAGACAATTTCAATTTGAAAATCAAGAAGAAATTAAATTTCTAGCAATATCAGTAAACATTGATAAAGTAGCACAATGTAATATGATATTATACATTTATAAAAAAAAAGGATTCTAAATGGAATTTTTAAGTGTTGAGGGAATTGTGAAGCTTGTATTCCATAGTTGTATGGCTAAATTATTTATGTAAATTAAAATATCTATAATCTCCTTCTTAATCCGACAAACTAAAAATCATGATTACAAACATTAAGATACAAATTATAATCCTCAGAAATAGATATATAGTAAATATTATACATTGTTTATATATTTTCTATATTCATATACCGGTACAGGTATATATATTTATAAATTTAAGCAAGTTGTGTTATCAGTTAACATGTGCAATTTTCATTCATTGCAGTTTATTTTATAAAAAATACCACTACCTCATTTTCATACCTGGAATACCAATTTTATGTAATGTTGTTTGTCTACTTGAAGATTTTCAAACTTTCAAAAAAATATGTTATCCTTTAAATATTTTCATCAGTTTTAATAGTTCCTAAATTAAGGTTCTAAAACAGCATAATGTATTCAGCTATAGAAAAATCCAATTAGAAAAGGGCACTCTCTCTTGGGTCCCCTCGAGGGCATTTCTTGTTTATGTTTCAGTGGTGCAAAGTATTCAGAGTAGATTATGATGAAAATAAAATAATGAATTGGATTGGATCAAAAAAATGTCATCACCTCAGTAATGGACATTTAAATAATATGTTGCATGTGTCTATGTTCCTGGTAGTTAAACTGATGATTTACGTGGTTTTTTTTTTTTTTTTTTCTTCTTGGGTGGTGATATATATATATTTTTAAAATAAATAATGGTATTCTTTTATATCACTAAAGTTCATAACATGAATTATTGGTTTTCTCTAAAATTATTTAGCCTATGTTATACATGTACAGTACTTTTGTCTATGAATATAAATCCTGAAATGTAAACCTGGGCGCTCGCTGTCGTACGACGGCCGTAAGACCTTCAAACAACGAATCAAACTCCCCTTCCTGTGAGCGCAGGATAATGCGACACCGTTTGCCGACTGTCAGCAGCAGTCTGAATGGATCGTCATTGAAAACGATCTGTTGCTCGCGCGTCATGGCGTTGCGTTCTCCATAGAATCGCGTCAGGTGATGACCATCTGGTACGGTGAGTGCTGAGAGATTGAAATAAATGAGCACATAAAATGCAACATTAATAATTGTGATGTTTTCTTTCATTGTTATTGGTTATATTCAGATATTTTAAAACATATTAATTCAAAAAATAAAATATTCACTCTTTTTTAACAGAACTTATTACAGTTAACTAACTGAGGTACCGTATTACAAAATCTACAACAGCGCAATAGATTTTTTGTCCATTTTATCTTGCAAGCACGGATCTTGGTAATAATTTCATAATAGCTGTTTCGTATAACAACATTCTACAATTAAAAGATTAACATCAATTAGTTGTGGACAGCTGTTAACTGTAGAGTATTATAGTATTATACTCCCAATTTCATCCTGGAAAAAACTATAATCATAATCATTGGTAATTTTTGTAATGCTCTGTACGATGCTGTGTCATAGTGATGTGTATGGGAAGATTTTCTCACCTGGTATTAGATATTCCAGGGAATTGCCTCTCAGTATCCACATTTAATGCACTGCGAGACTGATAAAGGGGGATAATTATTTCATATTATTGTCTGTTAATGCAAGCTGTCTGCATAATATAATGTGATTACCTAGGGGTAGGCATCAGCGCCTAATCTGACAACCCAACTTAGATGTGTCTTAGTGGCTGCTGAGTGCGGGGTGCCATGGTCACCCAGCAGCAAGAAAAACCAGCAGCTCAACAAAGGTCAAACCATAACTTTAAGGAGTAGGAGTATATTTAGCCACATTCTTTTGATATTTATTTATTCTTTTTACTGATTTTTTCATTGTAACGCGCCACCATTATTATTACTTATACTATGTGCCTCATCAGGAACTGTCTTGATTATTCGAAATACAGGTGTCCATCCAAAAAGTGGTCTTTATAATTGGAGGGGCCCTTAATTATTAGGGAGACCTGCATTTCTAATTGACACACATTTTCCAAAAAAAAAATAAATAAAACTAGGCTATCTGTCACAGCCAGCACCACAAATGCAGGAATTTTTCTATGGGTTTGTTATATGTGATGTACCAAACTTCATTAATAGGCATGACATCTCAATCTTTTGTTTATGATTTGACCTTTGACATAGGCATAACCATTTGAAACTACATGATGACACATTACATCTAAATAAACATAATTTTTTTTATGATCTGTGTCTGAGTAATATTTATTTCACACAATGTATTTTTCACATAATTTTTTTTAGTGTAACATGTTGTACCACAAGGCAGCACCATTTTTTTTTTACTGTATACTATTTTTATTATTACTGGTATAAGAAATATAAATCCTCATTCATTCTGTCATTATGGACACAATTTATATCAATCATTTCATACTGTGACAATTATACTAAAATAATAGAATCTTTTAGTGGATCTATTTTCAAGGTAATGGCTAATTTTTAAATTTTACATGGAAATTTAAGTTGATTTCATGCTTTTTTTTCACTGTTTTTATAACGGGCAACGACATATTATTTCATTAACACATATCAAGCACCAATCCATAGAGTTACTAGGTCTCCTTTTTAAATATGTGTAGCACACATATATTTGGTGGATCTGGAGTACTGACCCAACTTGACTAGCGTAGTACATTTACTATACATATATACTGTACACGGAATGGAAGACTGGGGAATAAAGCTTTCACAATTTTTCATTGGTTTGTAATTTAAAAATAACTAAAATAATTGAGGTATAATTACCTTATTCATACTGACTCACACATATACATCCCTAAGTAAAAGAGAAAGTTCTTTTTCACTGGTTTGGTAAAACCTAATTTCTTTACACAACATACACAATTTTGTACATCATAAAATAAATCATGTAATAAAAGAATTGAAACACCGGTTCTCATCAGCTCATCGCAGTTAAGAAACGTTGTGTCCAGTATGAATGAATGAGAGACTATTTTTTAGCTGACCAAGATTGAGTAAGTTCAGGTTTAGTCAAGTGGTACAACAGGAATGCCAATATCTACAACCCATTGGCGCAAGCTTGAATCTCACTCTTCACTCTGGTTAAGGACTCTGCATCGTTTGCCTGATGTACTGCTCCATCTGGCCCGTCGATGTGAACAAATGATAGTTACCCTACTGCAGCTAAATCAAAGATAAAATTACCATTTTGGGAGGAATGAGTTCTTGAATGAGTTGTTCACATTTCTTTCTTTTTTATCCAGTTTTTACATTTATCTTTTGGAATTCTAATCCAAGACCTTCCGATAATACTCTAATTTACCAACTGGCCAATGAGGATGAGTCATAATTATACACCATTGTATTTCTTCATTAGGACACATTTTTCTCAAGGTATTCCATATACGATTTCAGAATTCGTGCCCCTAAATACAAAGGTCTTTAGAGATATCTTGAGGCACAATTTCCCAAAATTTACGATGAACCTCCACCGACTCCGACATTTGAAGAACCACTGAAGCCTCTTTAGTATCTGAAAGGCCCAACCAGCTGTCTAAATACATGTAAATTCTCACAGTCTTAATAAAAATTGACAAGATAGCTATACATTATTGCATATCTTGATGATGTGTTTCTATTATCAATATTTGGTTATGAGTTTGAAAACAACTGCTGGAAAAGGTAATAATTTTCATGATTTCTACCTGTACATTTATCCTACGCACGTTCTTGCAATATATAAATCAATAGAAAACAACGATGACATGAATTGATATATTAAAACATATCTGGATTTAAACTATAAAATACTCAAACACTCTTTTAACAGAACTTATTGCAGTTGACATAAAATTCACCAAAACATTAAGCACGACTAGAGCTTAGTTTCCGTAAAATCGCTACGCTATCGCTACAGTTTTCAGTACAATTGTTGTACTGGGTAGCAATCCCTGATGCAAGAAGGCTCTCCGTTTCGACCGACAATTCAGCATCATCAAACCTGTGTAGCGATTGTATGGAAACAAAGCTTAAGTTAAAAAATATAGGTGAATACATAGACGTGTGTAGCACACATTAAGCAAACTGTTTTTAAAATAATTAATAATTCATTTAATCATTATGTTTCAACCAAACATTTTCAATATATACGCATTCTTATTCTTACCAATTTAAAAAATACAGTATCTATATTTGATTTATATTTTATCTTTTAAAAAAAATAGTTTATATGGCACCACCATTCGTATTTATTGAAGACAAAATATTTACATGTTACTAAAAATTAGTATATTGAAAAAGTATCGCATTATACCAGTATCCCATACCATAATATACCTTATATTAGACATATAATTGCATTACATATCCAAAACAAAAAAACCCCATTAAAATATAAATCTATAATTGTTATTAAATAAAATTTAGATTAGTTCTTACATATTATACAAGACAAAATTAAGACCAACACTTCCACACACAAAAAACCAACACAAACACATGATCTGAGATGTTTGCAAGTAAATTAAACATTGGTTTCATCTTCATTCTCCAGCACTGTAGCACCCTCTCTTGATACTTTAACATGTGCATCAGTGGAAGGTTGCGATACATTGCTTGAAACACGAGTTAGTTGGCCACCCCCGTTGAATTGTTCTGGTTCATTGTTTCTGTCGTACATATCTTGACTGATCTAAAAAGGTGATAATTATACATAAGTTAACAATAACTGCGATATAATTACATAGATATATTATTTTATCTTTCTAAATCGATAAGTCGAGTCGAGTGGGCGAACAGTAAGGCAGGGGTGCCCCAACAAGAGTCTCAACATCGGCAGTGGTTCCAGCCGCTTCTTGCCCAGGGTCGGTTGGTTGAACCAAGTCGTCTTGGATAAGGACCTAAAAATGGAGGTCCAGTTTACACATCTGGCTTGTGTGCACTTTATAGAACACATAGCATCTTGCAATTGTGATTTTACAACACAATATTAGGGATTGGCAATCAAAATAACGTCTTGGTTAGGCAAATTAATATTTTTAATCCGATGAGCTCGTCTTGGCGTCGGACGATGGGGTTACCAGGCCTGTCCAATGGGGGATAATTTCCCCTCCCTGCTGACACTACTGATTTTGATGCCAGCGAACACTTACAAGATACAGTACATGAATACTAAAAACTGATATATGTGCTTAACAATGACACTGTATATTAAACAAAGATCTTATAAATTATATCTTATAAACACAAGATAGCGTTCTCCGCGATTTACGTGTGCAAATTCTGTAATAAGGCATGAAAGGCGCCCTCTTGCTAAATTGGAAACTTTTGACCCTTGACCGCTCTGACCATACCGTACATCGCGCAACTTTACCTTGTGTTTATTAGGTATCAATCCTGTGAACAGCAGAACAGGAAGAATCTCAGATCCATGGCAACAGATAGGACGGACTCTTCCAAAACTGATACTTTTTCTCTTTGGTATAATAGCGCATGAATGGCGCCCTCTTGCTAAATTGGAAACTTTTGAACCTTGACCGACGCTCCTATTTGTTACGCGTAAATCGCGGAGAACGCTATCTTGTGTTTATAAGATCTTTGATATTAAATCAAAAATGGGGTGGTGGTGGTGATGGTGGCAGTAGTCGTGGTAGGCAGTAGAATTTGTAAACAAAACTACAAATAACAAATAACTACAAATAACAAATAACTACAAACAACTTACCACATCAAGAAGGTCACCAGAGATAGAGTGTATAAGAGCATCATGAATAGTAACATAGAGATGATCGTGACCAACTGTGTCAAAGAATCCGCAACGTTGCAGCATCATTCTTATTCCAGCTTCGATTGAAAAAATAAAAATATAAATTTATATAAGACTCTCAGCCAGAATATCAAGACAAGGAAATAGCAAAAAAACTATCAGAGTATGTTTATCGAATAACAGGCCAAGTATCATATTGTACTCCTGAAGAACTACAGTAGTCCAATAGGGTTAAAAATAAATCATAATAAGTTTTTGTTTATAATTTTCTAATATTATTTTAAATTTTAAACATGTTTTAACTGTTAACCGGAAGTGGTTTGAAGCAGCGGGAATGGTTTGGTTTCCCAGCTTCAAGGTCGGGGTTTCTATCCCTCGCTGTGCATTTCAATTGTGTCCTTGGGCAAGGCACTTTATGTGGATTGCTTCCCTCTGCCCAGGAGTATAGATGGGAACCTAGTAGGGTTAAATGCCAAAATGCGCTGATGTAGCTGTTGCAACGTTATGGAATACGCCCCCAGGGAACTTGAGTTTGTGTTCCATAGGCGTTTCATCCAATGACCGGGGTAATGATAATGTGAAGTGCATAGAGGGTTTAACAATATGCGCTATAAAAGTCTACAATTATTATTATTATTATCATTATAATCATAAACTTAGAAATCTCTCCATTGACCCCTACCAGGGTTTTTAGCCCAAACCCTGAGAGGATGCCCTAATTAGTACCCTTGCTTCTTGTCAGATTTTTTGACCCACTATGGTAAACATATGTAGACACTATTGATTCCATGTGCTACAGCTTATTCAAATCATTCTCAATTGCCATGACCATTTTTATCTCACCTTTACAATTTGCCAAGACAACTTTAATATTGATTTTTTCATAATCGGCAATTAGATCTCTCAGTGTATTAACCCCCATAAGGTCAATAAAGTTAAATGTTCCACAATGAATTATAATTGTCTGGCATTTTAAACTTTCTTCACTTGTTAAGCTGGAGGTTGCCAGGCTATTGTCTTCATTTGATGAATTATTCAGGCTTTGAATTTCAATCACACCTTCCTCTTTTGCAACCTAGAAAAAAATTGTAAGACATAATTTGTTTATATTTTTTGAAATATATTACAGTATCATGAACAAAAACAACTACACTACAATTCGATGAATGAAATATACCATTTCCTACATTTATTTAATTTCATTTCAAGATGTGTTTTATTGTTTTATTATTATTTTTATTATCATTATCCATTACAAAAATCAAAGTACACATTTTTAAATTCAATAATTTCTATGCTCAAGTTAATAACTTGTATGTCACTGCAAAGTTAATTTCACAATAATTTGTTATGATTATTTTTTCATTTTCAGGGGACAACACAAAGTGAGCAACTTAAAGTATTACTGTTACTACTTGTTAGGAGTTTTACTTTAAAAAAAATCGAACTCTTCGCCTAGTGTACAAGATACTGATTTATGAGATGAAATACAGCTTTTGCTACAAGTTATTTCTATGTTGTGTAACAGTTAAAAATTTACTACCATTTTTTTAAGTACACTAGCTTATTACTTAAAAATGTTAGGGAAAAAAATGTCCAGTGTATACAATGGCTCGTGTGCACTGAAGAACCCAGTACATCCTTCGTGATGAGTAGGGAGATACCCCGGTGTACTGGTACAGGCAGCCCCTGTGGTGGACGACAAGAGTTGCTAGTACTGGGCTACCAGGTAGCACAGACACGAAGGGACCCTTAGGGGTGAAGAAAGTCATTGGTCGAGTTCCTAGTCCACATATCAAGCACCACAAGCATCTTGTTAGATGGATACACGGCGCTATACAAATGTAGACTATTAATATTATAGTTTTTACACTGCTGTTTCATGGGACCTAGTAACAATAGCAAGCTTTCGATTTGTGCGACAACACGAAGCTAGAACAGAATCACTCATGCGTGACCGCCCTACCTGGCGTCCTACGTTCTCTTCACACATAGATTTGGCCAAATTGCGTTCCAGAATCTACTCGACGAGTTGACCTTAACATTTTCGCATGCAGATGACTTTCAGTTACGTCAATATGTTCTACGTCCTATCGTCGTCGTGCTATCGAAAGCTCCCTAATGTCAGAACGATGTGAGACTTATACCCATTTCACACTGATGCTATTTTGCAAATATTAACAACTAGTAACAAGTTGTAACCAGGTTTGGATGAGTGTGAAAGCAAAATCCTTGTAAACTTTCCGAGATTTCACAGGGGTCCCCTGAGTTATCTCGGAACAAAAACAGACCATCGAGAGGCCTGTTTTTTTCCCAGAATCTTCCGAGTTGTTGTTGCGCATGTCCATATTTATATTTTGACCTTTTTGCGGGCTGTTTTTTTTTTTTTTTTTTTTAGTTTGAACGAATGGCGGCAGCGATGGAAAACGTATCAACATTACTACCATTGTTAATAGGTCTAGACCTAAAATCAAAAGAAATCTCGCTAAATTTCACATGTCTGATGTAGAAACAATCACGAGACTTCGTAAAAAAAAACGCCGACAGCGAATCATTATGATGCTTGACACACTGTTTGCCTCTAACAACAATGGTGAGCTACCGGCCGGCGGCCCGACTGCGCCTAGCTAGCCTAGGCCTATCTTTATCGCCAGCTCGACTACAGCAAGCGAGCTAGGAGTTGAATTCGTTTTACTCTCCGAAGGCAAAGGACCATGGTATAATTACAATCTTGTTAATTCGGTACCAGGCCTAGTTTAGTAGTTGATATGTAATTCGGACAACCTACAACTAGCCTAGGCCTATACTAGTACTACCCTAGGCCTCTAGGCCTAGTCATAATATTCTTCCGAGTTTTCCCGAGATTTCTCATGGTTTGAAAGTGCATGTGTGAAACAAACCAAAAATCTCGGAATATCAAACTTGTTACAACTTGTTAATAGTTGTTAAAAGTTGTAATATTTTCTGCTAGTGTGAAATGGGTATATGTGGAAAGGTGTATTGTCATTGGCTCACTTACAGTTGAGTATTTCTCTCGTTTCCTCAGTTTTTCTTCCTTCTTTTTTTCTTTCAGCTTTGCATTTTCTTCTTTTCTCAGTGCCTTTTCTCTAGAAGCTTGAACTTTGCGTGGGTTAACACCGGAGATTTCGTAAACAGAGTCCCTGAAGTAATCTGTATTTGCATAGTACAGTGAGGATGAACAGCGGAAAATCACAACCCCTGGAATTTCTTTGGCCTGAAGGTGAAAACAATTAAAGGCATTAGAATAAAAAGTATTATAATGTCGTTTACACCACTGGTTCCATGGACCTGCACTCTGTGGACCCCAATTATGATTTTAAATAAACACAAAATTTCATTTTTGGCCAATTAGCACCCACCACCACAAAAAATGGAAATTTCAGAAAAATATCAATTTTTCTCTATTTTTATTATAAATCTCCAGAAATAAGATATGTATATTTCTTCCTAATTATATAAATTTAAAGCATTTAACCATCCCATTACTACAATGTTTACATTTGACCAATAAAATCATATTTTTACCTCTGTCTGGATGTTTTTGAAAAAATTATTTGCTAAGAAATACAATTTTTTTTTTTTTTTTTTGCTCTCCTCTGACGATCTTTAAAAAAATAAGTTTGCAAAACAAAGTATAAAACAAGTCTCTCCTAAACCCAATAATTATATCATTCCAATTCTTTTAACTGTACAATATATAATTGAATAAAAAAAAAATATTTTAATATTTTGCTACTTTGTAAGTTTGAAAATTCTATTGCTTGGCAGACTAATAATAGCAAAAAATATATCAATAAACTACAATTCCAAGGTTCAGAAAAAGAATACAGAACTTACACCTTTATAATTGTAAACATCTCTGTATATATCTGTGTGTGGTATACGGCCAAGTTTGGTACAATACGGCCGCTGTGTTCTGAAAACTACTGTTATAAGTGCAAAGGCTACACCAGCCCCAAGACCTAAATCAACACCGAGTAGGACTACTGCTAGGAAGGTAACGGACCAGATGAGCTGTGGGAACAAAAAAATGAAAGACTATTACAGGGGTTCAAAGTCTCCATGAACTTATGTGAATGTCCCAGAAATCGGAAGGACCTTCTGCACTCCCGAAAGCAAGCAAGAATCTCCCAGAAATAGCCCATCTCCTGCAAATTCATAATATTTGCATGTTTTCAATATTTTAGTATCAATTATCTCATAAAAGTCAGTGCCAATGGGTATCTATGTGTGTAGTAATAAAATTTGATGTGTTAAAAAAAAGTCATCCATTGCAGATCAGTGGAGGATTCAATGGTAGGGGAGACAGCTGTCTCTGATCCTTAACTTTTTCCAAACTATAAAAAAGAAGTGGGAAAAAAGAAAATTATATTCTAAAATTTATGTGTTATTTCCAACCATCTAGAGGTGCCATAATCATAAATTTTCATACCTCATCACCAAATTTTCTTGAATGTTGAATGCATCAAAAAATAAATATTATAAGCACTTTTCTTTAATAAGCAAAGGCACCCAAACAAACTCTTTCACTTTTTGAATGAATGTTCTGTGCTTAAGTAACAAGAGTAATACAATAATAGAACATAATATTTTGGGTCAAAAATTATCATAATCAACTAATTTCTTATTAAAAAATAATAATACGAATGTTGCAACAAGTTAGATACAACACATCCCGGTGGGAAGCAGGAGAAAAACGAAGAAACTATGGCAGTAACACCACCAGCCAACAGCTCCTGTATAGAAAAAAATGTTATACAACTATTGAATTTCCATGAAGGATTATGAAAAACGTACAACGGGCATCTTCTTCTAAACAGTCTATTTTCAAGCACACTCGGTTTTCAGATGCAGACGATCCACAAAAGATGCAATACCTCCATGATTTCCCCGTTTACAACTTTTAAAGTATAGCTCTACATATTAAACAACTAGAAAATGTAAGAATGACCACAAAACAGGCTGTTACTATTTGTTCAGCACTTTGCCATAGAACCCTAATACATTATATTTGCTGCGAAGCAGCCAATTCATATTCTTGACAGCAATTTGACCTCTGAAAGGTCATTGTCTGTCAAAAAAAAATCGCCTAAGACAACTGAAAAGCGGAGTATCCTTCTTTCGTTCTGCCGGGTAAAATCAATTACTTTAGGCGACGTTTGTAGACGGCATGTCACGACGCTGGAGTACTATTCAGCATTTTTACTATATTTCTAGGTTTCCTATTTCTACGTTTAATCGGCTCATGTCTCAGCCACAATATTTTGAGGGCAATATTATTTACGAACCCAGTTAAACTTACTTAGCCTATTTCAACGTGCTAATTATTACATTTAGGCGACGCTTGTTGTAGACTGGCATAGTGTTTTCGGAAATAAATACCATTTTATACACATGCGCAGATCGATTCGCCAGCAGTGAGTCATCGCCAGCAGCAGCGAGTCACCAGCAGAGAGATGTCACTGCAGCAAAACACTATTCTACACGGTACCAACGCTGTTCTAATATAGACATTGGGTCGTGCTCATATTATTTGTTATATTTTTATTATTCATTATTTTCACTTGACTCGCATGAATAATTTTGTTCAAAGAACATTTTATGCAGTTGTACTTCGCAGCACTTCACTTGCAATTTGCAATTTCTAGTTTATTTTTTATTTCTAATCTACTTTTCTTGTATGCCAAGCTGGCTCTTTCCCAAGGATCTTTGTGGTATGCAAATTTGGAAAACAGATTTCCTGTACATGGCAAAATTAATAATCACTGTCATGTTGTATTCACAATGTTGACATCCATTCGGCACACAAATGACATTGTTTGCAAATCAAAACATTCTAGCAAGATTATGTTACATATTTTTTTTAATAAGAACAAAATTATAAAAAAATTAAACATAGAATTTTTTTTTTTCTACTTTCAGTAGGAAGTGATAAAAACCAAAAAAAAAAAATCAAACAATAAAAATGTAAAAACAAACCTGGTTGGCTTCAATTTCGTAATTATGCTTCTTGGCAAATATTTTAGCCATTGAGAGCGTTCCACAGAAAGCAACCATAGAAATAGCAAAAGAGCTGCCTAACAATGATGAGATGTATGAGAAGTCGACCATCTGCGGGGCAGGCAGTCTAATTTTAACATGAAACAGATAATTAAAATTTATAATGGCTTTCAATAGACTCAAACAATATAAAATGCGATACATTTATGCAAGGGATTGAAACAGTTGTAGAACACCTAATAAGCAAGTACCTTTGTTTATGTGTATTACCAAAGAGTATGTATACAATTGCAAGAGATCCGACTGCCCTGATTTGGCATGCATGCAATTAACTCTAAAAAGAGTACTACCATGTACCCTATTTATAAACGGCTTTTACATTCTTTTGAAGGACGCCCTCTAGTTCGTGATAGTACTTTTTTAGATAGGATTTGCATTACGAATACCCAATAGTCTGACCTGTCCAGACTATAAAATTTTATTTGACAAAAATATGTCACATTCATGGTCATGGTGACAATAAAACCAAATATAGACTATATGGGCATACAACAGTTTTGTATAGTTTGGACACACATCTGGTCCTATATGCATCAAATTATCATTCATAGTTTAACATCTGTTTTTCCATATGCTGGTTAAGTGCTATCTACACTATTAAATTTAAAGTGATATATATTTGTGATCTGCCCATATATTGGCATTATTATAGGTTAAGATAAAATGTATTGTTACAATCAAACAAGGCAACATGCAAGTGTTGTTGCTTTATGTACTGACACCGAAATTTAGAGAAAAATGAAAATGACAAATCACAGATATTTGTCACATAAAATGACAAATCACAGATATTTGTCACATAAAATTTGATAGCGCTAACAGAGCTTTCAATCGGTTTACATGGTTTTTTTTTGTTTGGTTTTTATTCTTTTCTCTTTACTGGGTATCTTGTTGAGTAGGTGGATATAGGGGTCTCCTGCAGGACTCAGTTACAGTATGCTTCTGGTTTTAGCTCCGATGAGGAGCTCTAGAAACACTCGGTTGATTGATTAATAGATCTTTTCCCCCAGGATCCTGGCATGTTGTCTGCGAGTGCAGCAGAGCATACTATAATGGAATATTCAGGGCATCTATGCTACGCCCCCACACTTATTAACTGATGGTCAATAGATCTCCACAAAACCCTATTATTACAAAGAAAACTACAATGAAACAAATGCCTCGTTCATTGATATTACAACATTAACCAAAACTATACAACAACTATCATAAAATAGAAGCCCTGACCTGCTACTTGATTTTTTGCGACACTTTGAATAGGATTCTTTTCAAGATGGACTTGTTTTCAAGTCTACTTTTGTAAAGTAAGGAAGTGGCTTCTTCTCAAAATGAATGCTGTAACTTTTGAAAATTATTACTATAAAACAATTAATAGGGCCACTGTAACATTAGTCTGTATCATGGACTGTATTAAACAGCATTAAATCACCTAAAAACTACTGTATAAAACCAAGCGTGTTTTTTTTATTTTTTTTTTTTTTAATTTATGTACAGTGTATGCTGTACTATATTGAAAAGAAGCCAATGTTTTTTTGAAAAGAAACCCATGGGCCTTATTTTTGAGATGGGCTTTTTTTCAAGGCTGCTTTTGCAACCTAAAGAGGAGCAGGACTTCAATTCAAGATGGACTTCTTCTCAAGATTAAGCCCATTGGGCTTCTCTTTGATGTTTTTTAGTATACAACAGACTTACCCAGTAGGTATTTCACCAACAATGCTAACGTCATACTTAGTGTTTAACTTTACAAAGCCGGACACCAGAGTTCCAACAATGATCTAAAACAGTAGGACACAGAATAAAATTAATTTTTACATTATATTTAAGAATGTAATTGTACTGTGTGTTGTTTTTGAGAGGTGAGGGTTTATTGGAAATAAACTGATATAAAAACAATCATAGCTCATCAACAGTTTGACGTGTATCAATTTTACAAAAAGCCCACTAATATTTTATTACAACGCAATATTTTGAAATTAGCAGCAACATACGAATTTAAAAATTTGCCGTATTAATAGCCTCCATACATCGTTGCAAATACACCATCGTATAGTTCAATGGTTCTCAAAATTTTTGGCCAAGGACCAAAAAAATTTCCATGAAATTTGCTGCAACCCAATTCCAGGGACGTTAAAAAACAAATACTAAGAATAGGTCATTAAACTGGTAAAATTTTCGTATGATACTCAGACTAAAGCCAATTTTAGCATAATATTAATTTTTTTTTTCTTGGGAAATTCAAATTTGTTTGGCAACCTCATTTTGGGTCGCGCCCCATAGTTTCAGGACCGCTGGTATATAGGAAACTTCTGACTGAGAATGTGGAACCAGAACGTTCTAGATTTCAGGAGAGAGCGTTTAGACACACACAGCTAAATAAATATGACGTCATTATGTTATACAGTCTAAGTCATTGCATATCAAAGCCTACCTATAATATAAGGCTTGCCAACACACAACCAGCGTACTGTCGCTAAATTTTAAACTGAGTTATTAGCATAAGAATGTGGCAGCATTGTATATTTTAGTACAAAAGAAGTCGTAATAATTTTACAATAGTATGTCAATTCCATTGAATGACCTACTGTATCCTTTCAAAGCTTATAATGTGGAAAATATGAATAAATAAAAAGTCCACTTTCTTGTTCTCTTCATCACTGCTACTGGTTTTGGCATGGCAAGCCCCACATTATTATTATTATTCAATACGTACCACAATTAATTCCATTGGTATGGGAAACTTGATCTTGTCTTTGTATCTGTCTTGTATCTCTTTAACAGCAACCAGAGCAGTAATCGAACTGATAGCCATGATTAGAGTTGCGGTATTTGTAGTATTTAATTCAGAAAATAATTCCTTATAACTCTGAATAAAATAAAAAAGAAAAGGTTATAGAAAAATGTATCATACAATAGTTAAGTATCCATATTAGTTGGTAATTTGTAGCACTTTTATGACTAACAATACACTTGATAACTAGATGAAATTTGGAGCAAAAGCTTATGAATAAAATTATATCATTAGGTATAAAAAATCTACAAACTGATTCCTTATCTATAGGACATTATGCTGATGCTTTATACTGTATATCACTGAAGTTTACCATTTATCAATAAATAAAAATCATTATTATAAGCAACCCAAATAATGACATCATACATGATTTAGATGCACTCTGACACTGCTAACAGTATTATATTGCTTGCACCGATTTCTGGTGTACTCCAAATAGTTGATGATTGATTGACTGACATGAATCCCACCGGTTATATAAAGCTTCACTAACTGTTTGCTCCTTTTAGTACATAACAGACCTATGGATACTATCATGGGGTAGGATAATGAGGGTTTGGGAGCCTGAGAAATGAAATAATACAATCTAGGGGCTTGTACACTTCCCCCTCCCTTTCTTAATACAAATGCTGCACTCTCTTAAAATGTCCTTGTTTGCTGGTGTCATCTGTGATCTTTAAACTGTAATACGATTTATGGTAGAAGTTCGGTCCAGCATATTTCTAAGGTCATGCAAAAGATCACAGAATAATTTTATATCGAAGAACCAATAATGTAGCTCAGTTGGTGCTATGATTTGCCTAACTGCAGGTCTGAGGTCCCAGTTTTTACAGGAAAGCCACTTCTCCGATGGGAGCAAGGCCAGAGGTAGCCCAGAACCTGTCAGAGGGGCAATCCAGAATTTGGAAGGCTTTAATTTAAACGACTGAGTATCAAATATTGTAAAAATTACATATGTTTTTTCTACCTGCCATAATTGTTTTTTTTATTCCCTGACGAGGAGGTCATTATTGACAATTGATTTTTATTTAGAAATACTTAATAATATTAAGGTACTTGGATCCACTTCAATTCTTTGTGGTTCAGCTGCAGGGCTGACATGCTTGCTAACATAAGCCATTGTCTTTTTGAAGAGTTTGTCAATGAATATTACTGGAGGCACCATGGAATGTCATATATATTAAATATTAATTTCACTTTTATGTCATTAATATTTTAATCAAAACAAACTACTGTGATTGGAGGCTATGTTGAATATAAATAAAAATAGACACAAATTTATTGTACTTTTATTCAATATGTTAATCAACAATCTGGAGGGATACTGTTCTGTTTATGCATACAAGCATTTTGATGAAAGCTACTGGTATAGGTATTAACTATTAATAGTTTCATACATGCCTTATCTTATAATGATAGGGATAATACCAGCAACATTGTATTCTTTGGTATAGCTTGGATTGAATCGGATTCTTCAGTGTGAAAGACACATTTCCTTTCATTTACTTTATAATGAACAGTTATAAACAAAAAAAAAGTTTTAATAATAGAAACATTTAAATTGGATAAAAGCACTCTTAAAAGCATTAATTTATATCAAAGATTTATAAATAGTTAAACCAATAATAGGAAAAAATATAATATATACAAAACCTAATAAGATTGACTGATTAATATTAGTTTTTGTCATTGTTTCTTTAAGTGGTAAAGAAAAAATGTTATGGTTGGATAAATAAGTCTTTGGTTGGGTAAAATTACTCTAAAATTATTTTATATCAAACATTTCAAAACCAGTTTAATAAAAGGAAAAAAGTTATTATACAAATACAAAAACCTAACAAAAATTGACAGGTATAAAGTTTGTTGTCAAATTGTTTCTTTAAGTGGGAAAGAAAAATGTTATGGTTGTTCATAAACATGTTAAAGCTTGGAGGGAAATGAATACAGTATCATTTTTTTTTAATTTAAACCATATTTAAAGAGGGTGACCCATCCAGCTAAATCAAAAAGGTCATCTGATATTCAAGGGCCCTTTTAAAAAAAATAAAACACAAGACTTGTAATTCAATATAAAAGAATGTAGTAAATGGAAAAAATACACAACAGAGAGTTAAATTATTCAACAGTCAGCTATCAAACAGATGATTAACACTAAATAACTGTTTTTACATTTTTTTTTTTTTTTTTTTTAAATTCTAATAAAAAAAATTAAAAACTGTAAATTTAAAACAGTTCAGCAAATGAGATTTTTAAAAAAAGAGGAATAACCAAAGATAACCCAATAAGAAGCGATTGGCTCATAGGTTGTGGCTTGAGGTCAGGGGTTCGAAACACTCGCTGTGCAAGTCACTTGTGTCCTGTGTCCTTGGGCACAGCACTTTATCTACAGCTCCTTCGATCAATCTTTGAAATTGGCGCTATATAAATATTTGGGTATTAAAAGTAAGGTCCTTCTTTGTCGGGCAGATGTTTGAATGTTGTTATAAATAATTTCTCTATTTGTCAAACTTTCAAACTGTTCTGTGGTTGTGTACAAACATGTTGAACTAACGTTCAAAAAAGAAAATACTAAATTTTTAAAAAAAAATTAAAATCTGGAATTCTGACAAAAGCGGCACACATGGTTAATGATCTAATTATTATTTTACGAGATCAAATTTCTTTGTTTTCAGGACATAATAATTAGATGCGGAAATGAAGGTATTAAAAAACCTTCCGTTCAAATCTACATTTTGGCACAGACACGATATTGTGCCAGGGTTTTTCGAAGACTCTGTCATAATTGCAAAACGAAACATCATTTGTGGCAAAGACGAGCCAAACAGTCACTCGTAGCAAATCATGTTTCACAGATAACGGTTAAAACAAGCTGGAATGTCAACAATTTTTAAATCTATTTTATTGTACTTTAAAACTAACCTTTATAGCTATACATCACGCTATGCTATTATTTTCCCCATTTTCAATGAAAACAACACTTTTTACGGATTAGGTGATGGTTTTTGTGTGAGAAATGCCCGAAAACATAAATTCTGAAGGCTAATTTCTCAAATATGTGTTCTACAAACAGACTGTATGTTTAAACACCTGTAACTTCATAAGGAAATGTCATATTTAAATTATTTTATTATTTTATAGCTCTCACTTACTGTTTAAGCCTGTATTACTCTATAGTAAAAAATTGATTTTTGCGACGAGTTACTGGTGGTTTGTCTTGTCTTTGTGCCACATTTTACAAGTGGTAAATATATTTTTAGAATGTATCAACAAAATACACAACCAATGCACCTGAAAATCCAACAAATCTTAGCACTGAAATCAGTGTCTTTCTAAAACTCCTCTGTATTATGTATTAATTTAATGTGTTATTAATGGAAATTTGCATTGGTACTATCAATATTCACCCTTAGTGGAGAATAAATCAGATTTAAATGTGATAACGGAAGTCAACTATGTGATGTTCTTAGGGGACTACAACTATATCTGAATGTGCATTCTACTGTAGGCTTTACACTAGAAACTACTGTAAGAGCCCATTAAATTGTTAACAACGCATCTTTGACTTACCATTTACAAGTCACTTAATAGATGGACTTTAATCAAGCGAACTTAATTAAAATCTATTTGATAGATGAAGGTAGAACAATTTAAACAAAATTACAGCAAGCAAAATGAAAGCTAGCTGATATATACTATAGTATGACTGGAAGTTGTTTTTTTTGTTTAGCTTTGATATCAATGTTTTTATTAGGAGTGATGTTTTGCCCTACCGAATACTCAGTACATTCATAAATACTGTTGGGAAACATTCGCAATTGATACCGGTGGGAATCGAACCCACAACCTCCCGGAAACTAGCCTGGTGACATAACCACTATAACACGAAGCTTAGTGACTAGTATTGAATCCGATAGAAGCAGTTGGTATTGCAAATGTTTTTATTATTTTTATTGTTAGAATTAAATTGATCCAAGAGAGTGGACAAACCATTGAGTTGATATTTGAAAAGATCCTATGTAAAACAAAACAAAAACAAACAAACAAAAAAACAAAAAAAAAAACAAACCTGAAATTCTGAAGAAAAAATAAGTGATGCACAAGGGGGTGATAATCCAATTATGTTTTATGGGCCGAATTCCTTCATGGAAGTATTTTTAACACACATTTTAATTTAATGCGGAAAGGCAACCCACAAAACAGCTTCCAATCCGAATGCCTTCAATAGTATAACTTGGCAACAAATCTACTAGAAGGGTTAGTTCACACAATAATAAACAGCATTCTACAATATACTGTAATTATTTTCTTTTTCTTTTATTTTGAATGTAGGAATAAAGAAAAGACTATCGAATATGAAAGTAAAATAGATATTAGCCCTGAAATAAGTGGTTTTTTTTTAAGCCTCTGTACATATTTATGAGCATGAGCCTACTTCAATACAAAAGCAATTATTTACAAAAAGTAGAATTTTTTAGACTACTGTAAGGCGAGACTTCTTTTATTCCTTGTTTCGTGTACTTAGTTTTCTAAAGGTCATCACAGGAGGGTGGAATGAATATAAAAATAAAATTTTGTTTTCATATTTAGCAAATAGTTTTACCAAAAGCATTCAATGGAGGAGAAAATTAAAATATAATTTTATTAGCGAATGTAAAATGGGATGGTTAATGCTTAAAAATTTATATAACTAGGAAGAAATATGCATTACTTATCTTTGCAGATTTCATAGCATCGGAGGGCATGATAAAAAATTTTTTTTAACTTTTATTTTTTTCTGAAATTTCCATTTTTCGTGGTGGCGGGTGTGTTATTGGCCAAAAATAAAATTTAATTTTTATTAGAAATCATCAATATTTACTATTGCCGGTTTCGAAACAAGGCATAAAAAAAAAAATCCCACGTAATAGTAGTTGAGATCATTCATCAATTTATAATTTTGTTAGTTTACCAACCTTAATAAGTGCAAATGGTCCAAAGTACGTACTGACTTTAATACCAAAGAGATGTTTAAATTGAGAAGTGAACACGTGCATTCCTGCCCCTGTCGTAAATCCACGAACCACGGGTTCGGACAGATACACGCTGATAAACCCAAGTTGAAAAAATCCTAAAATGAACTAGAGAGAAACAAAGAGGTGCAACAAATAATGTTATTTTTGTAGTGAGACAATTTTGGTGCAGCTACCGTTATATTTTAAACCCTTATAGAAGAAATACTTGATTGGGTTTCAATAATTATGTTGATTTTCTGGATTTCATAATAGCAAACCCATCAAAAACCCAGCCTGGATGATGTTCGCAATGTTGTGCACAAAATATATCGGCAAAGAAAAATAAGTTTTAATGGATTTACAATTACAAAATTTTGAAAATCAATATATATTTTGTATATTTTCCATACTAGGGGCACAAATTTCATCATCAAAAATTGTTGATGATGTTTTCTGATTCTGATTTGTGTCAACAAAAGCTTATATGCCCTTTGCAACAAAATGTATAATAAACAAAAATATATTGAAATTGAATTCATAATAACCATGAAAATGAAAGATACTGTTTACCAACTATTGGTTTGTTGTAAATATTCAATTGGAGAGCAGGCAGCATTTTAGCCTCAACACTTCAAAAGCAGTCCAAGAAAGGAAGTGCTATTCTTCCTTGTGTTGCTCCATCCAAAATATACACATTTATCCAGATCCCTAAATTTCTCCCCTGGAACGAATCCCACTCTGTATATTAAATCTTAAGAACTTTACCTGGATTAAGCCTACTAAAAAGCAGAGAAGCATAGCCACTTTTTTCTTTTCCTCTTCTTCATCGAAACCAACTGTACCATTCTCTATTAACGACAGTTCCGTTCTTCTACCTTCTACAACGGAATCGATGGCTATCCCAGTCATAATACTCACGACAGCAAACACACCTGTACAATTTTACCAAACTTCATTAATTTAGTCCAGGGGTGGGCATAAAGATGGGACGGAGGGCCAAAATTAATTTTTGATGCAACACAAAGGGCCGCACCCAAACTTCAATGTTTCCAGTGCACATTCCAAAAACCTTTTAATACAAAAATATTTTTAATGGGATCTTGCTCAGTTTTAATATTGCATTTTACAGATAATCGGTGTCGCACTGTAAAAAACAAGGTGTTTTCTAGCCAAAGATGGTTTTTTTTTATTAATTTTTGCAGGCCGCAAAAAAAAATCAGTCAGGCCACACTTTTCCCACCTGTGATTTAGACCCAGCAGCACATGTGGGAAAGTGTAGTCTGTGGGCCTCATGCGAACCGACAGTGGTTTTGTTGCGGCTGGCAACAACCAGGCCGTGTGTGTGTGTCCCACACACTCTCCAACCATCTATGGCTGAAAAAAACCCATGATCTTTACAACAAAGGTTTAAACCACAATACTCACCTACTGATATATGCCTTGAAGTACCCATTAAGGCATATAATATGACAGGAAAGAAATTTATATACAAGCCATACACTGGTGGTAGAGAAGCTAGAAATGCATAGGCCAGACCTGTTAAAGAAAAAGGGATGATTATACATCGGTAGATGTTAATAAAAGAAAAAATAAGGATCATAAAAAAAATATTCAATCCTTTTTCAACATCTGTATATAATAATTAAACTATAATTTCCCCTGACCACACTTAGGCCATGCAATTTCATCCCATTGTAGTTCATAGGCAGCTCCCAGACCCCTATGACTGGGCCCCAGCAGTTGCATTGTTAAGGGGTCTCGAATATGTACATTATTTAAGTGAGACATGCTTTTCTTTTTTCTTTTCTTTTTTTTTTTGTAGTGAAGCACTCCCGGCTGCATCAATACACTCATTATCAAAATAATTTATCTTGAATCATGTTAGAAAAAGCAACATGGACAAAAGCATCAGGGTAACCCCAAACTCTTTTGAAAGGCGCAATGGGATTTTTTTTAATTGCACAGAAGCGAGATGCTCACACTGGACCTCCGCTTAACCAAGAAGACTTGGTTCTACGATTAAAGACTTTGCTTGTGCAATTATAGGCATGGTCTTATTTAAAAAATATATTCTAGGGCCACTTAAGTTCCAGAGCCTGTGGTAAGGTGCCCCTGGATTTAGCCATGCAGTTGTTTTAATAGTTGTATGCCACTGCCCACAATGGTTGTTGCTAAGGTAGGGCACTGTAAGCAAATTTTAAGGAGGTAACTTCTTGATGCCAGAAAATGGCACTATCACAGTGTCCATGTTTAAAAAAAAGAAATTTTCAAAGCAGAGAAGTTTCTTTCTTCCTCAACATAGGTGGAGAGTTCACCAAGGGGAGGGGAGGCTGTGTCTGCAGGCTCCTGCTGGTAACACAAATACAACCCTAAGATTTAAAATTTACAGTATACACCAATGGTCATGTACATGTATACTGTCACTTTCTCTGAGACAGAGGAGTGTTGCCAACAAATGAAGTAAAATTAACTTAAACAAAAAAAAAACCTACCTTGTGGAATTCGTAAAACCCCGACAGTAAATCCAGAAATAGTATCGCCTAGTAAGCTTTTTCGTACATCGTAACTGCCAAGCCATGTTATGATAGGAAAGAACGATATAGTCGCTTTTTTAATAGATTCTTTTGAGCAGGAACAGTTTGTGACCTTTCGTTTTACAACCTCTTTAAACGCTTGTTCTTGCAGCTTCGTCTCTTCATAGTTAAGTTTAAACTCTTCTTCAGTGTAGTATGGCCGTGTGATATGTATATGTTCCCTTTGGCCATGCAGGATCCCGTTATCAAGCTCTTCGTATGCTGCCATCTTTGTAAGATCATTGGGTGCCTGATTACCACCTACTGAAGTCAAAAATGCAAGGTTTTTATCCATGGTGTTGTCACAAAATAAATATAAAATCCATATAGGATCCTCTTATCTTGAGTGGCAAAAATGTTTGCTTCGTCATGTTTGATTTTTTGTACAAAGCCAGTTTCAAGACTAAACTAGATTAAACCAAACTGGGCTAAGTTCACTATTTGATTTCCTGTCATCAACCAATAGATTTGAAGATGTACTTCAGGCAACAAACTACCAGTGAAAGTCTTTACATTGGTACATTACACAAAGGCCTGGTCATAAATGAAGATGTAGTGCGAAGTTGATGGTATGGACTTACACTGCAATACATTTTGTACTATAGGTTTGTGTGAGGGCTCACTGCAAAAAACATTTTGGCTTGCTAAAGCTTGTAAATGTACCACTTAGTCTATTTGAAGCATTGAAACAACATATCAGCTATTTGAAATTGAATGTACTGCAAGTATTTTAAAACAATGTGTTTCAATTTTTAAAATAAATTATTGTTAAAAGAAAAAATAATAAAAGTTATATTTTGTTTTGCTTGTCTTCTCCCCCCCCCCACCCTTTTATTATTTTATATTTTTTATCATTCAAATATATAAAATGTTTATATATGTTTTGTTTTTATGATTAAAAAAAAGCTTAAAAAATGTGTATAGTTTGGTTTTATAAGAAAATGAGGCATGTTGTGGCAAATGGCTAAGTTGTAGCAAAAATTGAAATTCAAGTTATTGGTATTTTTAGATACCTGAGTATGTGATCTTTAAAATGAGGGGTCATTCATTCAAATTGGACACTTTCCAATAATATTGGAAAGTGAAAGTACAGTACTATCAAAATGAACTATCAAAATAACATTAAATAAACAATTTGTTGACCACTTCCAGAACTAACACTTTGTTATGATTAATAAACATAAACTGTTGATCTATAATAAAAAATATATTTGGATTTTTAGGCAATTTTTTTAGCTCCGATATTTATAAGCTCACTTGTCTGTGCGACAACTTAAGCATTTCGCCATGACATGCCTCAAATGTGCTTTAATTTATTTAATTTAAAAAAAAAAAAGCTATAATTTAATAAACATTAAACTGTTGATCTATAATGAAAAATAAATCTGGATTTTTAGGCAATTTTTTGATCTCCTATATTTATAGTTCACTTGTCTGTGCGACAACTTAACCATTTCGCCATGACATGCCACAAATGTGCTTAATATATCATTTTTAAAAAAAAAGCTTATAAATTTTAAAAAATAACTCTTTAATTTACTTGTAAATTTAAATGGTACTTGGAAAAGGATTTTTTTTTTTTTTATTTACTTTGTTCTCGTTAAAATCCTTGTATGTGCACTGTTGTTTTCAGGGAGCTTTTCGACTTTAGGGGGGTCAATATTTAGGTGCGGAGTGGCTTCTCTGATATTGAAATGTCTCTTTGGCATAACAGATTGTTCATGAAAAAATATAATAAAACTCTAATTTACAAGTTGTAAATTTTTTTAAATACATGTGGATCATATGCATGACTTTTTCCATTTCTTTTATCTATTATAATTATAAAGTGTTTTTTTTTTCTTCCAAGTGCTTTTAATGTCTGTGTATAGTAACTCATTTTTTGAAAATTAAAAAAAAAAACATTTTCTATCCATGTTACGTTCCCATTATTTTTTATCAACAGCCGCCTAAATTTTGATCCTTCACCTGGTAGGCAATTTTCTTATTCCTCCAGTTTGTCCTATGTACACTGTAGGCCTACTGTAAATCAGTTGGGAAATTTTAATACCAGCATAATGACTTAGTCTAAGCATTGCTAATGATAGCCAGAACAAAAGGGACCACTTAATACACTATTATGGAAAAAAAAATCAATTTTAAATCAGATCTAGAGAATGTCTTGAATGCAGTGCGGAAAAATTCATGAGAAAAACTACGTACACAGAGCTGTAATGCTGGGTTCTCACTACGCCTGACGATCGTCGGCCAAGAAGATTCTATGAGTGTGCAACACAGAGTTTTTAATGACAGAAGCATCAACGGATACAGTGATTGCACGGTTTAAGGTACCGTAAAACCTCAAACTGAAGCCCTGAGCTTCTTTTCAAGATGGGCTTCTTTTAGAGAATGGCTTCTTTTCAAGGCTACTTTCGCAAAGTTCAAAATGAATGCTGTAAAATGCTGTGAATTTGTATTGTAAAACAATAAATATGGCCACTGTAACATCAATCTGTATCATGAAGTGTGATTTAAATGGCATTAAATCACCTAAACTACTGTATAAACCAAGCTTGTTTTTAGTTTATTTTGTTTTCTGAAATTCATGTACAGTGTTTGTACTGTATTATCTCAAAAAGAAGCCTTAAAGCTAGCTTGAAAAGAAGCCCATGGGCTATTTTTCGAGATAGGCTTCTTCTCGAGGCCACTTTTGAAAACTAAAAAAGGGGGTGAGTATTCTCCTCCTCTCTCTCCCCTCTTCCCCCCCCCCCACAAAAAATCTGAGTGCCCCTGATATACACATTTGAGGTCTCAAAAGTAATAAAGGCACTCGAAGGTTTGTATTGTAAGAAAGACTGTACTAAAAGGACAGCTCTGCAGTTTGTGTTTGTTTAAAAGTAAATGCAAGGCATTAAAGTCAAAGTCTACAGTAATTAAATGGATAGTAACTTTGAGAAGACTCAAGGGTTGTACTTTACTATCTTCAGTATTGCATGAATGCATGAGTAAAGTATGCCACATTAGTCCTCTGTTCAATCAAAATTATCTGCCAATTATATAGTAAGGAGAGTGTAGCCATCATAAAATCAAAAGGTATATATAATAGGCTTAATCAATTTTTCTGTACTGTACATAGGAAAACCACAAATACTGTAACATCGTTAAAACTAGATTTTGTGTTTAATGAAATACTGTATGTGCAACAGAGATTCTACTGAATCATTCAGTGAATGTTGGCACTATTTTACAGTATTATTATTATTTTTAGTAGAAACACTAGTTATCAGCGAAATTTAAAACCGGAAACATACACCCAGTGGCTGGGTATATACTTGCTTCCTTATCTTGACAACACTGACATACAAGGCTTGCAAAAACAGTAAGATGAGACTTCAAAAAGCTGACATAAAAATTCTATTGCTAAATGAGCTCTGTATTTTAGAGTAAGGATACAATGACATTAATTGTTATTTCCGGGCTTGTGTAAAAGATTGCATTTTGTAAAGTATCTAAATTTTCGAAGCACGCTCACACAGTCGCTTGATCATTTTTGTGAGTGGGGAAGTTTTATAGGTGCGGTCCCTATTTCCATACTTCTTCGCAAATCGCTCAACTTTACTTTATACAGTATGCAGATATTGGAGTTTGATATGAAGCTATAAAATTAGAATAAAAAGTGTAACTGTGTTAGTATGCCAGCTATAGAACAATATAAGAAATGTATGACAAGCACTTTTAAGAACTAACAAATTTATTGGCTCTAGGTTTTGTCAACAAAGCAGAATTCATCAGGAGACTGTCAAAAATTTTAGTTTTTTGATGAACAGTTAGCGCACTCAAATTGTATCTTATAATTTTGTAGTGGCAAGTTTCAAGGAAAACCTGCCAGCCCGGGCCCCCCTAAATTGTTCGCAATTTTTTTTTAATGGAGATATAAAGAAAATTATATTCAAAATTTAAGTCTGAGAGTGCAATTTCCAGGTCATCTGGAGGTGCCATAATCACAAATTTTCTTTCCTCAGCCCAAACCATGGTGGGGCTGAGGTGGATAGCTCCTCCATCTGTGAAAGTACCTACCCAGGCCCCCTCTATTTTGAATTTTTGGATCCGCCACTGTTTCGAGAGTAGTCCTGCACTTACAAAGAGTAAAAATACCAGGTACAATAAAATACATTTAATGGGCCCAGAGGATAAAAATAGTAGCCTACTACACTACTTACCTTTCACATAGATTCTTATCCACAGTGTTTGATCTGTCTACTTAGGATTGACAATTGCCCTATTTATGAACTGCAAAGTCATACATTAATATTTACTTTGTGGGCATTACAGTATCTGTGAATGCCTGAAGCAACCAAAACTGTGAGAAGCTAAAATGAAAACTAAAAGAGAACCAAACCAGAACCCTGCAGGTGTCAACATTCCAACACCGTCAATGATTAATTTGAATTGAACAAATTATAAAGGTAGTGGGTCTATCAATTATTGAACTAAAAACAATATGCTTGAATATTTAGGACGATTCACAGCTTTGCGTATATCAAAGCACTGCATGACAAACGGGGTGTCCTGCAGTACAGCAGATGTAGAATAAACTTTTTTTATAAATTAGTTTCTAATTCTGACATTCCATTAACATGGACGCAGATACTGTAATGTTGGACATATTTTTAAGGGGGAGTGGGGGTTGGCAACCCAACTTTTTGACTGCAATGTAAGTTCATAAAGTCAACAAGATGGCCAAATATTGTTGAAATGAACTGTATATTAAAATGAACCACATTTTAGGAAAGCGTGTTCTGCAGTTAGGACTACCGGTAGTTTTAAAATTATTACATCTCTTATATAATTTTGTACGGATGATATTATGATGCCTGGTGGCCACAGTGGCAGCTGTAAGATATTTTCTGGGGAGGCTAAAGCTGTCCATCAGGGTGACGGTCAAATGAAAAAAAAAAATTAAAAAGGGCCCTCACTGAATGGCCGGAAATGGCACACTCTGATTGTGAAAGACATGTGTTGGCTTGGCGTACTGTAGGCTTTTTTTTTTTTTTGGTCCGACTGCCTAACAAGCTCTTCCCGGTGGCGAGGCCTGACCTGTCCGATAGAGTGGGCTTAAGACTGCATGCCTCTCTTCTAGTGCCGCCACTGGTTACCATAAAACTTCTAAGAGATCATAAGGAATTTATTGGAGCTTTTTGAATATTATGGTAAATTTGATGATGATCGTAATGCTGAGGTGAGTGTGGACTCAATTGTAACTGTCCCCCCAACTTTTCAGAACAGATCTGTGCCCTTGACCATTAAAGATAGCGAGACTAGATAGACTGAAGGTTAAAAGGTCAAGCAGCTCTACCAATCAACACAATGGAGTTGCATAACATTAAGATAAAATCGTTGGAACAACATTTGAATTGTGGTCAGGTACAATCCCATCATTGGCTTTCAACTGAGAATACATTTATCTTGCCAATTAACAGACGCACAAATAAATATTGTTGCGACAGTTTTTAGCAAATGATGGTACATACAGTATAAAAATTCGTAGTATGGTACCAGGCCTAGGCCCTAGCTAGGTAGGAATGACAAACATCAGGGATCTGAATAATACAAATTCATATCAATATCAAAACACTGTGTGTGTTTCTTTTGTTAATACATTTATGAATTATTATATAACTATATTATTATCTTAATTAATTAATTAGGGCCTAGGAGGCCTAGGAATTAATTAAATTCGCTAGGCTAGGCCTAGTTTTTTATTTAAGATAAGATATTAGATAAGATAATCTTGTTCAACAAGGGAACTTACTTACTTGGCATAATACTGTAATAGCTACGGCTACTCCTTAATTTATTTGTTTATTTGTTTTACTATGTCCTAGGACTAGGCCTAGTAGTATTACTATAATAATAATAGTAGTAGGGTGGAGACTGGGTGTGAAAGTGGTGACCTAAGGCCTAGGCCCTCAACCTAGGCTTGGGCATCTATCTACCTTGCGCATATGACACGATACTCACATTGACAGTGTAGTGAAGTATAGAGGCTGACTAGGCTACTAACTAGGCCTAGGCCTACCTACAAAACAAGGCCTCGCTGGTAGCTAGGACAGGTATAAGGCCTAACTAGGTCTACTCTTGTATACTTTGACTTCACATTAACTTAATGATTCAAGCTTACCTCATCCTCACCGTCTCTTTCATCATCGTATATCCGTCAACCCTCAGTCAGCTGACATTATTGTTGTTGTTCCAATTTTATAGTAACTCTTAACCACACACGTCACGTACGCCACCAATCCTAAAAAGCGCCATCCTTATTGTGGAGTTTTTATCATAATCATGGACCTTATTAATTAATAGGTCCATGTAATAATATTTAACATTGATTATCGGGTTTATGCAGTACTTCCAGACCTTACCTGTCCTCGGATTGTCCGATTGACAGCCTACTGCTGTTAAGAGCTTTTCCAGCACAGCACATTCGTTTCGTATTAAACATTGGTTTAATAATCGGAATTGTAATGCATAAATCTTCCGATTTTCCGACCACCACAAACATTGCATCATAATTCACCTTGAAAAGTAAATTTCATAAGATGTAAATGCACCTACATACATTATTATTTTTTTATTTGCTTCTACATTTTTTTTTATTGTTTTTCAATATATAATTTATTGTCAAACGTAGTAAAAACATTGCTTGAAAATTAGGCTGAACTTCCTACAAATTGTAAAACCGTACTCACTTAAAAAAATATTAAAATGAGCAAAAAAGCGAATAAAACAAGAGAAAAGGATTTATAAAAGAGTTTTAGGATTCTTTTTGAAAACTGAAATTGCGTGCTGTAATTAAAAATACAATAAAAGTATTTTTTCCCCTTAAGTACAGTACCGGTAAATTTAATATATTACAGTAATTCCATTACTTAGATTGTTTACTTCATCAATAAATTTTTATTTTTATTTTCTTATCTGTCCATAGATATAGTTTTATTTCTGCTCTCCTCTGAAAAATGGGTTTTATAAACAAATTATAACAAAATTCTATATTGTTGGCCCTGTACGTTGTACCGTCACTTCAGAATTTTGAGCCTCTAATCATGTAATGTCATTTGTAATATCATTAGCATAAAAATATATGTTCAAATTGCTTTCGTCTCCACTAGGAAATTGGTATTACAGTGTACAGTATCAAAAATTATATAACAGCAGATCTAGTCCACACAATGAAAATGTGTTTCCGGCTCAGGCCTCGGCTCTCAGATAACGCTGCTCGCTATAGTTACTCCCATAAATACTTATCCCCCATATACTTAGCCCCTCTCCAGTCGGATATCTTAGCCCCCGCCCCCGTAAATTACCTCCTAGACCCGCTCCTGCTTTGAACAGGTCATTCCATTCATAGGAAATGCCTTTTGATGGAGAATGAATACCTTTTTAGCAAGGTTTGCCTGCGTCGAAACTAAATCAAATATAATCAATCAAAATATGATTTGATAAGAATATTGAAAAAGTTATTATTGTTAATGAAGGATTAATAATAAGGATTACTATGTCCATTTTTATTGATCTACTTTACTGTTATGAAATAATGTAATCGTTACCGTTTAATAATATTTGATATTATTTAAATAATTGGTCAGCGGTTCAATTCCCACCGCTGCCTCTCCTTGAGTTTCAGTCACAGGGTTGAAATGCAAGTTACGAAAGCGCATAGTCTTTCGGGTGCTTAGACCCATGTGCACGTTAACGAACGCAGTACACACTTGAGTGTATGGGCTGTCTCTTATACACATCTATATTGTTGCGACAGTTTTTAGCAAATGATGGTACATACAGTATAAAAATTCGTAGTATGGTACCAGGCCTAGGCCCTAGCTAGGTAGGAATGACAAACATCAGGGATCTGAATAATACAAATTCATATCAATATCAAAACACTGTGTGTGTTTCTTTTGTTAATACATTTATGAATTATTATATAACTATATTATTATCTTAATTAATTAATTAGGGCCTAGGAGGCCTAGGAATTAATTAAATTCGCTAGGCTAGGCCTAGTTTTTTATTTAAGAAAAGATATTAGATAAGATAATCTTGTTCCACAAGGGAATTACTTACTTGGCATAATAATAGCTACGCCTACTCCTTAATTTATTTGTTTATTTGTTTTACTATGTCCTAGGACTGTCTCTTATACACATCTTAGATGTGTATAAGAGACAGATGCAGATATTGGAGCCTACACGGAAAATAATTATGTAGGCTCTTCGGTAGAGAAAATTAAAATTACATTATTTATGTTGATATTCGTTGATGTTGATGAAATATAATATTTCAAATACTTTAGACTCCTCAATAAGCGGATATTAAATTTACGTTAATAGTTTTCAGATTCGTTGATGCCTATTATTAGAGAACTTATTATATATATTTTTTAAAATAAACGAAAAAGTCTTACACAGACAATGATAGCATTATTGTACTTTATCTCTAAGAATCAGTCACTGATGAATTATCGTTAAAAATTAAAAAAATGACAGTTAGAAATTAGAAGAAAAGACAACAATCAAGTTACGTACAATAATCTACTCGTTTTACAGAAATATAATGATCTAATTTTAGAAAATAATTAATTTTGTAATAACGTGCCAACAGGTACTACAGTACAACATCACTTTATATCCTAATTGTGAATAATATATATATGTATATATATGTACATATATATATATATTTGTATATATATGTATATTATAGGTATATATATATACATGTATTATATATATATGTATATATGTATACATATATATATATGTATATATATATATATATTTATTTATATATATATATATATATATATCATCATCATCATATCATCAAACAATGGTAAGCGATGCTACACGATGTACATTATACTAGATGAATAATTCAACCAGGCCTTTTAATTTCCAAAAATTATGTAACTAGCGACTAATGGATAATGTTTCAATTTTCAATGCAATAAGTGAAGTAGCTTGCACTACATGAAATGAATCAAATAAAATCGATAAGCAATTTTACCCGGGTTAATGTTTTTAAACTATAAATAATCACATGAGTCAAAGATTGCCACGTAATCAATGTCTGTTACTAATAAATGGTATAAATTACATCATAAAACAAACACACCAAGCTACAAGCTAACAATTTTACCTAAGGCTGCACTTGCAGGTTTTTAGAATCATGTTAATATGCATGTATTTATAACGTAAATCTGATTAAACGTTGCGATAGTTACTGCAGTTCTCTGTTAACGTTATTTCTGACATAGGCCTAAATTAACCACAAAGCTACCCAATCTATTTTTAAAATATTATACCACGTGCTTAAGAGCAAAAATGCATAATTTCATCCGTACATTAAACCACCTCTTTCTTTCAAATTCGAACATTATTAAGATATTAAATACCTAAATCAGGTTTGATAACATTTACAAAATTGTTAATGTGTGTTGTTGGCATCCTTTATTGTAAGGCAAGAATTTTGTTATACAAGACCTTGTTGGCGAACTATTTTTTTTAAAGAATAATCGTCAGAAGAGGCCAGAAAAGAAATACAATTTTATGTTGTCATTTAGCAAAATTATTTTGGCAAAACCATCTAGGCGGAGGAGAAATTAAAATTAAAATTTATTATTGAGTTAAACAGTGTAGGAATGAGATTGATAAATACTTTAAATTTATATATAATTAAGGAAGAAATATATACATCATATTTTTGAAGATTTTAGGGGCAGAATGCGTAATAACAAAAGTTAATATAATTTTTTTTTTTTTTTTTTTTTTTTTACATTATTTCGTGGCGGAAGGTGCGCTAACTGGCCTTGTGTTGCAGCTGGAGGGGCCGAAATATCAAGTTACAATAGCGCACCTCTTTCGGATGAGATTACGTTTAAGCCGTTGGTCCCGTGTGCACTAATGGCCCATGTGCACATTAAAGAACGCTACACTCTTCGGAAAAGAGTAGGGTATTGTCTCCTGGTGTACTGCCCAATCACCACCAGAAGAACCCCACTGGAAATAAGACGCCTTCTAGACTTTCGTGGGCTATTCTTGGTGAATAAATAAAAATCAAATCCATGTTGTAGATGAATAATTCAACCAAGATTTTCAATTTCCAAAAATCGTAAGACTAACGGATAATGTTTCAATTCTTAAGTGGAGTAGCTTGCAGTATATGAAATGAATTAAAAATCAAATCAATAAGCAGTTTTACCCGGATTAATGTTTTTTTTTTCTTTTTAACTATTAATAGGCACAGAGCCAAAGATTTCCATGTAATCAATGTATAAGTGAAGTGACGTAACGCTGGGACCGGGGGCATTGTAACCTTCTCAGACTGGGGGAACATTTTGAGCCCATTTCGCCAATTCCATTGTACTGGGACTCTTCTGGCCCCCTATTGGTCGGGGTCCCTTGTGGACCATCGCAAGAGGGTGCATAGGCGTTACGCCACAATTTTACCAATATAATGTTAAAACTTGGTTTTCAGAATCATATGTTAATACACATAATGACGTATCTACGTCTTGAAATGGTAGGGGGTGGGGTGCGGGTGGATAGAATGTTGAAGTGGGTGGGGATGAGCTCGATGATTAAGTAAGGGAACACTAGCTTGCAAAATAAAATGAATTTTCACCTATTTAAGCGTAATTTTTGCTGCTTCGAACATTTTCAATGTGGGTGGAGGTGGGGACTGGTGACTGCCTGCCTCCCCTATAGATACGCCCACTGTATGTTACAGTATTTATAACGTAATATCTGACTAAGCCCCTGGTGGGGGTGTAGGGGCAAAGACCCTGAAATGGTAGAGCATTCTGGAAGTTGTTTATACTTTTTTGAGGGCATGAAGTGAAAATTGCAATAGCCTAGACACATCATAAATAGGATCCAGGTATTGAAAAGAGAGGTGGCCCAGGGAGACACTTTCACAGATATATAAGTTCGACCCACCTCAGCCCCACCATGGAGGCGCGAAAATTTGATTTCCTCAAATAGTACCTCTGTTTCCTCTATCACATCACTATTATTATATTCAAAATAAAGCGCCAATAAATTTATCATGATCTTTATACGGGATTTTCGGTATAGAGATCTAGGTAACCCAGGACAACTTAGGCTATAGTTTACTGTACAGCTTGAACTACAATAACAATTATTCAATTCAATTCAATTTATTCCGGAAAACAACATACAATACAAGCAAAGTCCATACACACAAATCAAACTAAAATGCCATGGTATTGGGTATTTATATTGCGCCTTTCCCAAATGTTGTCCCGAGGTACTCAAACCGTGCAACCAGCAGTGACACAATTTCAAGAACAGAATAATTATGTAAAAGAAGATTCAAGGCCACCAGTAAAATAATTCAAACAAGTTGTGAAAAGAGATTGCATTAATTTCCAATATTTTTTTTCATTCAAAAATTGTTTAAGTTGATTAGAGAAGTTTCTTAAATAAATATTGCACATGTCTGGAATATACTTAAAGGAATTAAAATCCCAGACCCTTGGAAATCTAATGACGGTGCTATTAAAGAAGGCATTAGTTCTGGATTTTTGATGTAAAAATTTTAAATGATCCGAGGTGCTTTGACTTGGTTTTGGTAATAGTCATTGACAAGAGCCCCCGTCGGCGGAAATCAATTAATAATGCTCGGGTCTCTTCGCCTTTATCGGTAGCAGTAAAACATTCATGTAAGAATTTAATCATTGCGTCTGTAGTGGAAACCCCTTTACTACACCCAAATTGATTTAGATGAATTTTGCCTTTGATCTGTTCCCAGATAAGGTCACCGATGATACTCTCAAAAACCTTCATGACAGATGAGGTGAGGGAAATTGGCCTGAGGTCCGCCTCAATCGATTTAGGCGGTGAAACCTTTGGGATAGGGACTACGTCGGCGCTCTTCCAAATATCGGGGATATACCCTTCCCTTAAACTGGAATTTAGAATTGCACAAAGAAGGCTTCGCAAGGGTGTTAAAGTTGTCTTTGAGAATCCAGGGAAAGATCCCATCTTGTCCCGGGGCCTTAAAACCTTTAACATTTCTAATTCTGCTTTCAACCACTACAGGTTCAATGATAAGGTGATCAGGAACAGGTTGTTTCTCAATTTCGGTATTTACGACAGGTGTTAGGGGCTTAAAATCCTGAGTAAGTGATTGAAAAAAAAGGTTAATTTTGTTGGCAAGAAGCATATCATTTCCCTCAGATAATTCATCGGCCATAACATTAAGGGGGTGGTTCTTAGATTGATCAAGATTTATTTATTTATTTATTTTATTTTATTTATTTAGGCACACAATACATGTGCCAAGGATTGTCAACAGCGAATATATCACTATCCTACTTGTAGGTGACAATCCCTTACACAAGACAAACATACACACACGATGCTTTTACACAGTATACATTGAAATACTCAACAAGTGACTGTGAACAATATAGAATAACAAAAAACTACAAGAACATCAACAATAACAAAAATAATATCCACATCACATTAATTTGTATGTGCATAAGTCTATTAGGCCTATAACAATCAATAGAGGCAGCAATTTAACTTGACAAAATAGCATTATTTTGAATGGAAGTGATGCTGCAAGAATGTCAGTTGATTTTTTCAAGGGTATAAATTAAGGATGATGAATTTGAGGACGTGCTACTAACTACCGTATATTAATGGAAATAAAAGAGTGATGCAATTTACAGGTTGGAAAAAAAAAACTTTTTCTACTCGCCCCTTTTATCAAACAATATATTTTTCCTTATCATGAATGCCTGTCTCTTATACAAGTCCAGGATACCGGTTTCACATGTACTTAAACTTCGAAACTATCTGATTGAGTGAATATTTTATAAGTTGGATGTCCTTCATCCGATTGAAATCACCAGCCACCAGGAAAGCTGTATCAGAGTCGGCTGCAAATGAAATCCAAACAACTAGTAATATGGCATGACATATTCCAATCATTTTGGTCAGGGGGGTGATAAACCACGCCAATTGTGATGTTAGCAATTTTGCGTGGTAACCTTTTCGCTTCAGATCGGAAACGCTGGAGGAATGCCCGTACAAGCGTTAGAACAAATTTATTTAAAAAAAAAAAATTTGAGTGTAGTACGAGTAGTAGTGTGCTCATATTGGGGAATGCAGCGAAGGACGAAGACCATTTCATTATTCACTAAAAACCTAAAAGAACAATCAGTAAAAAAGTCTTCATGTATTCACTGTTGTTCCTATTTCGCGACTGCGTATACCTGATATTAAATTAACTGCATTTCTCATAAAGCCTCGGTTCATACAGGAATAAATAAATGGATTCATCCCTGCATTAGCATGAGAAAGCAGAGTGAGATAGCGGAGTGTTGAGTTGACTTGGAATTCTCCGTCATGACTCCATTGTATTATAGTTTTTATCATGTAAATAATGTGTGGCATGTAGCATATAATGTATGCTCCGTATACTAGCATCGTTGTCTTTGTCGCACGGCTATCAACTTTTCTTTTCTTCGCAGTTCCTTGGCGATTTGATTGCTTTTCGATGGAGGACATTTTACAAGCTTGTCTTCTTGCTTCGATGTATACTTTTATATGAGAAAAAGACACACAAACAAATGTTAGCAGTTCCAAAAGTCCATCACTCAGAATCACAAATGTTGCATTATATACCGTATAATACAATACGGTTGTGTACATCCAAATTGTTGCGCCGTTAATGTACGCGAGTGCAATGAAGAAGTTAACACGTTTCATAGACGCCAATTGTAAATAACGAAAAGGATATACCACGGCTACGTATCTCTCGCCTGCCAAAACCAAAAGATGCAATTCAGAAATATAGGTACAACACCACATACTTTGTCTAAAAACAGAAGCAACAGTGGTTGCAGCTGAACTGTCAGAGTTATTAAAAGTAATCCAACCAATTCCAAAAACACCGGTTGCTAAATCAACGACGCTTAAACTAAGAAGTATCCGTCTGTTGTTGTTTTGATACATCTTGTGCTTTATAGAAACAGATATAACTAGAGAATTTCCGGCTATGATTATAACAAAAGCTAAAGTCCTCAAGACTATAAGCAGCGTGTAATTGTTGGTAGGGTGATTTTCGGGGCCAACATAATCGGCGTACTCGGTTTCGATAGTTGCATTATCCATGATGCTTTAAAAATGAACTATCTACGTGGTATACAGCAAGAATTAATATATATTATAATTCGCCATGCAAACATTCAAACAATATTAAATTTGCTTTTAAGATGATAAACAGATCGACTAGAAAACAAGAAACCACAAGTATGCTCGCTTGAACCACAAGACTGACTGAAAGTCATTTGTAGGCCTACAGTAATTTTTTATTAATTATATAACGCCAACTGATCGCGAAGCGTCACTGATTGAAGTTGCTTTTGCAGGTTCACACGCATACGCTCACTTAACGCATGCGCGATGTAAACGTAATACGAACGTAGAATACTCATTACCGGTATACATTGAAATACTCAACAAGTGACTGTGAACAATATAGAATAACAAAAAACTACAAGAACATCAACAATAACAAAAATAATATCCACATCACATTAATTTGTATGTGCATAAGTCTATTAGGCCTATAACAATCAATAGAGGCAGCAATTTAACTTGACAAAATAGCATTATTTTGAATGGAAGTGATGCTGCAAGAATGTCAGTTGATTTTTTCAAGGGTATAAATTAAGGATGATGAATTTGAGGACGTGCTACTAACTACCGTATATTAATGGAAATAAAAGAGTGATGCAATTTACAGGTTGGAAAAAAAAAACTTTTTCTACTCGCCCCTTTTATCAAACAATATATTTTTCCTTATCATGAATGCCTTCAACAGAAAGCTCAAGTAACCGCCACCTTGATTTTAATTGCACTGATTTTAACCTAATTTATATTAATTACTGCATTATATTTTTCTCCTCTATGACAATGACAATGTTCCTGTTGGTCCGCTCAAATATATAGTTTTTAAAAGCATTCTACTAATGACAACTTCAAGTCAATGTCTGTCAAAAATGTCTTGGAAAAGACGGCTATTTGTATCAGCAGTACCAGTAATCGATTCTAGTTGATGTTATTAATTGACTGGAACAGTCGTAGGGTCCCCGCACGAGCAGATTAACATCATGACACCCCCACCCCCGTAAATCCCCGGCAGTGTTCGGGGGGGGGGGGGTTGTTAGCTTGGATGGTAAAAAAACATTTTCCTTCCCATTTAGACACAAAAACTTTTTTGGATGGGAAAATTAATATTTTAAGTCCGACGTCGTCGTGGCGTAACAATTGACGATTGACAAGTGTCAATCAAACGTAACAACCAACGTACCTCTTAGATATTTTTACAAAGGTCTGTTCTCCCTAAATACCATCATGGAATGGAATTTATACATACATAGTCTGTATTCACACGCGGTATTAATGCAGTACTGTAGAACTAATTATTTTGATCAACAATGTTAATCGTGATTATTATTTATTTCTGCATTCATGATGAAGATACGGTATCAACGACTACTTTAAGATCAATGAATGTACAGGTAACACACTGTAGCAGATTTAAATAAACTATTTATTTGCTTGCAACTACCATTCCGGCACAATTGCTAAGTACAAAAATATGGAATACAAAAGCTTTCAGTCCAAACTAAATTAAATTAAAATAAACTCTAATTTCAAAATTAAACAAATATATACATATTCTTTGCTACATAAACGAACACAGGAGTGTTCAGAAATACTTTCGTGAGAGGGGTGGTTAAAAGGGTTAGAGCCTTGGACAGCTTATACTACCCCCTTAAAAAAATATTTCCACAAATTAAAAAATAAACAAATAAAATTACCATCTGGTAGACAATTATACTTTGTATATTCCAAACCTAAGTTATGAATTATGATTGAATATAATATGAAATTCCCGGAATCTCCCTTTCTGAAAGCAATTTTCCCCTCACAAAAATATTTCTGAAAACTCCCTACACAAAACATTAAAAACGATTCAAGGTGATACAAAAATCAAGGCTTATGGAAAATAATAAAATGGTTGGAGCTGCGCATGCTCGATCCAAGGTCAATCGAGGTCAAACCGTTACAGCATGATAATCTTATGTTTTGATATATAGCAGGGGTTTTCTGTTGCTGCTCCACTGATCACCTCGAAAATGCTATGATTATCCTTTGCAAGTTCACACTTTTTCAAAAGTTAATAGTAAAAACAGTGCTCCCAGGCGCTACTTAATTTCTATACAAAACAATATTATCCATTGCAATTATTACTATTGCTATAAATCTTGGTGGGATTATTGAATTATTCAATATATGGAATGTGATATCTTATGTTATATTATGCACTTTTATATTTTATTTTAAAAAAAATAGGAAAATGTATAATTAGTAAATAAAAGCATCAATATTTCAAATAAACTAGGCCTTCTGATTGGAAGCAACTGGTTTTCACTCGTTTTGCACATAGCTGAATAAATTATATACAAAAAAAACAACTTTACTTTTACAGAAAATGTCATACAATTAGACCACCAAGACTTAATTGTTCTAAATAATAAAAGTACAGTATGCAATTACAAGCCTCTTTGTTTAAAAGAATTAAGAAGTTTCATGTTTAGCAATATATTAACACCGACACATTTTGTGTATTATCTATCACCAATTTATTCACTTAATTTTCTATTATTATTTTTTTTTATATTTTGTGTGCTCTCCTTTTGTTAGACTACATATTATTATTGTGCTATTGTTTATTCACGACCAGCACCAAAATATCTGACAGATAAGAGGAAGTATGGTTTTATCAAACAGATATGAATTCTAGGCCTTGGCCTACATCAACTATACTTTATACTCTACAATACAGTTACACATTTGTTATGTAATTATAATTTGTAAGGATTATTGTGGTGGTGATGACAATATAAATAATGATTATGGTGCTGATGATTAATATTCTGTAATACTATATATCTAATAGTTCTAATAATGGTAACGATGTAAGCTGTTGTTTAAATAATAACGTTTGCAGCTTTATTTAACCTATACTAGACCTTTCCAGAGTGAAAATCAAAACATCAACAGCTGATGAATCAGAATAAAGTCAGGAACTCATGCTTGTCTAATAAAACGTGTATGGTTTGAGACAAACATACATCATTTACGCCAGGGGTGGGCATAAAAATCGATTGGAGGGCCAAAGTGATTCTTTTATTTAACACCGAGGGCTGCACCCAAACACTGATGTTTCCAGTGTGCTTCCAAAAAATCTTCCTGCACTGCATTTTTACCACTTTATTCTCAGTTTTAACATTACTTTTTACAGATGATCAGTATCGGACCGTTTAAAACAAGGTGTTTTCTAGTCAATATGTTTGGCAGGCTGCACACACAGGGTTTTTAATTCATTTTTGCAGGCCGCAAAAAAATCACTGTTGGGCAGCACTTTGGCCACCTGTGATTTACGCTGTTGTTTTGTGGAGACCAGCATCAAAAGCCAAAAGGCTGGCCTTAGCAAAACGATCCATAATATTGCTGACAAGAAAAAAAAATTGGATATTTAGAGGCGACATCAGCAGTCAACAGCAGGATATCATGCTGTTTCTCCAGAAAGTATTGATCCCTGAATGAACCAGACCAGCTACCTTCAGAGTACCATTCTGATGCTCTGCCAACTGAGATAACCAGTTCTAGTTGGCAATGGTTGTTTACTTCACTTTATGTCACATCATTTGCATATTTTGCTGATGCTGTGCGTTGGCCTCCTGTCTTGATTTTTCTCTCCCTCATTTAACTGGTGACACAGGTTGGCTCTCTAGTCCTTGCTTGGGCTTCTGGTTTATGCGATGACTCGGGTGGGTCAGTGGTCGAACCCCATAATCTGTTCTTAGAAGCATTTCATTTGTGTTTGATAAGCTGTATGTCAAGAAGTCTGCCGCTGAAGTTGTGCGTTTAAAGGGTGCTATAAATCTTGCTGAAGAAGCCTCTATTGTGGATGAGGCAGAAGCGATTCTTTCGTTTGGTAGTTGTTTTTGAAGATCTGGTAAGCCTGTTCCAGCAAAATTATCCACTCCTGTGCCACCGATTTCCCCACCCCATGGAGATCGGCAACCAGAGGCTCCTCTACTTGGACTGAAAGGAAAACAGAGGAGAAAGATAAAGATCCATATTAATCACCATTAACATTGCCTTACTGAAAGGTCCACAGATAAGATAGTATAATACATACTCCAAGTATCGAAATGCACGCCATCGTGTCGCGATTCAACATTTCGAGATTAATTATGCTATTAAATTGGGTTTTTTGGAAGAGCTAAGATAAAAATTTTTAAATAATTAGGATGCTTATTTGTACAAAAAAAAAATATTATTTAAAATGTTATTTGTACAAAATTAAAATACCTTAAAATTTAAAAAAATAAAATTTCTTAAAATTGAAAAAAAAAAAATTAAATACCAAGACACGATTCGAACTCACAACCTTAAGTTCTTTAGAACACATCCTTAACTGGCCATGCCATCCATGCAAAGTGCCTTATTAGTGGTAATGACAGTAATGTACAGTTCTTGCTGAAACCCCTGTTTTGTTTTGTAGGTGTATGGGGAAGCCTGGGGTCCAACTTAAAAAAGATGCAATGAACGTTTGTTGGATATCACCTCTAGATTATGTGTACAAAATTTTCTGCACGTCCGTTTAAAACTGGCGACGCTGGACGCTTTTAAAGTTTTGGTATTAACAAGAACAAGAACAGCGGTGAGGACCTGGAGTCAGCACCTTGCAGGGACCCAACAATGTCGCTACCTTCATTTTGTCACCCTTGATCTCAACACCATCACTAGAATGACGATCACCACCATCACTTCTGTCCCACCACTATCATCGCCATATAATCATAATCTCTGTTACAACCAACACTGCCATCATCATCATCATTATCTTCAACATCATCACCATCATCACCTTAATGGCATCATCTTGATCATTCTGTCTTATTATTATACCTGAATCTGAAATCATTTGGTAAGAAGCTCCCTTCATTGGCACCTCTCTTACTGTTCAGCACTTGCTTCAAGAAGTCCTTTTTGGCATTGCCATACCCATTGAAGATGTGGTCACAGAACACCAGCTTGCCATTCATATACATCTGCAAGAGAAGAATAATTACAGATTACCAGAATATTTTGGTTGTTTCACATATTATTAAAGAGCATGCAGAAGGAGGGGTGAGCTCTCATGAAGCACTTTTTATTCCTGATCAACAGAATTTGTTTTATCCCATATTGCTTTTCGTTCATGTACATCTGCTACAGAACATTAAATCAGATTACCAGAATATTTTGGTTGTTCCACATATTAATGAGCATGCAGACAAAAAAGGGTGAGCCCTCATTTATTTATTTATTAAAAAATGCAACAAAACTGTCCAAGAGGAAACCATGGGCCGAGGGCCCAACACAAAAATGGGAACCTCGCTCATGAAGTACTTCTTATTCCTGATCAATACAGTCTGTTTTATCAGCTATTGCTTTATTGTAAACTAAGATATAAGATATACAATGACAGAAAACAAAAAATAAGAATGATGTTTTACCCCAACATCATCAATGTACATCATGTTAGTCATATTACAGTCTTTGCTTTATCCCAAAAAAAACTGAATTACAAGTATCAACCTAAGCTTTCAGGCAGATATGCAAGAGAGGTCCTTATTCAAGAGCAGTGCTTATTACAAATTTCTGGAGTATTAGAATGATAGTGTGTTATAGTAAAGCTTTATCAGACTTCGGTGTGACACATACCAAGGACAACCAATGAAAGTCCAAAGACTTAATTTACAGTGGGATCCTCTTTGTGATGCATTGGGGAATACACATTCTCTGCTCTTTTCTAAAGAGTGTACTGTGATCTTAAACATCCTCATGGGCTTTAACCCTTTCCAGTCTGCCCCATTATTACCATTGCCTGAGGCTGCACCACAGCTGAGAAATTACATCATCTACACTAAATGTTGGGTTTTTACTGGGCACAGGCATTTTATTTGGTCTGAATACAGGAGGCCCTCTACAGAAATACTCCTACATCACTCTCAAACAATCCTATAGAGGGCAGCCTAGCTATAAAAAAATTATCATGAAATCTATACTAGGCGTACGTACGATGCCCCTCACTATAAAGTATGGTCAAAGAGGGTGTTGTTGCGAGGACATATGACTGGAAAGGGTTAACACACATGGCACCAATAGTTTAAACGTTTTTTTTTTTTCCCCAAAAGACAGTGTGCTTCTATATACTGTACTTGCATTTAAGCTCTCAAGCAGGAACGCAACTAAAGAGCACTGGATGGGAATGAACCTTCTACCAAAGGTTGGCAAATGATCTCTCTGGTGCAGTGTACACACACTGGCTACAATCAGCCTAGCCAAGTTAGCTATGATGATGAGAAAGGGATACCATATTTCTGTAGTAGAATAGGATCTACTTACCAGAAACATACCAGGAACAACGTTGTGTCGCCGTAGTAGCAGAGGCTGATCAAAGTCTGTATACATCGCAGCATTTGCAATGTCATATGTTAGTAGGCGATAAGGATCAAGACGACTCTGAAAAATTATCAAAGTTATTCTTTGGGAAATTTTTTTAATTTTATTTCTTTTAGCAATGAAATGAAAATACAATCAATCAATCAAACAATCAATTAACTCAAGAAATATACATGTCAAATCAATCAATCAATCAAATATGTCAAATTAATCAATCAATCATTCAATCAATCAATAAAGCAATCATTCAAACATTCAATCAATCAACCTGTATTTTGTCTAACAGACAGCTGCGTTATAAACCTTCCATGCACTTTCTTAGACGAGACTATTTTTATACCTTTAGTGAACCAGCTGCCAGCCAACAATGTTGATTTCAAATAAAAAACAAATTTATTTTTGACCAATTAGCACACCCACCACCACAAAAAAATAGAAATTTATGAACAAAATAAAAGTTTTTCTTTATTTTTATTAAAACTGCCACTGCCTTAAAATCTCCAAAAATAAGATTTGCATATTTCGTCCTCATTTTATAACTTTAAACATATAACCATCCCATTGCTACAATATTTACAGCCACTAATAAAATTTTATTTTTAATTCCTCCTCCGTATAAATGTGGCAAAGACAAGCTAAACCAGTCACTCGTCGCAAATTGTGTTTCAGAGAAAATAGCAAAAACATGCTAGAATGTAAAATTTTTAAAAATCTATTTTATTTCACAAACTAAGGTTTATGTATCTATACATCATGCTGTGCTGTTATTTTTCTCAATTACAATGTTAAAACAACACTTTTTTAATGATTTTGTAATAGTTTCTGCATGAGAAATGCCTGAAATCATAAACTTTGAAGGCTGATTTCTCATATATGGTTCTTTAAACAGCTGTATGCTTAAATGCTTGTAACTTCATAAGGAAATGTCAGATTTGAATGATTTTACCATTTTATAGCTCATATTTTACACTTTAACCCTGTATTAATAACTCAAAATCGATTTTTGCGACGAGTGACTGGTTTGGCTTGTCTTTGCCACAAATGTTTTTGGCAAAACTATTTGCTAAATAAGAAAACAAAGTTTTATTTTTTTTCTGACTTCTGATCTTTAAAAAACATAAGTTTGTGAAACAAGGTATAAAAAGTCCCCCCTTACTTACTTGAAAACAAGGTTTTGTTCTATTTCTGTTTTGATGCTCATACAGTTTTGTCAACATCGCTGAGCGCGTCGATAAATCAGGAAAAACTGACGAAATCACACTGACTACGATCAACTGATTTTGCGTCACTTCCTCGTTGATGAAGCGTTCAAATTCTACATCCGTCAGCGTTGGGATACGATGACGACTGCATTTGCACGTGGACATCATCTCACCGAAAATCTCATTACGAATTACGCTGAAGTGATGAAATATAGGAAAAAGTAATAATGCCAAAATTATAATCAAAAAGGCTGTTATACCATAATAAAGATGACAATATTGTACTGTACTAATAATTTTAATAATTGAATAATCTATTTGTTCATAATTTTAATAATGTTTAAAAATTCATCTAGTTTGATTGAAATTACCAAGATGATTTTCTTATGGTTTCTCATGGATTCCATTATAGGCTGGTGATCTATACATCAACCTACATCAATTCATCCATTTTATCTATTTATCCATGAATTCAACTATGATCCTATCTATATATCCATTGATCCATGAACACAGCTATCTACTTGCAATAATAATAATAATAATATGTCATTCTTATATAGCGCTTAATGCCTTAACAAAGCCTCTAAGCGCTTCACATTACTACCCCGTTCATTGGATCAAACACATACGGAACACATTGAACACCAAATTAAATTATTAAATTAAATTATATTATTATTCCATAATATTGCGGCTAGTAATCAGCACAGTTGTGTTGGAACCTATCAGGTAACCACTTGTACTCCTGGGTGGAGAGAGGCAACCGTAGATAAAGTGCTTTGCCCAAGGACACAAGCGATTTGCACAGCGAGAGTTTCGAACCCCCGACCTCGAGGTTGGGAGTCCAAGCCACAACCAATGCACCAACCGCTTCTACAGGGGTCCCAAGTCTCCCGGAACTCCCGGGAGTCTCCCGGAAATCGGTATGTTCTCCCGCACTCCCGCAAACATCTATAAAAAAATTCACTTATCTAGCCCACAAATTCAGGTAAAAAAACAATCTTTTTGTTTTATTTAGGCCTAAACTTTGATTGCCGATTATTTTTTGCAGCCTGACAGTGTCATTTCCAGGATTCTAAAGGTGCCTTTTCTAAAAAAAATGTCATCACTTCAGCCTCAATTATGGTGGGCCTGAAATGGGCGTGGCCCTTCGTTTCGTACCTACACTCTTTCCTCATAGATTATATAGCGCCCCCAATGTCATTGAACAAATCTCCCGGAAATGGGTTCTTCCAACTTGGGACCCCTGTACTTATTCTTTGGTCCATCTTTCCAGCTATTTATTTTTCCATTCATCTATCTATTCACCTACATAGCCATCTAACCATTCACAAAGTATACTTCCATCCTTCAATCTAATCCATTCATAATATCTGTCCATCTACATATTTATCCAACATTCCATCAATCCAGCTTATCAACCATCTATATGCTTATCAGTTACTCTGCCTGCTTATCAATCTGTTCTTTCATTCAGCTTTCTATCTATCCATATATCTACCTACAGTATTTATCTATTTATGAATTGATACTCATCTATCTTTACACCCACCCATCCTTATATATCATCCATTTATCCATCCATACATTCCTTTCAAACATCTATATTTCTACCTATCCATCCATTCTTCAAGCCATCCCTTTGCCATAAAAAAATATATCCATCAACCCATACAACTATCCATCTATCGATTTATCAATGCATCTACCTAACATGAAGCTTCAATAAAAAAAGATCATAGTGTATCAATTTTATACACCATTTTGTATTTTTCATATTTGAAAGGATACATAGTACATCCTTTAAGTGGTGCTGGAAGACGTCTCTTTTCGTTGGGATCCATAAAAGATGCCTTCGTTGATTTAGGAACTGGTGAAGTACAGGTAGGAATACCGGCCGTCAATGATGCTGCACTGGTTTCAGGACTGAAAACAAGCACAATAATAATTTGTTAAAATGGATGGATGGATAGATTTTTTTGGTGTAAACACCAAGAATAACCCAAGAAAGTCTAGAAGAAGACTTATTTCCAGTGGGGTCCTTCTGGTAGTGATTGGGCAGTATACCAGGAGACAATCCCCTTAGGTATACACTGTTCTTTAACGTGCACATGGGAAAAAATGCACACAGGACCAACAGCTTAAACGTGTCTTCAGAAAAACAATGCGCTATCGTAGTTTGTACTTCAGCCCTCCAGCTGAAACACAAGGAGAGCAGCGATGGGAATTGAACCGGGGACCTAGAGATCTCCACGGTTCAGCGCACACACCGTGGCTACTACTACTACTATAGAGAGCCGACTGAGCTAAGCTGCTCTCTAATCTTTTATAAATATATAATAACTGTTTTTCTTTCTATGCCTGCAGCTAGTACTTTCTGTTTGCAGGATGAAACTTAATTTTTCTGTGAATCTTATGAAATATCATTAGCTTTTAACACGTTCGCTGCCAGTTAGTTCCAACTGATCAGGTTTTGACTCGAAATTGTGATCCCAGGTCAGTACGCATCTGGGTAGCAAAATAGCAGATGAAAATACTGCTTATTCTAAGAGATGGAGCATTAGGTGATTACTCAAATTATGCCTTTTGTATAAAATAAAAAATTAATGTTTCTTATTTCTTGTATAATGAGACTGGGATAAAAAATTTTCATGAGGTGAAAGATTAAACATTGTATTAAATTTCATCTTTCACCATATGAAAATATTCTATCTCAATTGTATTCGTATCATTCACATTACAAACTAACACAATCAAAATAGATTGTGTTATTTTTAGAGGAAATAAAAAAGCGTGTCAAAATAAATGTGTGTTGGTTGTCAAGAACTTTGGTATTCATTACAACACAAAAATTAACACCTGCGCATAATTCAACATGCTTTTTTGTTTTCACACAACTAAGGAACTAACACATTCTACTTCGTGTTAGTTTGTTATGTGAGCAACAATGTATTTTGTTCTGTTTCATGATCCCTGTTTATATTATGTATTGTTATGCAAGAATTTTAGCTTTTGGCTACCGCTTTGTATTTGACGTTTTTACACCTCAATAAGAAATAAATAAATTTTATTCCTCCGTGATTGCATGTTAAACTCACCATGTTGATGGAGCAGGTGTCACTGGTTTACATTCCAAAGGTTGTCCGTCAACTTCTATCCGTACCTTCCCATCCGGATTTCTGCGGCTGGAAGCAGAGGCGGCACTGTACGCTCTCGAAGCAACAGAGTGAGAACTGATGGGCCGTCTAATCATTTCGTACTTCATCGGTGGGGCTGATGGAACACGGGTAGCAATCTTCACTTCCGGTATACTCACCATGTCAGGTATTTCGGGCTCGTCAAACACCTGCTCGGGACATGGAGCAAATCCTCCCGGGACAGATTTTGCAGAGTTGATGGAACGAGTATAACGTCTTGGGCCGCTGGTTACGTTGCGCAAGTGTGGCGATATGATGCCTAGGGCTAGGCGGTAATGATCCATCCAATCTTCACATAAATTTCTGAAAATGTTTCAAGAAAAAAAAAGTTTAAAACACAGATGAGAAAAGCGTCGCCCTGGGAAAACATGTGGCCAAGAAAAGTACATTTTAACAACTATGTGTGCTGCCCGTCTATCATCTTTCGCTAGAAAACCCATTCTTAACATCTGTACTTGGAGTGGAGTTGAATAGTTTGTTGGTTAAAATGCTTGCCTTAAAATCCCGGGGTCCTGGTTCAATTCCTGTCACAGTAACAGGATTTTTTCTCATGAACAAAATAACTCCGCTCCCTAAACCTCTAATTAGACTTATGTAGAACAACTTGTGTTTATGTTTGTCTTTGTGAGAGGATATGCCACTTTGAATAGTGATTAAGTTCGCTGCTTGGCATATCCTTGCCCTTCAGACTATACCAATTAATAAAAAATTATTTAATTTTAAAAAATCAGTAAAAAGTAACATTAAAACTGAGCATACAGCGGTATAAAAGCCTTGAACTGGTTTGTAAAATTTTTGCAATTAAATTAAAAATGCCAAATTTTTAACATAAGTTTGGTTTTAACATGCGAAGGGTATATACGCTTCCATAAATACTGACATTATATGAATGTTAGTAACTTATGATTAGAACCAGATTTTGAGTAGTTTTTATTAGGGGAAAATTTCACTGGAGACTGGCAACAGACAAACATATATTGTTGCATTTACTTAGCCTTGCGTTGAAGTCTACTGTGCTCCTTCTCTGCTGCTATGTCGTAATTGCCTCTTTCAGGAATTTCCATATTTCTGATCATCTCAAGAAACTGCGACTGAGGGCTAGGCTTAGGCTTGGCAACCTTTTTTCCGACCCTCTTACCATCCCTAAAGGAGGCCATTTTCCTGATTGACTGTGAAGGAGGTTTAACGCTTTCCTCTGCAGCTTTTGACAGAAATGTTTCACTTGTTGCAAGATAACCCTGATAAGAGAAAGAAGAAAACATTTCAGCTTTTTCTCTGATTTGTTGAAATGATATAACAATTTCATTTGATCCATATTGGTTAGAATTGACAGACATATGCAATATGTACTATAAGATCATTTGAGCTCTAGCAATGTACTGTGTACTTTTAAGACCAATTGTGAAGTTTTCTCATAAATTCCAAATTTGGAAGTAACAGCATAATATAAAACGGACAATATCTACATAAATCATTAAGGATGGGAGATGGCTAGCCACTTTTCAACCTTCTAGGATCTGCTCATGGCTACTCACCAAATTCTCTTGTGTCTGTGGCTCAACAGTATTGATGTTGTGTCCAACTTGAAACTTGATCGACTCCTTCTGGCAGTAGAAGCCAATGACCATCTGGTTGCGATTACTACATTTGAAGCTCACTTGTTCATTCAGCTGAATGAAGATTGGTGAGGAAAGCTTGGAATGAGGTAATGGCCAGTTCACCCTCTGAGTCACCGTCCCGTCTGTTTCCATAACGATCGCTGCCCTATCCATGGCTATGAATCTAAAGTTCAGTGGAAGCAGACAGAAAAAAATTCTCAATATAAATGTGTACCATTGGTATTACTTGAAACAAGTCAGTAATCTTCCATTCATAAGTTCATTTGTTTTACGTTTGCATGCTTGTTCTTTCATCCATCTAGTTGTTTATTTATCAGTCTGTTAAAAGGGACACTTGCTGCGTAATACAATCATCGCACAACGTATCCAACTCCACTTCCTGTGAGCGCTAGACGACGCGATGCTGTCTGCTGTTTGCCAGTTACAGTCTGAATGGATTGCCATTACAAACAATCAGTTGCTCGCACGTTGTGGCGCCGCGTTCTACATAGATTTGCGTCGACCTCGGACGAAGTAAGTACCCCATCTGTTAATACATATTTGCCCATTTATTCACTTATTTATTCTTTCAAAAAAAAGACACATTAAAATAAAATTTTTCTCGCATAGTGTAACTGAATTGAGAAAAATAATTCTGTTTATTGAAACAAAAACAAAACAACAAAGTATAATATACATATTTAGTTCAAAATTAATAGTGTAAACAAATTAATCTAATAGGGTTTAGTTTTACTTTTTTTAATTATATTTTGAGTTATCAGTAACTTAATATCCCAGATGATGAAAACAATGATTAGGGGAGACCTTGGTATCTGGTAGTGTCGGTTCTATTTTTAAGATCTATTTACATATTATCTTCATTTGAATTATCTATATCATCATAATAATTTATACTCAATACTCAATAGATTTATTTGTCATATATTATGTACAATATTAAAACATACAATGAAATTCGGTCTGGTTCAAACATAAAATACGAAAATTCAAACTACTGTAGTGACTTGTTCAATGCCCTAATGGTGGATGGATAGAAACTACGTAGAGATCTACCCGTCCCGGTAACTAGTGATTGAAATCGGCGATCACTCCGCATCAGAGTGAACAAATGGTTGGCCGGGTGATTTCAGTCCCCAACGATCGCCATTGCCTTTTATACAGCGCTTTATTTCATCAACAACAATCAAATAACGAAAATTAAAATGATATGTTGTACAGTTATATTGAAACAATTTTTATGAACATGAATATATGAAAACAAAATATGATACAAGATTTTACAATCTTTCAAAGAATTACAAAACAACAAATTGTGCTGCTGTTTTACCTTGCCAATCCATTAGGGTGATAGCAGCAGGCTTTACCATACGGTGTAAAGACAGCAAGCATTGGGTACTCCACACTATCAGCGTACACAATGGCGTAGACTCCCGGCCTATCTATACCATTCCGACTTATGCTGATGGCACACCGACCAGACGGATAACTAAAACTATTGTTAAGGAAAAGTCAATTCAAATACAGCATACAAGTAAAAAAAATTGTACTCAAAATTTAAATTTAAATATTTTTTAAATTTTAATTTTAATTTTTTTTTAAATTTTAATTTTAATTTTTTTTTTTTATTTATTTTTTTTTTTTTAATTTTAAGATTTATCTTAAAATAATTTTAAGATAGATACAGAGGTGCAAGATTTTCTATGCCTGGAATAAACGGTATCCCGACATTTGACACTTGAGGTGGTCAGAACAGGTATCACACACATAAATTTTGCTTATATATTACGATATATACATTTGAAAAAAATTGTACAGAATCTTAAAATAATTTTAAGATAGATGCAGAGGTGTAAGATTTTTCTATGCCTGGGATGAAAGTTATTCTGAACTTTGACCCCGAAGTGGCCCTAAGAACATGTTTTTTATATAAATATAAGTAATAGTCTTGCCAGTACAGATACGTTTTGCAAATATATATTATATTGTTTATTTCTTTATTATTATTTTTTTTTATTTGTATTTGAACTAATTAGTTTATGGTTCTTTTATAATTTTGTTTTTCTCTTAATAATCAAAGTGCTTTTGGCCTTGAGTTTAGTGAAGTTATTAATACTGTAATTTTTTTAAATTATTATTACAAATTTGGGCACAAGGGTAAAGAATACTGTATGTCAAATAGTAAACTTAAAATCACTTTTTTTTTAATTGAAAACCCTATCTGTGCTCTACATAGACTAAGTCTCATTGTGAGGATTATTTTGGTGAAGTTTTCCTCATGAGGTGGAATCCCGTCATTATGACAGGATTTGAACCCCGGACCTTGGGATTGGAGGGCAAGCATCTTAACCATCAAACTATTCCACTCCACTCCAAATAATATGTTTGTGGCATACTAAAAAGCATAAAAAGTATTGGGTTCTTTAACTGTTTTACTGTATTAAAATATAGTTTGAAATTATTTTATAGTAGGCAGTGGATACTTAACTGGTGGAATTAAAAATTTGTAGCAAAGAATTATTGTGATGACACCCCACTCCAGGGGCTTAGCCAGAAAAATGAAATAGGCCGTCCAAAATGAAAGTCAGTGGGCGTGGCCTGAGCCGATGAGCGGACTACGCCCACTCGAGGCCTCGCCCCCCCTCCCAAACATAAGAAAAAAATCGACTCAGAATCCTCACTAAAAGTTGGTATGATAACAACATACATTCAATCAATAAATGTTTTTTTTTATTAATCGTAAATATTATTTAGCTTTAGTTTAGTGTAACATTCGATAGGTTTTAAGAATATAAAGGATTTGCTAAAAAGGTAGACCAAGCCTAGGCTAGGCTGAGTTGATTAAGCCAAGCCATCCAAGCCGTCATAAATAGTTGTTGGCCGTCCAAAAGATATACTTTTCTTATATTAAGGATACTAAACTGTTGCACAACCATCAGGTAAGCTAGTGTAGAACTTTGGCCGGCTATCATGCACCATCTGTGGAAGCTTTGGGAGAGGTAGTTTACTTGTACCTTGAAGATTCTGCTTGGAAGCACTAGCTTTTTTACTTGTATACTTCATTATGTTTTCACGCCTTGTATCTCCATAATAACGGTTGACTAACGGCTTGTCATAACCTAATTCCTTTGCTCTAGACAGCTGCTCTTGACTGAAAAAAATAAAATAATAATAAATAATATAAATTAATAAAATAGTTGGTTAAATATAACTAAAAGTTATATTTTACATGGGTAAAGTTTCATCCTGCTTCAAATAAAGCATGTTAAATCAATTATCGTATCCCTACAGTAAATTCCTTTCCTACAATTTACTTACAGTATCTTGTACAGTTGAACTTGTCTGTGTTAAGGTCTCCCTTAAGCAGACCACACCTGCATATACAATCATTGTTTATATTTGATATTTACCTAAGGCTGGGCCTCACATTTTATGTATTCTTGTATAGCAATTACTTTCACTGGACCAGAGCTGCATTTAAGGGCCCAGAACTGACTATATATGTTATTTGAATAAGTGTCACAATGCTAAATTGATAATTACACATTTTGCCTTGATGGAAAAACTAAAACTTCCCTTTTCCAATGACAGACCTACACTGCTACACTAATGTGATAAGTCACATAGGCCTATGTACACCACAAACAATTAACTTGTAAGTTTTACACCACTCTTAAATTAGCACTCCTCTCAAAAAACACACACACTGAAGCCACTAAAAGTATTACAATCACTGCAGTGCTTTAATATGCAATAAGTTTAAAGCCTGGCTCCAGAGCGAAAAGCATTTTTGATATGTTGTAAAACTGATTTTCCCACAAAAAGCATATTTGACGAAAAACTTGGAGGTGGTTTTAATGAGATAGAGATTTTTGAATATTTAAAAACTGGGGGGAAAGTGAAAAAAAAAAGGTTACGTTTTTAAATATTCAAATATCTGTATCTCATTAATTTTTTTTATGTCTAATATGCTTTCTGGGTCTTAGAAAAATCAGTTGTACAACATATAAAAATAAAAAGTTACTCCGGAACATGGATTTAAAAATGAACTATCTTTGGCGAGTCGAGTGATGGACGAGTGGTAAGGCAGGGGCGCCGCTAATACACAGTAATATCGGCACTGGCTCAAGCCGTTCCTCGCCTAGGGGTTTGATTGGTTGAACCAGGTCTTCTCAGTTAATGCCCCTTTCCCACATTCACGATTTTCACTATGACAAAGCACAAATTTTCAATTTTTTTAAATCGCAATGGCGTCGTTGTGGTAAAAAATAATTCATCGTATTGCATCGTACTGGATTTTGATGTCATCGTGATGGAGCACGATATTTTTTGGAATGTTAAAAAAATTGTGGTAACGTCGTGCTTATGTTTTGTAAACCGTAGTGACGTCGAATTAAAATTCTGGTAATTCGTAGTACGTCGTCACAAATCGTAAGTCTATTGTTATAATTCGTAAAAATGTCGTCGCACTATCGCATCAGTGCCGGATAACATCTTGACGGCGTCCTTGTATAGCATCTTGATGAAACATAAAACTTGAACTTTTTGAGTACAAATCACTACGATAGAGCGCGGTTTCAAAACTTTTTAAAATCGTGCTCCATCATAGCAAAAATTGTGAATGAGGGACAGGTGCATAAAGACTTTAAATGGAGGTCCCGTTTACACATCTGGCTCGTGTGCATTTCAAAGAACAAATTGCATTTTTCAGAAGAGTAACCAATTTACAGACATTCTACTAAAAACAAATCCTTAAATTGAGCACTATACAAATGCAAATGAATACAGGAAAGTTATTTAAATGTCCAAAAATTGATGGAGGAATCTCTTTCTCATTTAAATTTTAACTTGAAATAAATAACTTACTTAAATAATATACAAGTTCAAAATGTGAAATTTACAATTTTTTTACCACATGATTGTAAGGTTTGCATGGCGAAGTAATAATAATATATTAAATGCTTGCGCTACACCACGTAGATACTTCTGAAAAAAACTTTGTTGTCAACAATAACAATGGGAAATGGAAAAATATACATACAAAAGGAATGCATTGAAAACATATGTTAAAAGTCTTACATTACTATGAAAATAACTATAAAGAAATAATAGTTAGCCATCACAATGGACTGACCCCTTTTAAAGAAAAGTGATTTTATCTCTGTAAATAAATACTCATATTGGATATTTCACAGTACAACATAAAACCTATTAATTGTAAATTATGTAATGATGAAATGCGAGAAAAAATGAAAGTGGGATACCCCCACAAAAAAACAAACAAAACAACAGTTCTGTTCAGAACTATCTACAGGGCTTGATTTAACTTTGTTAGTTGACAATCCACCCACTGGGCTAGTTTACTGTACATTTCACTAACCCATTGGCTATTTTACTAGCCCAATCATTTTCTACATTTTACATCAGTACATCATTATGTTCTTGGCCAAGCATACTTGAAGCAATAGTTTATAACTGATTACTGGCCCACTGGGCTAGTAATAAGGTAGGTTTACTAGCCCAGAGGAGTTTTACTAGACATTGTGCAACAGACTAGTACTAAATCAAGCCCTAATCTACATGGTGTACCACAAGCATTTACTGTTAAGTTCAAGTAAAAATGCAGTGCCTAAACTTACGACTGCAGTATGCTCATTTTCAAGCGTTCCTGAGCCCAATGCACCAGGGTCTCTCTCTCCATTTGTAACTCTTGTTCATTCTGGTGTACAATCCAGCCCTTGTCCTCACAAAGTTTAGACTGCATGGAAAAGTTGATGACTTGAAGGAAGCTCGGCTGGTGGCTGCCTATAATATAATTGCAACAGAAAAATATCATAAAAATGCATTTCTTATTGATTCATAACGAAAAACCCAATAAATTTTATTAGTTCTTAAAACCAGGCTCTGGTGGGAAAATTTAAACTCTGATAATGTTGTACACACAAAAAGGGTGTTTGACAAAAGTGGCAGTTAGAGCATTGAATAAGTATCTTACCTTGACCCTCAGGAAACCCCTCTGACATGATTGACATACTGTCACTTAGCTTGCCCATCATATTGGAAGCACGAGCCGTAGAGGGCACCCTCAACCGGTCACCACTGCCTAAAAGCAAAATGATATATGTATATTACTTCAATATATTTTTAGGCCTATAATACTATGTTTTACTCAATTAACTTTGTATTTCCAGGTAATATTTAAATGTGAGTATTGAATTTTTTTTATTTGAGGCGATATTGACATTTTGGTGTATATTGTAAACATTTAATTCAGATTTGGCTACAAAAGAGACAAATAAACTTGAACTTGATTATACTCTGTTAGAAAGATCCATGAGTTTTATTTTTTGGAAAAACTACTGTAGCCTACTTTGACATTTCATTCTGTGAGATATGACAAGAGATATATATGAAGATATGAGCTGGAGATGATGATAATAAGAATGACATTGATGAAGATGTAAATGATGAGATGATGATAATAATAAGAATGATTATTATATTGATAATGAGGATGATGATCAAGCTGGAAAGAGTGAATGGTGATAGTGATGGTGATGCAAATAATGTTGACACAATATTTACTCACCATGATCTTGTTTGAGAGAACTCCGACATCTCTCATTTCGTGAACCTGATTTATGAGAATGACTGGCACCAGCACCTTTCAAACATCCTGTTGCATCGTCTTTCAAATTGCTTTTACTACTGTCGTCCACTTCAATTTTCCTTCTCCTCCTTCTTTTCTTTTCTCCTTCTACAGAATTCTCATTATCGTTTTCTTTATTCTCGGATTCATTTTCTTCAATTGTTTGTACACTAGCAGCATTCTTGGCCTCTTGCATTTGTTTGTGTATCAACCAGTTCTCCTGACACTGCCATTCTCGCTTTGTGTACTGAGCTTCTTTGATCAAATCTTTGAAGCTATGAAGCATTTCATTCATGACCTCTCTCGGCAAATCAAGATGCTCGTTCTCGAACAGATACAAAATCCGAGCCAGGTGTAACAATAGCCCAGGGGCAGCAACCACTGCTTCTTTATAAAACTGCTTCTGCGAAAAATCCCCTTCAAATTCAAAGGCGGCATCTTCTAAACTACCTCCGTGAAGACCTCTCAGCATTGACATCCGACGGAAAAGACTTTCACTTCCATGGATGTCAGGAAGTATGCTCGCTTTTGTTTTGGTTTGATCATCACCACTATGGCACTCTTCATCTCTGGGTGTGTTACCATCGCAGTCACCATCTTGTTTCTTAGATCTCTGCTGTTTATCCTGTTGTGAAAGAAATGCAGCCAACCTTGGGTTGAGATTGGCAAACCTCAGGCTTCTTGGAAGTTCATCAGGATGCTTTCGTGATCTTTTCTTTGGTTTGCGTTGAATTTTCTGGTCAAAGAAGTATGACTGTTTTGACATGATGGTTGATGGTAGACCTACATAGAAATTTCTTCATTCATCAATCTACTGTAGTTAAACCAAAAAGCTGTACTCTTGATTGTTTCGTGAAATGTACAGCACTGATGGCTCGACATAACAAATCTGCAAGAATAAGTTAGAAATCTGAGTAAATGTTCAGGAAGGTAATTTTTTTATATCACTTAATGCCAACATGGCTTCTCTAAATAATAATAATAAATGTAATTTAGCCAATTTCCAGTAGGAAATATTTGGCACCAACTAACTAAAGGCGGACTTTAATCAAATGTGAATTAAAATGCATCGTATCAAAAATAAAAACCATGAAATTGTTCCTATCTAAACTTGGAAATGATTAACAAGAAACAACCTAGCCTAGCTAGGCCTATGCAGGAAAACTAGCTACCTGTAGTTATTTAAATGTTAAAATATTACCTCCAGTCTGCAATTAAAAAACGTTAGGCCAAGGGCCTACACATGATCCCACCCACGCACATGATGATGGGGCAGGCCTTTTGTTGTTTCGGAGGTACTTTCTTACTTAGTCTTTAGGCCTAGGACTATGGGCTGGCCCTAGCCTAGTTTTAGTTAGTTAGAATTACTACTATTTTACTAATATTTTACCGTATAACAACTACTAATAATAATACTAGGCTAGGCCCAGGGAGCATAGGCCTAGGTCTACTATATGTCCGGCTTAGGCCTCGGCCTCATTTGGCTAGTGCGACGTTAAGCCTAGTCTGCTCTAGCCTCCATGCCTAGGCCTAGTAGTAGTAGGCCTAGACCTAGGGGTAGCTTAGACCCGAGGCTCCTAGGCTAGCCGCTAGGCTAGGCCTAACTTAGCCTCTGATGATTGGGATAAAATAATCGGTGCATAGGCTAGGCCTAGCCACACAAACAGGCAAGCAATTATGAATTTTCATTCTTTTAAAAATTATAAGTATTAACACAACCTGTTTCAGTTTTAGAAATGTGTTACTCTTGCAAAAAAACATGTTTACCTCACTTGACCGCCATCCATCGCCATTTTCCAGCAATCAATGAATGGACTATTCCATTGAGGGAGATTAAGGTTATAAGTTTTATTATTTGTTTTGTTATTCGACAGTGTTTATCAATTCAAGTTGATAAACAGCATTATTTTATAATAATTAAAACAAGAATTTTGTGTTTGTTTTATTGAAAATTTCAAGTTTTTGTTAAACATTAGGATGCTAAATATATTTTTACCTACAAACAAATGAAGCAGACTACCTATGCGTTCTGTTGCTACGTGACGCTTAGTTCCGTAAACTTTGTTTCAGAAGGGGGTCCAGAGGGGGTGATTCTGGATTTATTATCCAAATACTCAATTTCTCACACTGTCCCATAATCAACAAGGGAATAGGCAAGGGGAGGGAGAGGGCTGCAGGTGGGTGCGGGGGGGGGGAGTTAAGTCCCAATATTTTTACCAATATATGATAAAATTGTGATACTACCCTACTGTATATTTTTGTGTGTTTACTTCATACAATGAACGTTTGAATAAAGTGATAAATAAACCGGCCTATTAAAAAGACATAATGCGGAGACAGCATGTACATTATTTATTTATAAAAACTTAGGCCAACTTAATGAAGGATAAAGCGGGGATGCTTACTGCCTATAGTGAGCTAAACCATTCAAAAATGAATTCCAAATGAACTTTATTTTGCCTAATACATGACAATTAAAGTTTAACAAACATACAACTTTCCGATCCTCTCCTCCATACCTTGTAAATCGGCTTCTAAGAATCAAATTTCATATTTTCAATTGAATATTTTTGTGTGTCTATAATCAGTGAAAACTATTGTGATATAATATTTTTGTTTGGAAGTCAGTGTGTTTTAAAATATTGTACAGTAGGCCATGAGTATCATAGGAAATAAAATAAATGCAGTTTTATTGTATAATTGAGAAAGAAAGTAGAATGCATGTGCCTTGACGTCAGTATATGCAAGAATCGTTACACGGATGACAAACATTTCATATTTGGTAGAGATCAATGCCGTATTTTCAAACAGTAGGGGAAATATCATTGTGGACCAACTTTACGCGTAAATTCAAACAATGTGGACATTTTACGCAAAAATATTAAAAATCTGGACCCATTTTCCTAAATTTTCAAAAAGTGGACATTTTATGCATAAAATTACTTAATTTGGACCTATTTGCAAAATGTCAACCCATTCTCTGTGGACCTGTATTAGAAAAATTGTTTGGGACTGTCCCAATTGTCCCAATAGCTGGGCTACGGTATTGGTTCGCAGAGATATTTTTATTAACATGCTTGTCATGAATATCTCTAGGGCCAATAAAAATTGAAATTTGTGAAAATTGTTTCGGTTAAAAACATGCTATTTTGGTAACAACAAATATCGGAGATTTGTTGACATTTAAACACTGATATCGTCAGCTTGTAAAAATGCATTTAAAAATAGTATACCTATACCAGAATTAAGACCCGAAAAAAGAACGTTTTATGTCCTCAGACCTACATAATGATCAATCTGCAATCACTGGAGCTGAATTTCCAACAAATGTTGTCGCACAGTTAAAAACTACGGTAACGGTTAGAAGAGTTGGCAAATGAAAATGCAAAGCATAGGACTAATATTATAGAATTTCGCGATAAGAGGAACGATGTGAAAATAGTTTTTAAAAAGTGGACGTCTAGAAATCATGGGGGACCAGAAAAGTCCAACAATAGCGTTTACAGCCATACATTAATGGATTTTTGAAGCCCATATTTCGTGAATATTCTATTTAAATTTTCATTCATTGGGGTGATTGGTGGACTGAGGACCTGAAAAGAAATATCGTGTTATGGTTCGCAAAAACAAAACTGCCTTCTTTCGCCCAAATTTAAATCCAGAGTGAACCTTGTCAAGTATCTGACCACCAAATTGGCACAGGAGGAGCCCCCACCCCACACCTGATCGCTTCGCTCCCTCATTTGTTTGATTGTTCTCACTACCGGCTAATTGACAAACTTGGCATCTCTACTGGGTAATAAAAGTATGTCCTGGACCTTACATGTGCAATACCCAATTTTCCTAATCCGCCAAGCATTAATGTAATATTTGGCGCGCCATACCTTTATTGCACGAGAGATAAAAACAAAAAATGCGAAAATGACGGGGCCGGCGCGCCATACTTTAATTGCACGAGATAAAAACAAAAAAATGCGAAAATGACAGGGCGGTGGTGGTGGTGAGAGTTGAGGAACTGGTTTATTCAATTACTGTCCAGATGATAAATCTTGTATTCCAAACTACCTATCGAGGTACTTTACTTTTTTTTTAATTATGTGATCAATTGGGAACGTTTTAGGATTACTACGGATGTTCAGTAACGCCCTACTAAACTAGCTAGGCTAGGCCTAGACTACCTACACTACCGTGCCACGGCGTGCCAAGCAAGGAGCCAACGACAGTAGGCCTAGCGAATCTATACGGTACTACTACTAGTCTAGCAGTCATTGGCCCTTGGTTGGCTTAGGCTTAGCCATCCTTTACCTTACTGTAGCTCGCTGGCTTGCCTGAAATTTTGTTTACGTTCACCATACAGTAGTACTGTAGGCTAGATTAACCACATTATTAATAATAATTAGGCCTAGGCTAGGCCAAAAAAAAAATAATTTTTTGTTTGCCATTCTTTTTTAAAACATGATAAATAGGGGCAGGCGGGAGGAAAAAGTTTTTTTTTTTTTTTTTTTTAGTACTCATCAGATTGAATAAAAATAAACCAACAGAGGTCTAGAATGGCAATGTCTTACATCAGGGAAGAACTTTATACTAATTTGTAGGGCATCTGGCAAAAAATAAAGATAAATTTTAATTTGTAAAGAAAATGCTAAAAAAAACTTTTTTTAAAGTTTCTTTTGTTTTTTCCGCCCCTATTTTTTTCAATTAGGGGCAGGTGAAGGAGGGCAAACAAACCATTTTTTTTTACCTTATCACATATTGATTGTCAGCTACAGTCTGTCATCTCAACAAGCCCTCTCACTTACTGTACTGTAGCCTACGTTCCCCTACCCATCAGCTTCCCCATTCCCACCAATCAGCTTCCCAACCCATCAGCTTTCCCACCAATCAGCTTCCCCACCAATCAGTTTCCCCACCAATTTCAATGCTCTTACTGTACATACCACTGGAAATTTTCAAAGAAAAAATATTAATTTATATTAACTATTTCCATTCACTTTCATTGTGTTTCTAGAGTATGAATAATTGTCTCCACTACAGTACAAAATTTGTATACATTTTTGTTTATAAAAGGACATATGTGTTGATTGTGTGTTCATTGAGAATATTTTTTTCTTTTACATATCTTTTGATACTTTGTAATTTACAATACTTTATTCGCCCACCAATTTGAGACCACCTTTAGGACTTGATAGTTTGTGGTGGTCTTGGAATATGATCTCCAGTTAGAAGTTAGCTTTAGTGTTAAAAGATTAAAGTCAGTGTTTAGCTGCCATTAGCCAAGTAGCCAAATCCTAATAAAAGCTGAATTTTGCTCAATATTTCTATTCACAATTAGCCAAAAGGCTAATGGAATTGATGCTAATTTCTTATATTCTTTTGTTTATTGCAAATAAAATGTCTACATTCCTTGGAAATGAGGTCTTGAATTGCAGGGGTCTCAAATTGGAAGGTGCTCTGTGTATATTTTTACGTATCAGTCATTTTCCAATTGATTGCAAATAATGAATGAATGAATGAATGTATTATTTTTTTTCATCAAGCACTGTTTCAAAATGGAAGATGATGCAACTGTACTAGAGGGGTTTCTCTGCCCTATGTGCAAAAGGAACTTGAATTCGGTTTACCAGCTACAAGCTCATTTTGAAGAGGCACATGGTGCTGAGGAGAAACTTGGGGGCCAACTCAGAGGGTTTTTAGGTGAGAATTTTATGATTACAGTAAGTACTTTTGATCTTCATGAAATAGTTGGTATATAAATGCTGTAATAATGTATTTATTCTTCAATGTTTCCAGGAAAAGCTAAAAGGAAGATTTTAGGGAAGAAAGAAGATTTTGACTATGATGATGGGTACTCGTCACCCTTTCCTGCCTCTCACTCATCTGCGTCAGGTAGTCTGGATAAAACAGGAGAAGAGGGAACAGATCCATTCACATGGGCTGCAGAATTTGGTAAATGATAATTGCCTCATACATTTTCAACTAGCATGTTGTCCAGTGTACAACATTACAATTTGAACATCAGATTTAATGTACATTTAATGTGTAGGATGTACCTGCAAATTATCTGTTACTGGTATTGGCTCAAGTAACCGTCTTCAAGACATACAGTATGGTGGTAGCCATTAACATGAAGTTGGCATTTGGATAATACTACTTTTGAAACGTATTTCGGGATTGACATACCACCACAATGTAACAGCACACAAAACAATGTTAAAACAAAAACATAATGTTGAAATGGTGCGGGAGTTAAGAGATTTCGGTTGGAGCAGGTCTTCATGGTAAAGTTGCATCTAGCAAGTTGGCGTTCTTGTATAGATCTATCCAGTTTACTGATGAGATCTCACGACCTCTTTGTTTACACTGTGTATCAACATGTCTTTTTTTTTATTTTTGCTGTCAGTGAATCAATCAATCAATTATAGTAAATACCAGTGTTTTAATATTGAGCCTACTATGTCAATGATTGTTAGTATCAACCAGTTACTCTCCGAAACATTCCGAAAACACCCAGCATCTGTAAATCTGCTGCTATGACCATGGAGAAATTGCTTCCTTAACGCGCTTCTCTCAGTAGGTAATTATAACAAAGAATATAGAAAGTAAAGTGAGAGCACAGTCCTGTTTCTAAATATCACTATATATTGTTGTAATAAATTGTGCCTGCTGCACAAGTGTGCCCCCCCCCCACTCAAAATATTAAGATCTGTTTCTACAAACTGTCGCCTTCTTTAAAGAAATTGTATTGTAATAAATAATGTTAAGCGCAACTCTGTAGTAGTGCTGAAGGTGTACATAAGGAAGGAACGAAAAATTTGATTGGCGCTTGTGGAACACTGATAAACAAACAAAATTTGCTGTGTACTACTGGGTTACCAAAAGTGTTAACCGAACACAGCGGGCGTACAGAGCCGTATCATTTGTTTATGCTCAACATAGTTTACTGTGTATATATCTTTATGTTCTAAACCCTTTGGTAAATAGTTTAAACCAATTGCACTATGCTGCAACTACTGTATCATAAAACATACAAGTGATTGTCTCTTTATTTTCTCTTTTATAAGGTGCCACTCGCAGCCACATCCAACTTTTCAAATCAATTAGAGGCTCGAGGATTAATCACATTGTTGTTGAGACAAATAAGTTGCTATTCCGCTTGGAAAAGCTAGTGCAATTTTACGATACAGAACCGGAAAAGTCGAAAAGGAAAGGTAAGATTTCTACACCTGAGAGGTCATTGAGCCATGGAATAGTCGTTAGGGTGCTATTCTTCTTCACCGAGAATCTGGGGTTCAATCCAACAAAATTCAAATACCTGTAGTAGATTTTTTTTAAACATTTGTATTACTAGCCAAAATGCATGTAAGTTATTGTTAAGATTGAACTCTAGTATTAAGCTCTGCCAAAACTATCACATTTTGTTTGACAATAATATGTTGTATGCCTAAATATGGTCATGATGACATCATATTACCATATATAGGCACATCATCACTGGCTATGTTCTCACATAGCAGCTAACGGTTAGCAGGATCCGGATCCTGCTAACCGTTAGCTGCTGTGCGTCCATACGAGAAAATCCCGATCCGGATACCAAGAATATGATGATTGAATCACTGGCCAATAAGAAACTGGGATAAGATACCGCTAATGGTTAGCGCTAACCAATCAGGCGTTCTTACACAGGTGCTAACGGTCAGCGCAAATGGTTAGCTCCCGATCCGGATACTGGGGCTCTCGTGAGAACCATGCTCCAATGTATGAGCAAACAACAGTTTTGTGTTCAAGAAAATTGGATAATCTCTGGATAATTTGGATCGAGCTTTAGTTCAGGACTATTGTATAAAAAAATCCAACCAAACAACTCTATAAGATAGTATAATACATAATCCGAGTATCGAAGTACACGCCATCGTGTCGGGATTCAATATTTCGACATTAATTATGTCATCATCAGGAATGAAACAACTCTATGTCACTGTGCTTGGGCAATCATTTGGACTTTTATCATTTATGCTATCTACTTATAATTAACATCGGTATCATCATTATCATTATTGTCATGTTCACTACTATCATTAACATCAACTCTCTTAACATCATATTGTCAACACCTATATCATCATCATTATCATTGTCTGTGTCGTAATCATTCATCATTCTTTAGTAGTGATTAAATTTTGGTGCAACTTTTCCTTCAGCCTATGAGAAGTCTGTTGTACCCTGGGCACCGGACTCGGACGTGAAATTCTGTCCAAGCTGTGGGATAAGGTTCAACCTAGCTAACAGACGCCACCATTGCCGACTCTGTGGCAGCATTATTTGCAAAGATTGCTCTGGGTTTCTTGAAGATGACCTTTGTGGTAAGTTGTGAACTTGCAGGTCATTTCAGATTGTATAGATCATTGAATGCAATGCGAAGTGGTATTACTGTAGTGTGAAGTGCTGAAGCCTGGTTGATATATAGCACTATAGATACGTCTAACATATTATTATTTATTTTTTTGCGTTGTTACATTGTTAGAATGTCTCATTGAATTTGACTGTTAAGGGATATATAACAACTGCCTCGATTCCATTAATAGTGTATTTTATATTAATTTTATTTTTAATACATTTTTGTTGGATGTAATGCATGGAAAGTTGCTAAAAAAGATAGAGCCTTAATCATAAGCACTGTGCCTTAATACGGCTTAATATTATATTTATATAAATGTCCACACTTTTTGTATTTGACTTTATAAATAACTTAAATTTTTCCTATCACAACCACTACTATAAACTTTTTAAAATATTTTTAGGCAAGATGTTTGTGATTTCTATACATTATAAACATAGACCAAGCAAAAGAAGGTTCACATTGGCAAAGCTCTTGCTTTAGTCTGTAAAGATTATTAAAGATGTTTCTGGGCCTACACTTGTCTGTTTTTGTTTTTCTTTTGAAATGTTTTTGTATGGCGCTTTGTTCCTCGTAGAGCGCAAATACTGTATATAGAATGTTGAAATAAAATAATATTTAAATGAATAAATTATAAATTCTAACATGGTGTATGGTTTATTGAATGACAGCGAAAGTTGTAAAATTCAAGAGATCTCCGTCACGGAGGCTCCCTGGCAGTAAGAAGGATGAGGAGGAGTCCGGCTTGCGTGTCTGTCAGAACTGTGAAAAGATGATCTTAAGAACGCATCAGCAAAACCAGCAGGATGTTTCCAGAACAGACATCGTTCAGCTTTATGAGGTTAGAGGATGCATTAGAAATTTGAGACAAATTTAAGAATTATTAATCATCATACACAGCATTGATGTATCTAGCGAGTCTTGGGATAGTGGGGGGCTAATTGGGGGGTGCGCAAAGGTGGAGTGGGGCTCGATGATTAACTAAGGGGGCACAACATTAAGTTAGGGGCACTAGGTCACAAAATAAGGTGATATTCAACCATTTAAATGTGTTTTAATTTGCTTCTGATATTTTCAATGTGGCAATGACGGGGAGGCACCAAATTTTTTTGGAGGGACATGCTCTCCAAACACCCCTTAGATATACGCCACTGTGTGACATTACTATAATAAGGTCTGTTTACATGGTCAGTTTTGAGTGACAATTGTCACAGGCATTTTTACATTATATTTTATTTTCATTTATTTCAGAAACTTTCAAATGTGAAACAGAAGATATTAGCAGAGACACCAAGATACAATGCCATTGCTGAGTCTTTAAAGTGAGTAAATATTTATTGTTAAGTAAAAATTATGTACAGTATCTTTGTGATACTTATTATTAGTAATATTTTAGCATACATGCAGCACCTCACTAAATCAAGTAACTTTAATGAACCTGATTTGTAGTAATGGGGTCAGTAACTGCCAAATATATAAAATTGCATTTTTAAAAATGTTGAACATAAAATAAAATGTTAAATTACACACAAAAAATATTAAACTTCCTTTAAAACAAGATATATCTTGTTTAGCTGAGATTATTCGGAACTGAGCCAAACACGATTGTTCAGTGTTGAACTTGTAGTGATTATGTTACCATAAAAATAAAGCTCTTCTACCACACATTGATATCTTTAATGTTTTCTTTATGTTGATTTTCAGTTCTGGTGAGATGGATCATGATCTTAATTATGCTAATGAAGTCAGAGGTCAAGTTCTCAAACTTTTTGACGTAATGGATTTAATAAGGTAAAGTAAGCACAACCAAAAATAACCTCCATACACTATATTATTATTTATTGTTATGTTATAATTATTAAATAAATATTCTACATTAAAGCTAGGAATCCATTTGTCCGATTACCATTGCAGCCCTGTCCGATTACCATTGCGGTGTGTTTTAATCAACATACCTGTAACTGTTTTATAAAACGAGAGTGATTCCATTGTTGCAGTTGTGTTTGTCTCCATAACATGTGGTAATTTTAATCGCTCCAGGGGAGGGGTTCATCTGTTTTTATTGCAGTCTGCTGTGCGGTGTGATTAATTAATGCAAAAAGGCCTTTAAATCCACACGTACATGGAATGTAGAAGTGGTTGGCGCATCGGTTGTGGCTTGGACTCCCAACCTTGAGGTCGGGGGTTCGAAACTCTCGCTGTGCAAGTCGCTTGTGTCCTTGGGCAAGGCACTTTATCTACGGTTGCCTCTCTCCAGGCATGGACCAAAGGAACAGAAGTCACAAAAATGAAGGCACAAGAGAGTGAACACTCTGGTAGTGGTACAGGTGGTAGTGGTGAAGCTAAAGGGTGGAAACCACAGGTTGTAAATCAAGCCAAACTTGATGCTCAAGATGACCCTTTAGAACAACAGATCACAATTATCAAGAATTTCCTGGAGCAAGCCAGAAGGGCTGGTAAAATGGATGAGGTGAAGATGCTCGAAGACAACCTAAGAGATTTACAAAAAGAGAAATATTTCCAAAAGTTAAAATAATTGTATTTTTTTTTTTTTTTTTTTTTAATTGTTTATAGATATGAAATATATTTAAGGCAGTGGCTATTGTTACAACAGTTACAAATTTATTCCTGTGATTGGATTTATTTCATCCTAATCCAATCAATACATACCAACCAATCAGAATTAGGAATTGGATTAAGAAGGGGTTCTCAACTGGCAACCTGGGGGGCCATCTCCGGCCTGCTAGTGCATGTTATGTAGCCTGTGAGAAAAATCCGAAAATAATATTTTCTGTTGGGCTTAGGCCTTTATTTCTAACCTTAATAATTTTGCATTCAGCTTTACTGACAAGACCTGTATATATTGCCCCACAAATTGTTGTGATTTAATGAATAAAATTGGTTGAGCTATCGCAGCGAATAGCAAAGAAAGGAAATCATAACACGCCAACTTTCCGCTAAGGGTAACTTTATGCCAAGGGTAACTTTCTTAGGTCAAGACAACCTGTATGACCATCTAGTGGCTTTTTATTTTCAAAAAAATTCTAATTTCCCTTCCCCCAGTTAGCACATGTGGCACTTATATGGCCATTCATATTTATTCAATGAACAATTTTGTCTTTTGTGATATAACCCCTGGTTTAAGACTAGTGCAACAAACGCCACTGCCTGTATTTTAACAGTAATATTGTACGCTACTTGTTTATTTGGATTCAACTTCAGCATAGGTACTGTATATGATTGGCACTCACATCCCTGGCAAATTAATCCTGGATCTGCCAATTATCTTTTTTTAATAATAATATTTTTAAGCTCTTCCTAAACTATTCAATTTTAATGAAAACATATGACTTGCCTAAATATGGTCATGATGACATCACATCATGACCATATATAGGAACACCATGACTATATATGGACATACAACAGTTGTTTGTCAAGAAAAATTTATATTATGAACAGAGCCTTAAACGTACTTGGTATTTTAATATTATAGTGAATTGATGATACATGCATTCTTGACTGAGTACACGTACCATGGATGCTGTTCATACTGTACATTAAGTAAATTTCATGTGTGCATGCGTTTGTAACTGAAAATTGTTATTATTTAATTTACATTATAATGTATCATAGTTTTACTAATGTTTTCTCTATGTGAAAGCAATTGCTTTGCTTTTATTGTAGTTATTTTTAACAAATTGTATTCAATAGCTACCAAAGAACAATATTTTTTGAATATATATTTTAACCCCAGAACAAGTAATTTTGCTGTTTGTGTTCATGTGTTGTAAGAACCAAAATTTGTCCTTGTTCTGCTTGTGTGCTTTAACTTTAATGTTTGTTATTAAATAGAACAAATTATATTTCTTTTACAGATTCATGAACCCTGTTCTTTAATATGACCATTAAACTCTCAGCTGGTTATTATGAGACCATTTTAAAAGAAGATAGGTTGCAATACACAAATTAATTAATTATGTTTCCATCTTTATGTTAAAATATGTTCATTTTGCTAATTGTTAGGTCATAAACTGTATTATAGCAAGACACCTTGTCTCAGTCTTAGCTTCCATGGAGACAGTTAATATTATTTTATTAAAAACTGTAGCAGGTTTAAATGCACTTTATTTTTTATGTGCACACATTAAGACATACAGCCCCTCACTACCCCTTCCCCACCACCTCCTCCACCACAAAATATCATTTACACAGTAACAATGCATTTGCTTCCTCATCCTCTACCCTCTTAAAGTCCTCAGTGGCAGATTCAAGATTAGGGGACCTGGCCCAGGCCCCCTAAATTTTTACAACTTGCAAATAATAAAGAAAAAGGAGTTATAATCAAATAATTAGACCTTTCATCTGTGAAAGTCCCTCCCTGGCTTGGCCTCTCTATTTCAAGGTCCTGCATCTGCCACTAGTCCTTAATTATTCTGGTAGGACCAAAAGTAGTAAAAAGTAAAAGTAGTAGTAGTTGTGGAACTTGTTAACTTTATTTATTCGTGAGTCACCTTCTGTCACCATTTTCAAAGAACGACTTAAAACCCACTTATTCTCGTCCCTTTAATTTTTTTTTTTTTTTCTATTTCCATGCCAGCTAGCTTTTATAGCTTTAACTAGGATAGGTGGCGCCCGAATCCGAGATGGCCGAGACTCAACAGGTGCTGACTGTAGTTCAATTAGATTGAACCCTAGCGATGAGGACGTATCCCCATACTTCGGTTTGGGTGCTGGCATGGTATTCAAATTTCACTTCTTTTTTATTTTGTGGTTTTGGTTTCCGTTCCATCTTTACACTTGCCTGATAGCGCTTAGAGACTTTTGTATTTTGCGCTCTATAAATTAAAAACCATTAACCATTAGTCTGTATGTATTTTGTGTCTAATAAGGCTTGGGCATTCAAATGCCTTTTTTGGATTGTGGAATCTTGTAATTCACTATAATGTCAATCGTGTTTGATGCATGACATAACATTCCTTTCTTACTTACAATAGTAGGCTAAACAAATACCTGCTTTAATGTTTATTTAATGGTAAATACAGTACAGTATAAATAACTTTGTATAGAGTGTATTCATATAATGTATTGGTCAAAAACAATATTGATCCAACTGTTCATCTAGATTCATTATTTTTTATAATATCACGTTAAAAATATATTCAGTCAATCAATCAAAATATTTAACTGTATAGGGCCAATATCCAAAAGTGTTCAGTGACACTGTCACATTGTAATAGAATACTCTTGAAAAAAGGAAAGCTTTCACATATTGCTCCTGAACACATTCACACTTGGTGAGTTCCATATTTCAATGGGCATGCATTGATCTTTCATGCATTCTTTACATAATTAATCTAATAATTTTACATATTAAATTATGCCAATTTAAATATGAACTATATTGAGCCACTTTACACAGCATACACTGCAACTACGTAGAATGTCGCTCACCATAGACTTTTTGTCTATTTCCAAATGCCTTTGCACGACAAAAATATTCTTACCAATCACTGATTCTGGTCATTCTTCGCTGAGCATGTAAACTACAGAACAAGCCATAGAAGTCGGTCGCGTATGTAGGCCTATCACCCATTAAACATAATAATCAACCACTTATAATGTATCATTAACCACTAACGTAACATTAGCCACTAATGTAATAAAATTACTAACGTAATAAGTCATTAACCACTAACGTAATGACACTTTAACCACTAACGCAATAAAAATTAATCATTAACGTAATAACCTTGTTTTTACAAGGAAACTTTGGACTTCTGTACTCAGAATACCATAAGGATAATTTCAGTAAAATTTGGATGCAGTTGAAGCATTTTTATATGACCAGGGACAACAATTTGTATACTTGAGAGAACATTTTTTTTAAGTCCAACGTTTGCTTGTAAAGAGAGTTAAAAACAATCACCATGTTTTCTTGTTATTACGTTAGTGGTTGATTTATATTACGTTACTGGTTAATAAAGTTTATTACATTAGTGGTTAATAAAGTTTTTTAAGATAGTGGTTAAAGTGTAATTACGTTAGTGGTTAAGGACTTTATTACGGTAGTGGTTGATTTTGATTACATTAGTGGGTAATATTACGTTAGTGGTTGACTTTTATTACGTTAGTGGTTAATATTACCATGATCCAAGGCTGAGAAGGCTCTAGTACCGTAAGTAGGCATTGCAACACCGACAAGTCTTACTGTAGTAGACCCCTTATAATAATAGAGTTGAACTACACTCATAGACTTGAACTCCTTTTGTGACAGAACATGTCTAAAATAAATAATAATTAGGCTCTACAAAATTAGGAATACTGTAGGCCTTTTTTTTAGGAATTTATTGTCACTCTCGCGTAGGCCTACATTGATACTGTACCAACAAAAAAGCTTATACGAAATGAAATGTGTTTTACTTGACGTAAATGCACAGTTATATAAACCTGTCTCACACCAACATAAGAATGGAATAATAAAAATAGTACAGTAGTAGTAATAATCACAAGTATAGAGTAGGCCTACACCATCAACAATATAATAACAATAAATCAAAGTTAAGTATCTGCCTAAAAAATAAAATATCTACAGTATATGTACTGTAAGTGTGTAGATATATTATAGTAATAATGATAATAAGCAATTATTATATTCATAATTATAATTATAATGTAGGTGATCTTTAGTGTATCCGAATAAATATTTAGTATTTTGTGTAAGTTATATTCTGCATCCAGTGACGGCGCCAGCGGGGGGAGAGGCATTGGGCTTAAGCATATAAGAAATATCATTGTTTTATTAACGAAAAATCTCGTTTTGGGAGGAGGGGACACCCCCCCCCTTACCCACTCCCGGCTCAGGCCTTCGGCCCTTAGATAACGCTGCGAGCTATAGTTACACCCATAATACTTAGCCCCCCAGTCGGACATCATATCCACATCTAGATGTGTATAATAGACAGATACTAGAGCCGCCACTGTCTGAATCACGGATAATGTATCCGAAATCATGAAGACGCACACAGTCGGTAACGTTATAATTAATTGTAAAAATTATCACACATTGTTCGTATATTTTTAAGTTAATGTGATGCCTTATAGAAACAAGTCCCATTACCTTCAATAATGTTTATAAATGTTTATTGATGGTCATATCATCATCGTTATCGTCACCATAGGCATTATTTAATTATTATCATTGTCATGATAATTATTAGATCTATATTACTGTGCTTATGTACTTGTGCGTTTACGTCAAGTAAAATACATTTCATTTCGTACAACTTATCAGTATTTTTTATGTTGGTGATATACAACGTACGCCTGACTGACTGACAGTACATGCCTAAAAAAATAAGGCCTAGACCTATACAGTGGCGGCTCTAGGATATAATTTATGTGGGGGACAAAGATGTCCAACTAGAAGGGGTTGGGGGGGCTAAGTATTTATGGGTGTAACTATAGCCGAAGCCCCTCCCCCCCGCTGGCGCCGCCACTGGACCTATAATGTTGTTTTGTTTGTTTGGTTTTTTTTTTGTCTTTTTTTTGTAATTATAGCTAGCCTAATCATTACTCATTTCAAATATATTATTTCAGAATTATTTAAGTCTGTGGTGTTCAACCTCTTCATCATAAGGCATAGTATTACGGCTTGTCTGTGAAACCTACGCCTGCATAATATTAATGTCTACTGGTACTCGCTATCGCATCGCATGTCATCGGCACTGTCTTATAAACTGCTCTGACAACAATAAGAACGTACTAATAAATATTTATGATTTATTGCCGAATCAGGAAGGTGATATTTTAAATCTGTATCGCCACCAATTGCCACTGCCTCAAACGTCCAGGCTTAATTTTTCAGACAGTTCACTTCTATCTTTAACTTATGACGCCTCGCATCATTCCTCCAATCGGATATATTCTTACAACTTACAGGAGAGATGATTGCAAAATGTCTACTGACGCCACAAGCAGGAAGTAGACCCAAAATAAAGCTACAGTATTAAATCCTACAAATAATAATCATCAAAATAGCATTGCAGTACCCGTTGTTACTTGGATTAAACATAGCCTCAAAGCGAAAGCTCGTTGGTAAGTAGTTATGACACCAGGCTATTTTTCTGGAGGTCGTAGGTTCGATTCTCACACGAATCGCTTGCGCAATTTTTTCACAAGTATTATGAAACGTACTGAGTATTTAGTGCGATAATATGTCCGATAGGGCAAAACATCACTCCTTAAAACTTTAATTGAAATAAAGTAACTTCATCTTTACTGATGTACCGTATTTGTTGTAACAAATTTGTTGGAGCTTGTAACACATATTATGAGTTTGTTGGTATGGTTGTCATCATCATCATAAATAATATCATCATCATTTGATAATCATATGATCAGCGAAATGAGAGATGTTTATTTGAAAGTTTAAAAATGTACATCGTATTTATAAACAATATATGATTATCGAGAAGGTATAGTTTTAAATATGATTTTGAATGCAGGTAATTCCTCTGCAACTCGACTGGTGTGGGTGTCTCTATGCCACTCTACCTGCAAGCTAGTTCTTTGATCTGCTGCCTTCATGATGGTGATTCATATCTGTCTGAAATATTTATTTATAACTGTGTGTGGATCATCATCTCATGATTATGGTATTTTCGCTCAAGATCTGTCGTATGTTATGGCGTACAATGAATCTCAAATAAACTTTAATTACATTCAAGCTCGTAAGAATTTTAATTATACATTACACACAAAAATTACTGCGATAATAACAGATTTTAAATAGGTCGTCTATCATTTTAACTAATATTGAAAAAAAACGTCATTAACATCACCAAATTTTACTACTATTCTCAAAAACCACTAATACCAATATAGCAAATGTTAACGCTATTTTGAATTAAATAAAGTACAACACATAAAATTTTTCGAGAAATTTCTAGGTTTATGGCCTTAATCATCACATCCTTCAATGTTGTTTTAGTCTTTAAAATAATTATGAAAATTCGTAAAAATATTTTTAGAAGTTGATGTTTTAGCAATTTTAGAGACCAGTTTGATTGAATTGTTAACTGGTATTTATTTATTCATAACTTCAAATATGGACGCATTTTAGAAGTGTAATATGACCAGTTCCTGTCAAAATGGAGACGGCTGCATGGACTTTTGGCTTCATAATCAATTTTCCCAGCTTCTTCGTTTATTAAAACTAAAAGGAATGGTTCACAAAATGATCAAGGGTCATTTTGTGAACTTAATCCGAATATTATTTCGTATCACTGTGTAATACACCAGATTGTATTACGGTGCTCAAGTCTTGGAGATCATTATGCAAAAGCCATGCAAGATGTCATGAAGTTGGTGCAGAGTTTGACGATTTATTGTTACATAACAACGTCCCGTGGCTCAACAAGGGAAGAGTCCTAGCGCGTGTGGAATTTAAGAAAGCATTTATTAGACTTTCTTTGGGAACCTAAGTCACCAAAATCGAACCTTACTTGAGAACGAAGAACAAATGCACGTGATTGCATTTTTAACCGACATCACAGGCCAGATAAATAAGCTGAATACACAAATACAGGGCAAAGAAATTGCAATCACTGATTTGTTTTCGAAAATCAACAGTTTTGTTAAACAACTGGGCGTATTTAGAGATGATCTGAAAGTCAAAACTTTCGTGTATTTCACAAAACTGAAACAATCTGGCTGAGTTAAACAACTGGACGTATTTAGAGATGATATATAATTTTCGTTACCCATTGACAGCGGTAAGTTTACAGTACCTACCGGTAGTCAATAAAACCCTCTCCCATTGACATAATGTAGGCCATCTCAACTTTAATACCTGTCTCTTATACACATCTAGATGTGTATAAGAGACAGGAACAAGCCATAGAAGATGAGCCACATCTTCCAAACTTAAACGTTTGAAATGTCATTAAATATAACAACTTTAAAACATCTAGTAAAATACACACTGCAATGCACAAACTTAACTATCACGAATTAAACTCATTTTCTATGAGCCGCATCTTCTAGAGCTACCAGGCCTAGACAAGCAAAGGTTTTAAAACAGTGTTCAATTATAATTTGCATTGCTTTCATCTGGTCCTTATTTTTGTTAAAATTTTCTTGCCTCATAACAAAACAGGGTATTCTATTTAACTTCTGATCTAGGAAATTTTTAGAGCAATACCATTTTGTAACTGATTTTGTAATTGCTTTAGCAATGTTATATCCAATCATTTTCAAGTAATAGGCAATTCTATAACGTATTTTACTCAAAATTAATCAGCAAGCAGAACAAATTAACGTAAAACGCAATATCTGAAATGAATAATAGAAACATGCCCGATAAACAAACTACAATATCACTAGAGTAAAGCTTAAATGTTTTAGGGACTTTTTTCAAGCATTATACGAGTAAATTGTAAATTTACTGACAGGTTGTTTATATTTGAATTCTATCATTCCTAACAGTCAAATTTTGGCTCGAACATAGACGATATAAAAACGCTTAAAGCATCTCATGTCTATTTGAATTATATGAATTCAACATTCCATCCAAAATATCAAGTTTCTTTTATTATTTAATCCTCCATCATAATGTGACTTACATAATGCTATAGCTTTCCTTCCAATTTATTTAAATAGGAACAAGATATTATAATCGTATCAAGCTTAGTCCTTCAACAAAAAGTTATATGAAAAAAGTGTCTCTAGTGGCGGGATTCAAACATGCAACCTCTCGCACAGATTCTAACCCCAGGCTCATACTACTGACTGAAACGCTCATAGTTAAGATATCATCATCATCATAAGGACAAAAAAAGTAGTTGTGTTGCCCTTAAATGAAAAAAAAAATCGAGATCGTGGGTCGGTCGGATTTATTTTTTTAAATATACCTGAAATAGGATAGGCCTGAAACTGCAGTCCCTATATAAAGACCCTACCTAGGCCTAGGCCTGAGGACTTCTATTTGCGCGTGCATCTACGGCCCGATTTTGATTTTCTATTTTAAATGCATGTCTGTTTTAGATCTTGTGTTCTAAATGTTAATTTCGGAAATGGTATTTCTCGAATTTGTACTTGAATAATTTTTTTTTCTTAAATGCCGACCCGATTTTTTTGGAAAATTTCTGTGGGCGACCCTCATTATTATTATTTTAATTATTATTGTTGCTGCTAATATTATTGTTGGTTATTGTTATCATTCTAACTATTGTCATTAATTTTATTATTATTAATATCATATTATTATTATTATTACTATTATTATTATTATTACTATTACTATTATTATTATTATTATTATTATTATTATTATTATTAATATTACTATTACTATTATTATTATTATTATTATTATCATCATCATTAGGGGTCATTCACAATTTCCAACATTTTTCAAAGCGTACAAACAGTACCCTTTTTCGCTACCCCTCCTTCCCCTCTGAAAGTGCACATAAAAATGTTGATTCTCAATTTTTTAATTGAAATAAAGTGTTATCTTTGGTTACATAAAAATGTCTATTATATTCATGGTTGCATAAATTGGTCACAACAATTATTATAATAATATAATAATAATAATAATAAATATTATTATTATTATTGATATTATTATTATTGTTGTTATTTTTATTGTTATTATTGTTGTTGTTAATGTTATTATTATTGTTATTATTTTTATTGTAATTATTGTTATTATTATTATTATTATTAGTTATTAATTATTTATTATTATAATTAATTATTGTCATTCATTCCGAATGGAACTAAGATTGCACCATGCCAATTGTAATTGAAATACGCATTCACAATGCCTTCTTTCAATCATTACCAGCTGATTCTCTTTCACTAAAATTAACATTTCTTTAATTTATTATAAATTGTATGTTTTTATCATATCTTCCTTCGCCAATTCCCAGGTAATTTTTTTCCATCCATCTGGAATATCCGCTGGCAGACAATCGTAGTATTCGGCAAGTTCTTTGTTGTATGTTGCCATAAACCACTTCCAGTAAAGCTGTGCCTCACACTCCTTCGGTTGGATCTTCCAGGCCTTGTAGTATGGATTCAGACTTTGGTAGTCTTTGTGACGGTGCCCAAAGATACCAGTGTCCTTGTTAAAGAACCTCGAATCATCTGACGTAACAGACGTTGTGCACACGTCGGTAACTAGTTTATGATTTGACCTATAATGATACCCAGACACTCCTTCTGGTCTATGAAACTCTGTACGATGGTCGTCATATCTGTTGCTCGCTTGGAGATCACTGCCCGCTTGGAGATCACATGGTGCTTTGCAGAATGGACACAATTCACGGCAACCGAGAAGGTCTTTTTCAAAAAACTGTCCACACGGCTCCTGTATGGCAGATAAGATACCAGCCTCTTCAAATGTTTTTGTAATTTGGTCTTTAGATTTCCTCAGTTCTGTTAATACCATCTGCTTAAACTCTGCCTCTTCAATACCCCCGTCTTCGTTAAAACATTCTAATTCCTCTTTAACATCCAAGTGATCACCAATATTTTTAATTAACTTGGGCCACCAGTCGCTAATAGTAATCTTGCTTTTTTCCTTAGAGTCTTTGCATGCGGAATCAATGGCTTTCTCCGCTATGATCGAAAGGTCATATAATTTCTGACAATATATTTCTTTCAAAAGCAAGTTTCTTTCATTTGAACTCACATCTTTTATATAATTTCCAATATATGTCTTCATACATACGTAAGGATCTGGTAAATACTCTCGAAAAGAGTTGAAGTCCCATTTCTCTGCAATATCAATCAACATCTGTGCATGAAAGGACATCTTATTTGCAAATGTTCTTTTACTGGAAGTACGCAAGTGATCGATAACTCCAGTTTTACATTGAGTTGGAAGACACTTTCGAATAGCACTTTCCAATTCTCGAGATACCAAAGAGGCTGCTTTAACGCTTGTTTCTATCATCGTACATTCGTCTCTAAAAATTTGCCACAATCTGTCCTTTTGAGTCTTCATGTAGAATCTCAGATCATTTTCTTGCCTGTACTTTTCTTTTAAATTGTTTAACTTCGGTAGCAATGACCAGACAATACGCATTTTTATACGAAGTACTCCAATGTCCTTGAAGGTAACTCTTTCTTCAAACTCGTTCGATAGATGTTCTGCCAAGAAATCAAAGAGATGATTTCCAAAGATATCATTGTAGTTATTTCCCTCAATGCCATAAATTCGAATCATTTCTGATACCTCTGATCGTAAATTTTCTGTAATTGACTTTGCAGTGTCGAGGCATGTTAATTTACTAACTGCACGACAAGAAACCATGTTTACATTTTTTTTATTCCACAATCTGGAATCCAGATCATCTTCAGTTACAAAGGCTCCAGAATAAGTCGACTGCATAATTTCAGTTACTGGTAAATTGGCTTCGCCCATGATCATACGTCTTATTTCACTGTGATGGCATGAATGAGCTGATCGAATTAAGTTTTCAAGAGAAGATTTAATATCAACGTGTAGGCCTACCCTTAGAGTGGGTACACTAGAAATCCAAGTCTCCCACTCCTCATCAAACTTCACTCTCAGATCTGAATCAGAAAGTTCCTTGTCACGGAATGCTTCAGCTAAGCTTTTAGCCTTTTGTAAAATATCCCTTTCATGCATTTTCATACTTGAGTCGATTTCGGCCCTTCCAATGATTTTCTTTTTAATAGATTCAAATTCATTATGTAGTTCTTTTCTGATATTTTCACATAGTTCAGTCATGTTTGATTCTGTTCTAGCTTTCCACTGACACGATTTTGTTTCTCTTGAAAAATATTCTCCCATGCTGTTATTGAAAGTCGCAACATCTTCGTTGAATTTAGCAATATACTGGTGTAGTGTTGTATGACCAAGCTCTGCTATCTCGTTAGCTGCAAGTTTCTTACATTTTGTATGTAGGTTGTCGACATAAATCATTGCGTTTCTTCTTAATGTACGAGAATGTTTTACATATTCCAATTCCAAAGCATTAAACGCCAGCATCTCGATTGTATTTTTAAAACTGAATACAAAGTTTTCACATAGAATTGCTTTCCAAAGATCTGCCAGCCTACATTTGAAGTCTTCCACGGATTTAGCTTCAGAATCTTGCATGGATTGTATGATCTGCCTCTTGATTCGACGAATACATTCACTATATTTTGGATTAGGAGGTGCCATTGGTGGATCTCCTTTCCACAGACTAGAAACATACATCACATGTTTATGTTCCTGAAATTGAATAACGTCGGAAAATGTTTGTATTCTGTCGCTGCAGTTTTGTTCTTTTGCAGCATAGAGAGTGATTTCATCCAATATTTTCTTTATTGTCCTCTTCTGAGTGGTATTCATATCGGACGCTGTAACATTTGTTATATTTTGGTGTACAAAAATACAACTTGGTTTAATGTTCACACTTTTCATTTTGATGAATGCGTAAACAGCAATCTGAAGAATGTCTTGCATTTCAACTGCATTTTCTCCCATTATATTAATGATTGTAGTATCAGCTAAACCAATCGTAAGAGTGGCAAGCTCGTTGTCACGGTTGCTATGTTCAATGCTTGCTAACTCTGGAGCACGTAAACCTTCTGTGTCAACTACCAAAATGTAGTCACAATGAGTATTCTTTTGCAAAGTCTCGTCAAGTGGCACCAGCTGGGCAAATATGCCTTTAGTACATCTTCCTGCGCTAACATCAAACTGCAAGCCAAACATTGCATTAAGCATAGTTGATTTTCCGCTACTTTGAACACCAAGTATTGATAACACAAACAATCGTTTATCTCCAATATTTTCTTGTAAAGACGTAAGTACGGCCTTAATCCAAATGAGTGGAACATGGGAGGCGTCACCATCCATCAATTCTAGAGAATGCCCGTGGAGTAACATTTCTGCTGCAACGGCTGGAAATTTACGAGTTGAATCATCCAGACACTTTAAATGTGATTTCATTTCGTATATTTGTCCAATTTCTCTACTAAAGTGTTCTAAGCCCAATGCAAGATTAGAAACCTTGATTGCAAGGTCATCAAGTTCCTTTTCTTTAAATCTCATTTGTGGTGTTTGCCTGTTTTGATTTTTTTGCAGATCGTCACATAACTCCTTCCATTTGGTATTGTAATCTCTGCGTATTTGTTGTGTATCAAAGCTACACGTGTACACCTCTGTTTTTATCTTAATGTAGCTATGAAAATACTTTCTCTCTATTACTGGATATGAGCAAGACCTGCTGAATTGTTCAAGTATAGGTATCGGAATCTCGTCACATACTTTTTTCTGCTTTTCTCTCAATGATGTAATATCAGATTGTATCTTTTCAAAGTACTCCTCTGTTTGCATTTTGCCTTTAAGTTTCAATCGATACTGTTCTTTTTTCTTCTCTCCGATATCAAATGCAATTCTTTGCAGAGGTAAGCCTTGTTGTTTTTCTTTTTCAGGCGGATTTAAATATTTAAATATCCCGTCTGCGTTCCTCTTCGCTGCTAAACAGTCTTGGGTGATTTCGTCAACATGAAATTGTATACTTTCATCTGCAGCCCAACTTTCAATACCTCTCAAATAAACATCAGAATAACCATTTTCTGTAAAAATAAAGTTATTGAGAGAACCTCGGATTTTCCTAATCATCAGTGATTCGGTGTTTTTTAAGGAAGAAATCAATACTGGTTTTTGTTTTTCTATCTCGGAAGATATATGGAACAACTTTTGAATTGAGTCTTTGATAAGTTCATTTGGTTTTCCATCTAATACAAGGATTAAATTGCCATTTTGTATGTACAGTGATTTAAGTAAGTCACTGTCTTCTTCCTCAAAGTCGTTGGAAGACGTGAATGCAATAGTTGCTGCTGATATTTCTGATATAAATGATGTTTGATCTTCAAGGTTAAGTGCGTTTCCTCTCAAATTTATGAACGTAAGCGCCTCAGGAAAGATATCTTCTTTTACTCCATTTGGAAGGTACCATGCCATTTCCAATAAACCTTTTGATATTTTTTTTTCTAAAGATCCACCATTGCATTCACAGTGAAAGAAAATGTCATGTTTTAGACTGCTAATGACATTGTTGAGTATTCTCGATTTTGATATACGCGGTCTACCCAAGCGAATGGCCGACACAATTGGCAATGGAAATACAGCCATTAACTGCTCGCATGATGGGTTTGTATGCGTTTTCCATTGCTTTTTTACTGTTCTCATTGCCCATAAAATCATTTCACTTTCATTTGGGTCAGTGTTAATTGGTAATATTAATGGAATAGCAAGCTGACACATTGACATTTTCTCTACCAAAATTTGTCTTAAAAAATCGTCACAGCACAAAAATAGGGCCACAACTGCGTCTAAAGGGCTTACATCTGCTGAAGTGTCACCGCAGCTCGTTTCATCTGAATGAACTTTCAGCAAAGACAATGATTCTTCTAGTTCAGACAATGAGTCTTCTAATTCAGAGAGTGTCGATATGTTCTGGTTCACTTCAAAATTTCTTCCTTCATAGTTGCACACGATGAGATTTTGCAGAATAAACCAAGGAATCTTGCCAGGATCTTTAAGATCCTTTGTTGAAATTTCATTGTCTGAAACTGTCAATGCTTTTTCACGAGTTATTTTTTGGGGGTAATAATCCTGTAGATTGAGCTGTTCAATAACTAAACGAAAGTTACCACTCAGTTGCCGTCTTACTTTATGGTAACCAACATTTCTTTCAACCTTAATGGAAGCCACGTGCTTAGTGCTTCCAATTGCTTCAGTACTTACACTTTCAGAATATGAAGTTGAAATATAAGAGCCCATTTTACCTAAATCGTAATACAATGTAGGTTGTCAGATCTTACAGATGTCTTTTTCCTCCGTTTTAATTTCACCTAACAAAAGATAAGAATGATTGATCATTACATGAAGAAATAAATAATATCCATGTTGATGAATTATACAAATTAATTTAAAAAGACATTGATATAATAGAACAATTTAAACAAACAATTTCCAAACGCTTTAAAATATTATGATTAAAAATTATTAAGAAAGCATAGGCATAATAGTCATGATACCTTCGTATATCTGTGCATACACCTGTCTCTTATACACATCTAGATGTGTATAAGAGACAGACCAAAATGTAGTCACAATGAGTATTCTTTTGCAAAGTCTCGTCAAGTGGCACCAGCTGGGCAAATATGCCTTTAGTACATCTTCCTGCGCTAACATCAAACTGCAAGCCAAACATTGCATTAAGCATAGTTGATTTTCCGCTACTTTGAACACCAAGTATTGATAACACAAACAATCGTTTATCTCCAATATTTTCTTGTAAAGACGTAAGTACGGCCTTAATCCAAATGAGTGGAACATGGGAGGCGTCACCATCCATCAATTCTAGAGAATGCCCGTGGAGTAACATTTCTGCTGCAACGGCTGGAAATTTACGAGTTGAATCATCCAGACACTTTAAATGTGATTTCATTTCGTATATTTGTCCAATTTCTCTACTAAAGTGTTCTAAGCCCAATGCAAGATTAGAAACCTTGATTGCAAGGTCTGTGAAAATAACGTTAACTACCGTAAAATTATATTTTAACGGTATCTTGTATAATAAAAATACGATGTTGTTGATTTGCTGTAGCCTAAATTACCGGTATCATATCGTTTTTCTACAGGTTAAAATCGCCATTGTGTTTCAACGTCAGAGCTCGAAATTTAAACTATAAATTGGTATAGATTTACCTACCTTAACCGTTAAGTAGTGTTGTAGTAATAAAGAAAAGGAATTGCTATGTAAATATACGATGAATTCGTAAATTTAATGTGTTTGCTGGTTAGTTTTACGTCGTCATATTACTGTTTTCCGAAATTTAACAGGTCAAAATCAATATTTACGTTAATTAACGTTGGAGTTCGTAATGTTCATTTATAAACTGGCGTAATTTTACAGTACAAAATATTGTTTTAACAAGTACTATGAATTTTAACGGTATTTTGTATAACAATGATGAGACTGTGAACTCACATTTCGCGATGTTAAATAACAGTTCATTTTCGCGCGTAAAATTAACATTTTTCAGTAATTTTACGTTCGCCGTTATAATCCTACTATCAGTAAAAAAAATGTCTGTTATTTTACGTTTACTGAAATCCAATTTACTGTAAAAATAACGCAACTACAGTAAAATTGTATTTTAACGGTATCTTG